GAATTGATGTGTCTACGCCAATAGGCTAAATACATTTACATTTATGTAAATTGATTTTTGTTGTTGTTCAGAAGATGATTTATTAGAATTGGTCAACAATTGAAATGATAAAACAAGTTAAATAACAAACAAAAAATATTACCTTAAAAGAAAAGGGTTGTATGGTCGACGACAACAACAACAATTAAAAAAAACCCAAAAAAAGATGATATGCAATATTTAGTGATGTCATATAATGTGTTTTAACAAATCAATTAAATTTTTTTTTAATGTTAAAAACAATGTTGTCAATGTTGTACACACATAATTTATGCACAGCAATGTCACTTACACAACAACACGGATGATGAAATGTTATGACATTTGACATTTTCCAAATTCAAATTATGCACAAAATCCAAAATCACATTCTTATCAAGGTTGGAATCAAAAAAAAAATTGACATTTAAAAACCGAAAAACAAACAAAACAAACAAAATTTAATTTGAAATAACACACATGGTGATTGGTAATTTTTGTGTAAAGAATTTTGGACAATTTTCATAAATATTTTTTCTTAACCCCGAAACACAATATAAACACCTTGATTTTGTTGATAATATCGATCGATGACTTACTAAACTAACTAACTGAATTTGATTTGAGATATACTCAAACATACACACACACAACACAGAGTATTCCTGTGTTGAAATAAACCTGATCAACAACAACAAAAACATGAAGAAAATTTTAAAATTAAGTGTTTATAACATTGCCTGAATCTTTCGACCAACTTGGAAAAAAGATAAATTATTTAAATACACCGGTACCACCACCACCACCACTAACAACATAATGATTGGATGTTTGATGAAATACTGACCAACTTGGATATTAACATTGAAATTCTACATTTAGTTTTCTGTTTTTTTGAAGACGAAAAACAACAACAACAACAACAACAACAACATTGACCACCACTACACACACACACCATTGTCCAGTGTGTGATACTGGTTTATTTCTTGTTTCAGTTGAATTTCTTCTTCTTCGTCTTCTTCTTTGAAATCTAATTTCTTACAAAGATTATCAAATGATAATAATAATGATGAAATTTTGTTTGTTTGGTTAGGTACAAATGATGACGATGATGATGAAATTCAATTTTGTTGTTTTCTCTTGAAATATTCATTTCGATGAAATTTTGTTGAATGAATGAATACAAAAAAAACAAAGGTAGAAAAAAATCAATATTGAGAATATCATTGAACAATTGATGATGACATTTAACAACCATAGATATTGATCAACAATCAATCAATCGATTGATAATGATAATGATGATGACAATCATTAATCAATCAAATGAAAAGATTCAAAATCTTTAAAAAAAAATTGAAACAGAAGAGAGAAATTTTTTATTGAGAAAATAAACTTTTTCTCTCTATGTTTAGTATTTCTCTTCAAATCATTTGATTTGTCGTTGTTTTATTTGCAAAGAAGAAGAAGAAGAAACTACCTGGGTCCCGAACATAATTAAATAATTTCAAACAAACAACGAAAAAAATTGGTTCATGAACTTTTCTCGTTTGTTTTTTTCACTCTATTTATCACCTTTTTGTTTTGTTGATGTTGGTCTTGGTGGGTTTTAGAATATTATATTCATATATGCAACATTTAGCATTTTTTTTAGTTGAAAAAAATATATATCCATTTCACATTTCATTTCTTTGTTTGTTTGCTTGTTTGATAATATTTTGACATTTTTTTTTTGTTTTGTTTTGCTTTTTACTCATGATTATCATATTGATAATTGAACATAATACAGGTAGAAATTGTCGACTTTTTTTTCTTCTGATGGCCATTTCTTATGTTAGGTAGATGAATTTTTATTTTATCGAACAACATATAAAACGACAAAGAACAAAATTTTACTTCTGTTTTGTTTGTTTTTGTCTTCGAAACTTTCCCAGAAAGAAAAGGAAATGTGAATATTGCGGATTTCGTTATTTTTCAATTTGGTTTAACCCTTTTTTTTGCATTGTTTAAACAAAAAAGTTCAGAAAATTTCAAACAAAATTCATTACGCCTTTTTGTTTCTCCTCAAATAACCTTAACCTTTAAATTTGAATTGATTTTTTTCCATTTGTTTATTATTTTTTCGTACATTTACAAACAAAAGGACAATGTCCATGTAATGGAACGAGAACCGTGAAAAAACCGTGAAAAAAAATTTCCCAAAATGAAAAAAAAAACATTTTCATCTTCATCCACGATCTTTTTTTTTATTTGAAAAAAATACAAAGAAATAAATTCCGTAGGAAATAAAAAAGCGAAAAATGCGGAAGCATATTTCAGCTAAAGTTGCTTCATGGTCAAAAAAAAAATGAAGAAGAAGAAGAAATTATTCAACTGGATACCACTACGATATTACTACTAATCATCATCATCATCTTTATCGTTATTTAGATTTAATGATATTTTTCTTTTTGGGTTCTCGATAATAATATAGCCGAATTAACCATATCTATTTTTAAAAAAATTCCAGTTTTTTCTTTCCTTGTCCATGAATGTGTTTGAAATATTCAACAATCTGAATTTCCGCATCTCTCATATTTTCTATCTTTTTTTTTTCTTTACGGTCAAACAGGCTGGTTCGATTAAATGATGAAGTTCAATTTACCTACACACACACACACACACATACTTATGCTTGAAAGGATTTCCTCGATTCCTATTTTTTTGTATTATAAAAAATCAATATTGATTGATTGATTAATGATTAAAGAAATAATTAATACATGTGATTAAAATGATGATTATTTTAATGAAACCTGGTTTCTTCTTTTTTCTCGTTGTTGCTGTTGTTGTTGTTGATCAAGTTTTTTTTCCAATATAAAGATTACCTTGAGGGTTGCCCATTACATTTAGATTCAGATCAATGATAGCTTAATGTTTTTTTTCTTTTTTTTTTTTGGTTGAAATAAAGAAGATGATAAATGTTTATTTAGGTCATATAGGTTGGTTGGTTGGTTGGGTATATCATTTTATTAACGTTATATTTGTTCGTTGATAAATCAAGGTGATTGGTAAAGGTCAACACAGGTAAACAACATTAATTTATTTCGTACAAGTTGTTGATTCGAGGGTATTTTTTCAACAAAAAAATAATCAGGATGGTTTTTTCCAAAATGACATTCAAACAAAATAATTAGAAATTTTGGATTTAGAAATGATGAGAAATTTGTTATTCCAATCAAATTGGGAGAAAAAAAGAAAAGAAAAAAATCAAACACCTGTTATCGATCGATCGTTCCATAATAATGACCAAATTGGTTTTTCCCAAAAAAAAAAGAAAAAAAAACAGAGAAAAGTTGAAAGTTTAATTTTTCAGGATTAAAGGTTAAAGTTCATTACGAATTCCAAGGACTTTTTTCCTTCCAATTTAAAATATTGACAATTTTGACTAATAAATATAGTTTTTTTTTGTTTTTCGAAGCAACAATTTTTGTTTATTTCCTTGATTATTTTTTATTTGCTTGTTATTACAACAAAAACCAACCAAAAAAAACATTCAATGTCATTAAAGTTTCAAGGTTGAATGTCCTATTATTCATAATCGAAGAAAAAGAAAATTGAAACTGTAAATTTTACCAAGTGTATCACAAAGATAATAGATATACAAACAATGTCGTCGACATTTGTTTATTGACAATTTTTTTTGGTTCTCTGAACCCGAATACAAAGAAAATACTTGATTTAATGAAAAAGAATTGGTAATTTTTTTTACTTTACTAATTACTAATTCTTTCAGTAGTTGCCTGAAAAAATAATCTAGGACACACCAAGTGGACATGGATGCAAAAATGACAAAATTCATTTTTTTCGAACGTTTTTCCAACAAAAAAAAAAATGCTATTTTAACCTCTAAACAATTGATAATGCTATTTTCATCATTATTTGAGTCCAAATTCGAATAAACTTTTTATTTGATTTCAAACAAAAAAAAAGTCAAAGTTCAATTTTTTTTGTCAAAATTGATTATGATTTAATAATTTTTTCCCATATCACACATTCAATGCTATTAGATTTCGAATGATTGAAATCGGAGGGAAAAATAAAATCTAATCATCGTTATTTGGGATTTTTTTTCGGTAATCATTCAATTTATCTGTTTATATAATAATTTTTCTTTTCATTCATTTCAAACAAAACAATATTGAATTTGAATTGTGGAAATCAATTTTTAAAGAAAATCGAAAGCAAAATATAAACACACACACTTTTGTGATAATCGTTTTGAATTTCTTCCAGAAAAAAAAATGGAAATGGATTATCCTTGCCATTTTTTTTGTTTTTTGGATAAATTTGATGGTGTACATTTTAAGCCTTAAGCGATTCAATGGTTAATTTTTTTTTGTTATCAAATTTTTTTTTCACGGGAAAGAAAAAGATTTGATTATCTTCATTGTACAATAGTCATCATATAAAATTTTTTTTTTTCATTATTCATAAATGTCAATCAATCAAATTTTGAAATAAATGTCTAATTGATTGATCGATCGATCGATAGAAACATTGATTTGATTATTAATGATGTGGATGATGATCATATTATGAATTGATTTAAAATTCAAATGAAAAAAATCTTTTTTTTTGTTGTTTTGTTTTTGCTGATTAACAAGAAAGTTCAAGTTCGATCAACCTTGTAACCGGTTATAATGATGATGATGATGATGATGAAAGAAAGAAAGAAAAAAATAAATAACAAAGTTCAAGATCTAATATCATCATTTGATTGACAAGAATCAAATGTTGATTGACAAAAAATTTCAAAACTTTTTTTTTCTTTTTGGTTGATTCGATTAAATTTCTGGTTTAGAAAAATATTGGAAACAAATTTTCGATCGGTTTGATCGACTTGTTGATTTCCCTCTTTTCAAATATTCCAATAATAAAAAATAGTAACACTATCTGGTGTCAAATACTTTTAATTGATTTTATAATTTGATTTTTTTTTTGTTGTAACACAAAAAAGGACTATTTTATCATGACTAAATTAAATGGACTGATAAATGAATGTTTTGAATAATTTTATAATCATCATCATTGAATGATTATTGATGAACTAATTATTCAGCACTAATAATACGCATAGTGTTTGTTGATCCAGCACCTTTTCGCCATCCAGTAACAACAATAATTGGATCACCCGATCGAATAAATAATCTACGTTTACCATATTCGATAGCAAATTGTACACGTGAATCAATATCCTGTAACCAATCTGATTCTATTTCATTACCATAATATAATGGTAAAATACCACGATGTAAATGTGCTTGTCGGGCAGATTTTGAATTTCTTGATACGGCTATAATCGGACATCGTGGACGAAAACGTGATAATGCATGTGCTGAACGTCCAGTTGTAGTCAATACAATAATAGCGGCAGCTGCACATTTCAATGATGCATTTACAGCGGCAATAGCTGTTGCAGTTGTTTTATCAACCGGTACGGTTAATTTGTTATTTAATTCAATAAATAAATTCTAAAATTGATACAATTTATGAATTATTTAATACAAAAAAAAAGAAAGAAAAACTTACTCTTGAATGAATTGCAGCTTCTGCTTCCAACGATATAGCATGCATCATTCGTAATGATTCTAATGGATAAGCACCTTTAGCGGTTTCACCCGAAAGCATTACACAATCAGATCCATCGAGAATTGCATTAGCAACATCGCTTACTTCAGCTCGAGTTGGTCGAGGTTTTTTTATCATCGATTCTAACATATGAGTAGCACAAATGATTGGTTTTCCAACAATATTACATTTAGCGATCATCATCTTTTGTGCAAGTAAAACTTTTTGTGGTAGAATTTCAATGCCAAGATCACCACGTGCTACCATAATTCCATCACTTTCAGCAATAATTTCATCAATATTTTTCACTCCTTCATGATTTTCAACTTTGGATATAATCTTTATATTGGAATCACCACATTCGGTCAATAAACTACGTATTTCACGAACAGCATTAGCATTACGAATGAATGATGCAAATACCATGTCCACACCTTGTTCAACACCAAAACGTAAATCGGATTTATCTTTTTCGGATAATGCAGGTAAATCGACAGATGTACCGGGAAGATTAACACCTTTTGTCGAACCGATTGAACCACCATTTTCAACTTCACAATCAAGATAATCGACACCTATTTCACGAACGATCAATGAAATTAGGCCATCATCAATAAAAACACGTGAACCAATTTGAATAATATTGACAATATTTTTATAATCAATATAAATCATTTTCGATGTACATTGACTTCGATGATCATCATTTGTAGTCAATTTTATATGATCACCTTTTTCTAATTCAATATCACCACCAACACTCTGATTGAATGAAGAAAATTACAATTAAATTTACAATTATTGAAATTTGATTCAAAATACTTACCGGATCGACAATACCGGTACGAATTTCTGGACCTTTTGTATCCAATGCAATAGCAACAGGAAATTGAGGTAATCCTTTTTCCTGGCTAACTATTTCGATAGCTTTTCGAACATTATCAATAGTACCTTTATGATACTAGAGAATAAATATAAATAAAACTTTGAGAAATCTAGAAGAAAAAATATTCATTTTAGTTCTTACCTCATGTGTACCATGCGAAAAATTCATTCGAGCAATATTCATACCGGATTTTATCATTTCAACCAAAACCTGTACATCACGTGAAGCCGGACCAATCGTACAGATAATACCGGTCAAACGTTCAAATGCCGGAATTGAATCAATATCTAATGAGCTAAGATGTTCCATTGTATTATTTGCAACACTTTCACGACGATGTTTTGGAATCGAATCATCAATACATTTAGTTGAATTAACATTCATAGTTTTTTTTTCAACGAATTTCTTATAATAAGATATCGAAACTTCTTATGAAAAGAATTTCAAAATAGAAACAGGATTTTTTTCTTTTTCGAAAAAAATATGGATGTCACCTTGAACTACACAACTGGAAAAAATGGTTGTTTTTCAGAATACCTTTACCGATGATGATGATGATGAAGATGAGAAATCACCTGAGCAACAAGTATATTTTTTCAATAACAATTTTTTTTTCAATAACAATGTTGCTGTATAAAAGAATGATCAAATCATCATTACATGAACAACCGCAACAACAAGAGACAGACAGACGAATAAAATAAACTTCAAAGTCATTATTATAATAGCAAGGGAAAGCAAAACAAAACAAAAACTATGAACAAACAACTATCATAACACAATTCTTCACTTCAATGTTGTTTGACCTTGGATTTCATCATGAGTTATTATTATTATAAAAGTTTTAAAAATAAAGTTCATTAATAATCATCCGGTTATAATAATGTCATAGCAACAGTATTTTACATTGCATCCTGATTCAACAACAACAACATGGTGGTGGCGGTATTTGAAAAAAACATTTTATTGAAATTTTATTCTTGGTAATAAATGATGCATAAAACACATACAATCGGAATTTTCAAATCAATTTTTTATTCAGCCAAAATTCTAGGTATAGTTCCATCATCAGTAAATCTTTTTTTCAATTGTAAAAATCCTTCATAACGATTTTTTGCTATTATCTAATTGTTAATTTGGAAATATTTTATTAATTTTTTTTCTGGGGGTTGTTGCATAAAAAAAACATACCAAAAATTTATCAGTAGTAGGATTCTGTACAAACATCATTACAGCAAAACCAGCATCAATTGAATAGGCTTTTAATGTAAAAATTTTTGATTCATCACGAAAATGTTCCAATGAATTTTTCGGATCATTTAACCATTCAGATGATTGGCTTTTGGATAATTCCATACGATATTCATTTAGAAATAAATCCATTTCATTATCATCTGGAAAACCTTCATTACCAAACATATCATCATGATGACGATAATTGGAAAAATATCTTCCCAAATCCAATCCACGATAATAATAATTGGTAAAATCAAGATCAATAAAATATATTCGTTTATTACCATTTTTATCAAATTGAATTAAACGATTTTGTCGATTAAAATCGTTATGTGATAATATTAATTGTGTTCCGATTTTTTTGACAGTTTTTTTTAATAATTCATTATCTTTTTCCATATCCATCGAAGCGATTATATCATCTATCAATATTAGAAATTAGAATAGTTTTTTTACCATTGTTTTTCAAATACTAACAATATTTTGCCTTGAATTCGGGATTTTGTTCAATCATTTTAAGATGAAGTTTTTCCACACAAAGAATCTTATAAAAATCACTTTCTTTATCATCTTCCATTGCAATCCATTGATCGAAACCAAAACGTGAAATTGGTACAGGATTTATTGAATGAAATTGTGCCAATTCTTTTGCCAATTTTCGTACAGTATTTTCATCACAATCATCATCATAATTGTAATGTCGTCCCTATATAATTGAAAATTTTTTTCCTTTTAATGTGAATTCAAATGAGTGAAAATAACATTTACCTCAATATATTCATCCACTTGACATTTATCATCAATAAATAATAATTTAGGACTAAAACCTTTTGATGAAATAATTGTATTGATAACAGCCCGTTCAATTGAATTAACTTTGAACCAATCAAATTCGGTATAAAATTTTACAACAATTCCAATAAAATCCTGATCTTTATAACCTTCGGAACGTTTTTGTTGACAAAATTCATCACTTAATTTACACCAACAAATATCGTTAACATTTCCAGTTCTGCAAAAACAAACAAACAGAAAAAAAGGAATTTGTTAAAAAATCGAATTTTATATTGAAAAAAAACATACTTGAATCGTTCAGCATGAAAATCATTAAAATTTTCTACTTTTGACCATAAATTATTTGTATTCATTCGTTTGAATATATTCAATAACCGTTTACGATCATCATCTGTAATGGTACTTTTTTTCGGTATTACAGAAAATATTGGTTCATTATTTTGTTCCATAATTTTTTTTTTGTTCTTGGATTGATTTAAATCAATTACTTTTAGCAATTTATATAACCGAACAAAAAAAAAGAAGAAAAAGACAGACATACAACACACACTAGGTACAACCAAACGATTTAAAGGAAACGCAAAATTAAGATTTGATAAATAGAAAAATTGATTCATTTATCAATTGATAATCATTTGATATACTCGAAAAGTTTGTATTGATAATCAATATTTATTAATCAAATAATAATTTAATCAATTATACACATTATTATTATCATCAGCATCATTGATTACAAACAATTTCAGTATAAATTAAAATAGAAAAAAAATAGCAGTATGTTTGCAAGTGTAAAAAAATGTTTGTTTTCCTGTTCTGGTGAAATATGAAAATTACAAGTGAAAACAATGTATATGGTCTTAAATTTCTTAGGGGAAAAAAATGCTTATCGTTTGAGTCATGAAAATGAAAAATTTAAAGAAAATTTAAAAAAAAAAACAAATAAACAAAGATTATCGATATCGATCAATAGGATAAGATATATTTATAAGGAGAAAAAAAACGAAACAAAATTCAATATCTTTGAAAAAGTTATTGGTTATATATTTTTTCTTAAAATTAAGATTAAGTATGTAGTGAAAAACGTTTACGATCATTTCATTTATAAAATTTCATAGGATGATACAATTTTTTCTGATACCTTTCAATAAACCTTTACGTTTATTTTTTGTTTTACGTTGTTTACCATTATCCAATGATTGTTCTTTACTTTGATGAATTGCACGTAATAATTGATCAAAACATTCATCAACATTTGTATATAATTTAGCCGATGTTTCAATATATGGTACCGACCATTGTGTAGCCAACATTTGTGCTTCTTCAAATTTTACTTTACGATCACCATGTAGATCGGCTTTATTACCAACCAATATCATTGGTATATTACCATCGCCTTTAACGCGTAAAATTTGTTCACTATTTTATTTAAAAAAGAATGATTTATTTTAAATGATACAAATTCCAAAATGACAAAAATTAAAAACAAACCGAAAATCAGCGATAGCGGCAAAACTTTCATGTTCAGTTATCGAAAATACACACATAAAACCTTCGCCTGAACGAAAATAATTATCACGTATGGCAGCATAATCTTCTTGGCCAGCTGTATCCAATATATCAACATTTACTTCTTGGCCATCAACTTTAGCATTAGTACGATAAGAATCAGCCTTGGTGGGTTCATAATCCGTAACAAACTAATATTTATTGTGTTTGTAACAAAAAAATTAAAATAATTAGTTTTAGAATAGAAAACAAAGATAATAATAATTATAATTAAAAATGATTTTATATAACGGTCAATTAGATAACTATGTTTTTAGGATAGAATGAATTCCAAAAATAAAGAATGGGTGAAAATTTTCTTACCTCTTTATACATATATTGTAATGTAAGGGCTGATTTTCCAACACCACCAGCACCGACCATAATAATTTTATGAAATGGTAACGTATTAGCCATTATTATTAATAATTTTCTAGTCGAATATTAACAAAATTTCTTGAAAACAAATAAAATTTTCAATCAAAATCTAAGATTTTCGTAGAGAATTGAAAAACAAAATTGAATTTTCATCAAAAAAAATTGAATGAATGAATGATTTGATTGAGATCAAGAATAAAGATTAATGGATTGATTGAGATGATTGAAACTTGATCCGAAAATAGTTTATAAAAATCACAAATGAAATGGAAAAAAAATCAATTTGATGAGGTGGAGACTCTCGTTGTTTACTTAGATTTGTTTGTTTGTTTGTCTTGTTTTTCGTTGTTTAAATGCTGTTAGGTTTTGGTTTGTGATAGATTTACAAATGATAATAATAAACAATGATGATACTAATCCAGAATAAGGATTTTTAATAATAAATTCTATTAATATTTTCCGTTTATTTATCGTTATAATACAAATTCAATCACATATAAAATGGACAAACTTGAGTGAAATAAATGCTGAACACAAACACAAAAATAAATTTGGAAGTTTTTTTGATTTAATTAGAATTTAAGAATTTCATTTTTTCATAGAAAAAGATAAAGATAAATTAATTTAAACGAAAAAAAACTTATCGAATCAATAAGGAATTCAGTGAAATATTCAAGGGAAAAAAATGAAGATATTTCATTGATAATTATTATCGAAATGAATACAAAAAAAGATGATGATGATGATGATGACAATCTTTATTGACAAAATGAATATAAATAGTAAATAATGATTTTTCTTTTGAAGAAAAAAGAGAAAGAAAATGAAGAGAAAAATGATTTTGAAAATAGTATTTCGGTTGGTTGGTTGGTTGGTTGGCTATAGTCAATTATTAAGATTGAAATAATCTTTTCATTATTTAAGAAATTTTTTGACAAATAGAAAATAGATGATGAATAGTTAAACAAACCATATATGCATAAGTATTATAACATTTCACATATTTTGTTTATATTTATTTCAATGATGATTATTGTTATTTTTATTTTTTTCAAAAAAATAATTGGGAGCAATTTGAGTTTATTTATTTTTTTTCTTTTTTGATGTGTATTGATTCCATCAGGCAGCAGCAGCAACCCAAACTTGTATAAATAGAATACCGCCCGCTTTTTTGTTGTTTATTTTTCATTTTATAAAAATATATTCGAAACTATTTCGACACTATTGGTTTTATTAAATTTTTTTTTTTTTGTAATGGATTCATTTTAATTCAAAACAATAACATTTTTTATAAATTAAGGATAACGTTTTAGTTTTTTTTACCAAAATAAAATCTATAAATTTGACTATGAAGTTGATATAATTTAGGCTGCTTTAGCATTATTTGATTGAATGAATTGTTCCAGAAAATTTTTAATTTTAGGATAGATTACATCCGATTCTCGTCCTTCAAAATCATGAACAATTTTCTTTTCACTGTTTTTTTTTGTGTTGAATTGAAAAAAAATTAGTATTATAATTGTCAGTTGTTTGAATGAATATATTATTTACCGAAATAATTTGACAATTTCATCGTTTTGTTTATGAAATTCTAATAGACGAGCTTTAATCACATCAGGTTTATCATCATTACGTTGTGTTAATGGTTCACCAGTTTCATCATCAACACCGGGATTTTTTGGTGGACTATAAATCATATGATAAATACGACCAGATGGTAAATGTACCCAACGATGTTTAATACGTTCAATAATTTCATCATCTGGTACAATTAAATTGATAATAGCATTTGGACGAAATTCTTCTGGTTGTTTCCATAATTCTAATGTTTGTTCACGATTACGTGGATAACCATCTAATAGCCAGGATTTTTGTTTAAAACGTTCACAAAGTTCATTTATAACCAATTGATTTATTACATTATCTGGTACTAATTTTCCTTGTTCAATAAAACGTTTTGCTTCATTACCAATTTTTGTTTGCTGTTTCATATGATCACGTAAACAATCACCGACAGCAAAATATGCAAGATTAAAATCACGTATCATACGATTCGATATGGTTCCTTTACCGGAACCAGGAGCACCTAATATAACTAGTTTAAGAAAAAATCTATTTGCCATCTTTTTGTTTTGTTTTTGTTTTTGTCGGAATACAAAAAAAAAAGAAAGAAACTTGTTGGAAAAAAATGTACCGAGAAAAAATTTTGTTCTGTTTTTTTAAATAAATAAGAATAATCATAATACACACACACACACATGTTTTACAAAAAATAACGCCATCTTTTGATTTTATTTCAAAAAATATTCATTGAATTCTTTTTCTTCCGAAAGTAAAAAATTAATTTTTTTTTTTAAATTCAATTAACGATTACTATTGGATAGTGATGATGGTGATGATGACGATGACTATGATCGTGATTCTTATCCTCATCCTTATTCTTATCTTCATCCTTTTTCTTATTCTCATCCTTATTTTTATCGTTTTCGTTTTTGTTACTGTTTTTTCTGGAATGTCGTGTGCTATTGCCAAAAGCAATACCTATAATTTGATTGATACCGCATTTATTTTGTCCACGTGGTAAATATAGATAACCTTTACGACCCCAATTTGTACCCCAACTATTTTTAATAATCCAATTATTTTTTGTCCAACCAGTTATTACAATAGCATGATTTACACTTTTACTACATCGACCACGAAATACGTCTTTGGTAAATTTCCAATCCGTAGATTCAGCATCAACAGCACCAAATACTGGTCCATATTTCAAAATATATTTTTGAATAAATTTCTCATCATTGTTCTTATGAGAACACCATTTGTTAATTTTATAATTTATTTTTGATTTCGGTAAATCTTTTTTACATCCACGAACAGATCGCTATTTTCAACAACAACAACAAAAAAATCGATTAACGTATCATAAAAAGACAATATAATTAAAAAAACAAACTAAAACAAAACAAAATGGCAACATCAACTTACTTTACCTTTATATGGTGAATTTTTTTCATCAACAATACCATTTTGTTTCATCATATACCATGCTGTACTTGGCCAACCACCGGTTCTACAAGTAGCAAGTGGATGACAATCCAATAAAGCCTGTTCACTTATATCTAGATCGTCTTTTTTGATTTTATTATCACCATGAATAAGATATGAACTTTCAGCAACAGCTACAGCTGAAAAAATAAAACAACTTCCACAACTCCCTTGTTGTCTAATAGCTGTAACTTTTCCTTTTACATTCCAATCAAATTCAATTGGAATCGTATCTACTCTTCCAGGATCTTGACAAGTATTATCCTTTACATTTGGCAGTTTCTGGTCATTTATTTTAATTATCGAAAAAAATTTCTTCAATTCTTTATTTAACATTGAATTAAATTCATTAGGGCTCTTTTGTAGATTGAAACAAATTCAATCGATAGGGAAAAATTATATATATTAATCATTATTAATTCGAAACAAAAAAAAATAACCGTCTTACCATATGTGATAATGATGTTAAACCAAGTTTCATTTGTTGATGATCTGGTGCAAATATACATTTACGTATCATATGTAATAATTCTCGTATATTATGTATAAATGTTATAATAACTCCTTGAATTTTTTTCTTATCTTTAAATAAATTTTTAATTTCATCATGTTCCTAATTTATTATGTTTTTTTTTATTTGAATTTTTATTATTATTATTATTATTATTATTTATTAATAATTTTTTCAATTCAATTCAATTCAATACTTACAAAATATTTTGTGATAACATCTTTTAGCGGTATACGAAATAGATTTAATTCTTTTCCAGCAAATTCACTATTATAACATTGTTTTAATTTATGAACATCAGTTTGATTGACAATATCCTGAATAATTTCAGAAACTGTATTCAATAATTTTCTTCGTATTCCAATTAGAATTTTACTCGAAATTGACATTTCCGATGATTTATTATTATCATCATGAATTAATACATCATGATTTCCGGTTTTTTGATCTAATTCGGTAGTATTATTACCATTCGATAATAATAAACCATTATGAAAATTAAACAATACAATGATAATATTGAACAAAAGGATTTTTTTCAATAGAAAATTCATAATGGTAACGATTTTTTTTTAAATATTTAAAGTTTATCGTTTGATGATTGATAATTTAATGGCGATTTATGATGTACTAAAACAAAAAATAATTAAAAAAAAAAAGAATTATCAAATGATTTTGTTTCCACATCAATTCAAACAGCATTTATATTTCATCTAAATCAATATAATATGATTTTTATCAAATGGATCATCTATAATGATCAATTCTTTATATGTTCGTTTGTGTAAAATAATGTCATGATTTGTTTTGTAGGGGGAAAAATATTGACATTGATATTTAAAGTCAGATGGATAATGTCAATTTAGAAATTTTTATTTTTTTGTAAAAAAATTTTAAAAATTGACAAAAAAAAATTAACATTTAAATAAAATTGATTATCAAATGATCAAATAAATTATAATTTCTCGGAATGAAATTTTTTGTTTCACCTCTTTCGATTTTTAATCATTTTGATTATTTGTAAATTTATTTTTAAAAAAAAACGAATGGATAATGAACAATATATCGACAATAATTACACATAGGAATCATTGACAAAAGATATAAATTGTAATTGTATTTCATTTTTTTTTAATTTTTAATTTGAAAACAATTTTTCTAAATAATTTGCTATTTTTGGTTTCGTAATGTAAAAAAAATAATGTTAAAAAGGAAGAAAAGATTTAGTAAAGATTAAAGATTTCTTTTTCAAATATTTCGTCCAAAAGTAATACCCATCGATTGATTGATACCGCATTTATTTTGTCGACGTGGTAAAAATAGAAAACCATCAATTCCCCAATTTAAACCCCAACTATTTTTAATAATCCAATTATTTTTTGTCCAACCAGTTATTACAATTCCATGATTAATTTTAATATCACATTTACCACGAAATACACCTCTTGTAAATTGAAAATCTTTTGAATCACCATTAATACCAGCAATTACCGGTCCATATTTTAAAATATATTTTTGAATAAACATTTCATCATTTCTATCATGTCCACACCAATCGATAATCTCATAATTTAATTTTGATTTTGGTAATCCTTGACATGCGTAAGAATTTTGCTATTTTCGAAACAAAAATGATTAGTTGATTAAAGTGAAAAATTTTCAAAAAAAAAAGAACAAAATTACAAAATCAACTTACTTTACCTTCATATTTTGAATCATGTTCATCAACAATACCTTGTACTTTCATAATTTTCCAAACTGAAAGTATCGATCCACCTTTTTTACAAACATCATATTTAAAACAATCCACTATAGCCTGTTCACTTATATCTACATCATTTTTTTTAAATTTCTTATTACCATGAATAAGATATGCACTTTCGACTGCCCCAACAGATGCAAAAATAGAACAAGAATTACATGTCATTTGTTGTTTACAAGCTGTAACTTTTCCTTGTTTATTCCAGTCAAATTCTTCCGGAATCAAATCTACTGTTTTAATATCTGGACAAATAGTAAAAGTTTCATTTTGATTATCATTTGATGAAAACAATTTGTTATTCAACAATCCTCTATATTCATCATAGCTCTTTGTAAATTGAAATTCAAATCAAATTAATCAATATTTGATCGAGAAAAAAAAATTTATTAATCTTACCAAATGTGATAAAGATGTTAAACCTCTAATCATTTGTTGTTCCTTTGATGAAAATAGACATTTACGTATTCTATGTAACAATTCTCGTATATTATGTATAAATGTTATAACAATTTGTTGAATTTTTTTATTATTATCTATAAATAAATTTCTATGTCCTTTAAATTCCTAATTTGGGATTTATAATTTATAATTTCTAATTAATACTATTAATTAATACTTACAAAATATTTTTTGATAACATATTTTATCGGTTTATAAAAAAGATTTAAATCCTGTCCACCAAATTCACCATTATAACATTGTTTTAATTTATTAACATCGGTTTTATTGACAATATCCTGAATAATATCAGTAATTGTATTCAATACTTTTTTTCGTATTCCAGTAAGAATTTTATTTGATAATGAAAATCTTTTCGGTAATTTATCAATTGTTTTATTATAAACAGTTGACATTGTTGTCTGATCTAATTCATTAGTATTTTCAGCATTCGTTAATAATAAACCATTATGAAAATTGAACAAAATAATATTGATCAAAATGATTTTTTCCAATAAATTATTCATAATGATAGCGATTTTATTATACGATGTTTAATGTTTGATGAAAAATAATTAATTGACAATTCATGATGAGCTAATAATGGTATAATTTGTTTGTAATGTGAAAAAAATATTGTCATGTTATTTAAAAAGAGAGAGATTGATATGAATGTCAATTCAAAATTTTTATTTTTATTTCATTTTTTTTGTGCAATCAAATTAACATTTAATAAAATTGATTATCAAACGATCAAACAACAATAATTTTCACCCTTTTCCCTTTTTTTTCATAAAATAATATTGAATTAAAATAATTTTTGTTTTTGTTATTGTTCAGGAACACCAATCGGTGCAGCTACAATCCAACCAATACCACAATTATTTTCTTTATTTTTCGATAGATAAAGATAACCATCGACACCCCAATCAGTTCCCCAACTATTTTTAATAATCCAATTTTTTTCCGTCCAACCAACAATAACAATTGAATGATGTAAATCTTTTCTTGATTGTTTACATGCGCCATGATAAGGACCACGTAAAAATTGAAATTTTCGATTAAATGCAGCACCACCAAAAATTGGACCATAACGTAGTATAGCTGACATTATTTCTTCATTCGAATGAACACGTTGATAATCGAAACAAAAATCTTGTATACGAACGCGTTTTGGATAAGATTGTTTACAAAAATGTTCCTTTAATTTTTGTTTTCAAATAAAAAATAAAAAATATTATTGAAAAGTTTAAACAACAGCAAAAAAAACATGATATATGATAATATGAATAGAGTGTACATACCCGTAGCACATATGGTTCCAAATCTTCATAAGTAATACCTTGAGTACGAATAAAATTAAATATTTTGGCTACATTAGCACCTTTACATTTTCCAACACAATTAACAAGATGTTGTTCACTTAAATTGATATCATTATTATTATTTATTCCATGATAACCTGCGATTCGATGATGATCACGATAACTACTTCGATAACGAGAATAATAACCACTTCGATAACGAGGATAATAACCACTTCGATAACTAGGATAATAATCAAAATAAGGTCTATTATAAAAAGTTTCTGGTTGAATTTGAGGAATATTATTATAATAATTATTTGCTCGTTGATTTTGAGGATAATTATAATAATTATTTGCTGGTTGATTTCGAGGATTATTATAATAATTATTTGCTGGTTGATTTCGAGGATTGTAATAATTATTCGATGGTGGTTCTTCAGGATTATTATAATAATTATTCGATGGTGGTTCTTCAGGATTATTGTAATAATTATTCGATGGTGGTTCTTCAGGATTATTGTTTATATCATCTGAATTGGATTCATCAGTATTTTTCTTAAGATGATTTGCATTATTGTAAAAATTATCTGGTGGAAAGTTTTCATGATTATTGTAAAAATCATTTGGTGGAAAGTTTTCATGATTATTGTAAAAATTATCTGGTGGAAGGTTTTCGGGTTTTCTAAATTTTTCGGGATTAACGGCTTCTTTCACTACTTTTCCAACATCATTCAAAAAATTATTTGTTATATCCTCAACATCTGAATGATGATTTGATGATGGTGGCATTACATGTGGTTTTTCAGGATTGATATAACGACGATTTGATGATGGTGGCATTACATGTGGTTTTTCAGGATTGATATAACGATGATTTGATGATGGTGGTACTACATTATGTGGTCTTTCAGGATTATTATTACGACGATTTGATGATGATTCAGCCTTATTATTAGGATTATTTTTTCGATTACGAAGTGCATGACTTTCAATTACTGCTGTTGATGCAAATGCATAACATGAACCACATGTTCCTTGATTTTTTACTCGTGTGACAATACCTTTATCACGCCAATCAAATCTTTGCGGTAATGTTGATTCTAATCGAAAATCACATTGACCAAAATTTATATTAGCATTTGATGATTGTCTATCATTATATGATATTTGTCTTTTTTTTATATTTTTAGATTCTTCTTCAATATCACCAAGATATGGATTGCCTAATTCTTCAAATTCTTTTTCAGTATATGCTGATAATGGTGTTATACCTAAAACAGTTAATCCATCTGTACTATTACTTTTGATAAATTCATGGACACAATTTTCAATCATATGAACTAAATTGACCATATTTTTAACAAATGATAAAATACGTTTAGCAATTTTTGGTTTCGGAATATTTTCAAATAATTTTGAACCATTCTTGAATTTTTTTTTGCCAAAAACAAAAAATTATCAAAATCACAAAAAAAAATGGTTAAAAATTAACAAAGGTATTTTGGGTGACAACGGGAAAAAAGTGGTGAAAAAAAATAAAAATGAAAAACTTACAAAAAATTTTTCCACAACAATATGGATTTTCGTTTTGAATAGATTTAATTCATTACCACCATAAAGGGGATTATAACAATGTTTTATATGTGATAAATGTTCCTTCATAATTTGTTTACGTTTTTTCCATATTTTATCAATTTTATTTTTCAAGTGTCCATAAATCCATTTGTTAATATTAAATAATTTAATACCAGATTTTTTCGTGGTTTTTTTTGTTGTTGTTGTTGTTGTTGGTGGTGGTGGTGTTGTTGTTGTTGATTGTCCATTAAGAATTGAATTATTATTGTCGGGTGGGGTTAATGTTGTCGATTGATTATAACCATTGGTCATCAATAACAATATGATGGTCAATATTATTAAAAATGATGATGTTGATGATGATATTAATGATTTTATGAACATTTTATTATCCATTATTTAAAAAGTTTTTTTAATAAATGTTTAATTTTTTTCTATTTAATCAACATTTTCATTAGGATTTTGTTTGTCTGATAATTTTTATCTTTTGAAATGTCTATTTGTTTTGACATTTACAATCGGAAAAAGTTTTTTTTAAAGAATTCAACTGTAACCAATCGAGCAATCGATTATTTGATTAATTTAACTATGTAATTCAACACACTATGCCCATTAGACATTTGAATTCATTTACACCATAGTAACCGATTAAATAGAAAATTTTCACCAAATACAAAATGTGATGTGTTAATGAAAAAAAAACAAAAAATCATACAAAAGAAAATGTCATTATCATTATTAAATATGACATTTATAATTGACATTTTAATTATTTTGATGATTATTGTGAAAATAAAATCCAAATGAATGATGAAATATCGTCAACAACTTTGAAGAAGATTCATCGACACAAAAGATGATTTCATCCAATGCAAAAAAAAAAAATCGATCTTTGATTGGAAATTTAATGCGTTCCGGTCGTAATGAACAATCAGGACAATCCAATACAGTAACTCAATGTTCAATGTAAAGTCAACGATCATTGAAAAATTTAAACAAATTATCAGGACAATCCGTTAATATTGATCCGTAATCAAACAAGTAATAACGATCCAATCGGATTGAAACCGTTTAACAAACATGACAGAAAGTGGTGGCCGCAATCGATCAAGAAATTCAATTAAATTCTAATTACAATCTTTATCAAACAATCAATTAATTCAAATAGAAAATAAATTTGAAAGGAAATGTTTAAAAAACTAATATTCAAAAAAAAATAAAAAATTTCTTTTAATTTTTTTTGACTCAGTTTCAATTTTTATCTTTTAATTTCACTCAATTTCTTTCGAATAAAATTAAAAAAAACAAAATGAAAAAAATTGATTCACCAAAAAGAAAACACTATAAATTTATATTTAAAGTTTGCAAATTTTTTTCACTTTCTCTCTCTCTCTCTCTCTTTGACCATCATCAATCATCCCAATATATTTTTCTAAGTTATGGATCAAACAAATGATCTAGCATTATGGCCAATTCTTCGTCGTGTTCCGAATGATTTTCTTCATATTACTGATCGTTTTTTTATATTTAATAATGGTGAATCCTTATTATTATTTTGTCGTAATGGTAAAGTATATGGATATGGTCGAAATCCATACGGTATGTTAGGCGTTCCAACCGATGATATACGACAAAAATATTTTGGACTTTTACGTTTTTATTGTTATAATCATACATCATTATCATCATCATCATGTCCACTTGTGAATGAACCAAAAGAATTGATTAAATTACGTTTTATCAATATAATTGCCTTATCCAAAGGTGATAAACATATGATGGCATTAACTGATTTAGGCGATCTTTATGGATGGGGTTGTAATCATTCGGGACAATTAGGTTTAGGATGGTATCGTATGAATTCAATAGAACCAACATTAATTTTACATGATGTACAAAAAGTATGTTGTGGACCAAAACATACCGTTGCATTAGTTATGGATGGATCGATTCGTATTTGGGGAAAATTTCCCGGTTGTCCACATAATTTTACACCTGAACGTTTAATTCGTTCACCATCAGCTATGATCGATTTGATAACAACTAAATATCTAACTATTGCCTATGATAATTGTTTTGATAATAATGATAAAGGTGCATTCTATGTTTGGGGTGATTTAAAACAATTCGGTAAGTGTTTTTTTTTTTGGTTGTTGTTATTTTGAAATTTTATTCAAATAAATTTAAATCAGGATTATCTGGATCATCATCCACTGTACGTTTGACATATAAACGTAATGATTATTCTAAAATATTTAAAATAATACCAATCGGTATGAATAAAATAATGGTATTAACACGTGATGGTCGTGTAAGCATATTATCCATACAAAATGAACGTGTACGATCCATAAGAAATCCATTTCGTTCAATTAATTCTATTGATTTTTGTATTGATATACCTGAAGATCCTAATGTTGCTATTATTAGAACTAGTGATGATTGTGGTGGTCAATGTTTTGTTTGGGATGATAATATTCGACGATCGAATGGTCAAAATTTATTTTCAACAAATAATTGTTCAATAGCTGATACTACATGTTTATATTCATCATCATTTACACCACAATTAACTCGATTACCATCGAAATTACTTTCATCTGTTTTGACAACAAAAACAACAATTTCAACATTTGAATTTAACGATCCACGTGAATCTGATCTGATTTTTCGTTTCAAACATTATCAATCAAAACCAATCTATGTACATAAAGCCATATTGATGAAATATTCAAATTATTTTCATTGGAAATTATCAACAATGGCTAATAATGGCCAAATATTAACAATTATGATTGATGATCAAACTTCTTATATTTCAATGTTTATTTATCTTCGTTATATTTATACGAAAAAAATTTCATTCAATGAAATTGATGATTGGATTCTATCCGAAATGTATCATTTGGCATGTAAATATTCGGATCAAGAATTTGTTGGATTTATTGTCGATCATCTTTATTATACAAAACCACATTATCATCAACAACAACAACATAATCATTACTTTCATTCGTAGACCATTTAATATAATTATCATTTTATAATTTATGAACTTTTCGGACATTTATTATTATTATTATTATTTCGCTAACCTTTTTTCTGACCTACGAATATTCATTCATTATTTTCATTATATAAAATAATTGATGAACAAGATTTGTTTAATTTAAATGTAATCAATAAATAAGATTTTTTTAAAAAAATCTTTATGTAAGAATTTCATCAAATTTATTGGCCGCATCGGCATCATTAGTTGTTGTTATTGGACGTTTTCGACGATGTAATAGACATTCAGCTTGTTGAAGAACATTGTCAACATCGTTTAAATTTTCAGATCCTGATTCGGAATCGGTATCAGAATCATCATCATAAAGATCAGCATCGAAATCATAATCATTTGTATTGACTGTTTCATCATTAACATCTTCAATATGTACATCATCAATATTAGCCGATGAATTATGATTAGTTGTTAGATTATTCAGTTCTTCTTTTTCTTGCTGTTGTTGTAATCGTTCAAGACGTTTTTTCCTTTTTCTTAACTTTTTATCATCAATAGTGCCACCACCGAAATGTTGTTCCATCTGGAAAAAAGCCAAAAAAAAAAATTAATGCGACAAAATTAATCAAGTTAGATATTCATTCATTATAATGCTAACCGCTTGATCAATCTCTTTTTTTCTTTCAGCTTTACGTTCAGCTTCATCGGAAAAATATTCCCATATCATAAGACCAAAAATACCCAATGTTGGTACAACTAATACTAATGAAAACATACATAATGCAATGTAGCCAAACCATTCACTTGCCCAATTAAGACTTGTAGAATTATTATTGGTCGATTCAACAATAGAATCAACAATAGACGATTCAGATTCGGATGACATTTTTTTATTTTTTTTTTTTTGTTGATAATATCACTTATTATTTTCTTTAATTCTTATCAAAACATATATGACATTGTTGGTTTTGTTTGTATTTATTTTTTCTTGAATCAAGCAATTAAACAAAAAAGCAATGTGAAAAAAATAACGAAAAGCTTAAAAGAAAATATATTTGAATACAAACAATTTCGAATAACGGATATGAAGAGCAAAATAAAAAAAATTTTTAAACAAACCAACTTAACATTTGGTTCATTTAAAATCAAAATATCGATCCATAATGAATTAACAACAACAACAATGGAATAAAAGTTTCCAAGACAACTGGTAATAATGATGATAGAGATACTACATATCATAAAAGAAATTCTATGTCAAACAGAATATTCATGAACCAAATCAATATCTAACAATAATTATAATAATAATAATATCGGTGTGTTTGTTTCGATTGTTAAGCTTTTTTTTTGCATTTCCATTTCATTTTCATTATGATTCAAGAAAAAAATGCATAAAATAAATCGAACTAAATTCAAATAAACATTCAATATTATAAATATAATGATCATGTGGAACATGTTTAGCGCAAGAACAGTTTTCTTATATTCTTTTTTCTCAAGAAAAGAATCAATTTTTGTTTTGTTTTTGTTAGTTCCGTTATTATTTAACAAAAAGAAAATTAAACAATTAGAATAATGAAAATAATTTTGAAATGATAAGATATAATTTTTTTTCTGACAAATGTTATATTTTTGGATGATCTGTATGTACACAAAACAAACAAACAAAATAGGAAAGGGAAAATTATTCTTGAAATAGAAAAATAATAATTTAATAAACATTTTTGTGAATTGAATAAATCATAATGATTGATGAAAATGATAGAATGGTAATATCATCATATGATATTATCATTTACTTTTGAATGCCATTACCAATGCACCGGCAGCCAATACTGCACCACCAACAATAGCCAATCCTTTCATTCCATTATTGAAACGTTTTTTATCAGCATAATCTTTTAGATCTTGTACCTGACGATTTGATGGTTCAATTTCAAGAAATTTTTTCGCACATTCCAATGCACGTACATAATCCTATTGAAAAAAGATTTATTATTATGGATATATAAGATATAGAATAAGATAAAATACAAACATGAAGTTTAATATTGACAATGATCAGATAGAATAGATAATCTCGAAATGCTTCAGGATCACCAGATACACAAAGATCTTCGAGCAATGTAATGGCACGATGATGATCGGCCGACAAACGTGAACGAGATAATGTGACAGCATATTGGAATTTTGTATCAACATCACATTTACCTTCACGCATTGCTTTATTAAATTTTTCCGTAAGAAGTTTTAATTCAGAATTTGTCACATTACTGTCTAACATTGCTTCAACACGTTCTTCCATTTTGTTTTTTTTTCTCAAACTAATTTATTTGTTCAGGTAAATGATTAGAAAATTTTTCGACACAAATTCAAAATTAGAAATATTATCGATTAAATTCAATGAGTCAGAGATTAAAAAAAAATTGTTAATTACAAATCGTTGACTGGCTGATTGAAAAGCTATTGCATCAAGAACAAAAAAAATATCATCGCTCAGCTGTGTTGATTGTCAACAGTAAAAAAAACGTCAATTCACAAACAACGTAATTAAAATTTTTCGTGAATAAAATTTAAAATTATAAAATGAATTAACAAGAATTAGATTTTTTTTTACTTCTTTTCGAACGCAATTCAAACTTAAAAATTCACTACTGTTTCTTTCCCATTGCGCTCATCAATGCAATTGCCGCAATACCGGCAGCAAATGTAACTGCTCCCCAAAAAAATGATTGATTTCGATTTTTAATCCATTTTTCAATCATTTCCAAACGTTCAAGTTGTTCAACATTGAAAGAATTTCGTTGTCGACATGTTTCCAAAATATTTTTAGCTTGATCCAAATCCTATAAAATAAATATACAATTGATGATCATTTTTATATTTTTAAAAACTACATTTATACTTTTATTTTTATGTAACCAATGATTAAGCCAACATAGAATTCTAAGGTCATGGCTGGATCCATTCTTCTAAAACGAATAACTTCATTAAAAACTTGAATTGCTGTTAGATGATCTTGTTCGAATGGTGATTGTAACAACATTTGTCCATATTCTAATTCTTGATCAGCATTTAATTGATGTTCTTTAAATGCAATACAATATTTTTCAGCAATTTCTTGCACTTGCGATTCGGATATTGTATTTTGTAATAAAATTTTATCTTTCGAAAGCATTTTTGATTGTTTTGATTTCGTTTTTTCCGAACTCAATTATTCAATGATAAAATTATAAATAAAAATTACACCCATAATATTGCGTCCATCAAAAAATATATCGAAAAGTTTTAATGCCGATGTTTTAATGATGTTGTAAACAAAATTGAAATCCAATTTAGACTTTGAAAGTAATCAAAAATTATCGAGAAAAAACTTACAACCTATAAACTATTGATTTTTTTTGAAAAATTTTTATTCAAAATAATATAATAAAGATTATAAAGATAAAGATGTCACATTTAAATTATTTTTAAAAAATTTAAACATCAGTAAATACACGAAAATCTCGTGAAAATCGAAAAGTATTTTTAGTTATTATTCTTCCTTTAACAGTAGGTTCTGTAATTAAACAAGGGGAAAAAATTATCTAAAATATAATTCACTAATTATATATACTAACCTTTTGTATTAGCATGATATGAAACACGAAAACCGGGTAGAAAATTTTCTCGTGAATAATATTTTATCATCATAGAATTTGATAAACTTTGTATTGATGCAGGTTTATCCTGTATGTGTGTGTGTGTAAAAGCAATAAAATAAGTATTTTTTCTCAAATTCAATATGCTTACCATTGAACAAAATGTAGCCAAACGTTTTTCTTCCAAATCTTCGAGACCATCAAAAATTGTAATAAAATTTGTATCACATGGTTCAGGTATCATAAATTCATCAAATTTTAATGTAATTGTATGATAACCATTAGTATGTATCATCCATATACATGTTTGATCATTGATAGATGGAAATGGATAATTTGGTGATGTAAATGATCCACGAAGACTTGTAAAATTTCCGCCACAACCAGGTACTAATGATTTTGGTTGTGATGTATATGATATTGAATAAAGAATTTTATTACGATTATCATGTGGATTAACCGGTGTTCCAGGAATTCGAATCTGATATCTAGCTTGAATAATTAACGATAATCGATTTGATGTTGTAAACAATGGATTAGGTAAAGTTTTCTGATCACAATATATTCCAAATACTTTTGGTTTTTTATCATCACCATTATCATTATTACCATCATAAATGGTTAGATTTGAATGTGAACAAATGTAAAATGAAAATTGTTCAAAAAATACTGATATTTGTCGATCTTCAGGAACTGTTATGTTTATATAGCAAAATATACCCATATGAACCAATGTTGGATGTGGATAATTTTTATTTGAAATAAAACCATTATCTGGTCCTTCTAATGTTTCATTACAAACAGAAAAATGATGTGTAACATTAAATCCACGAAATGTTTTTCTTTGTTGTTGTTGTTGTTGTGTTGGCATTAATTTTGTAGATGTTGCTGTACGATTAATACCAACATAATCATATGCAGTTTCTACCGGATCGGTAAATGTTTTCATTATCAAACGAATTCGATTATTTGAATCACTCATAAATTTTACTGGTGCTGGTGATGAACATAATGTTATTGGACTATATAAATATGATTCATAAGTTGATGGTCGAAATTGTATAATCTGAACATAATCACCATTTGAACAATCTAGATCAAGATCTTGAAATTTCAAAATAAGTGGTATACGATAATAATTAAATTGTCCTGATATTTCCCAACTACATTGTAATGGTCTTTCATAGCCATTTGGATATTGTGGTGATATTAATGATGAAGGTATTTCCGATGAAATAATTGTACCACCACAGGTACGATTTTCAACACGAAAATGTGCACGAAAACCATGACCCAAAATATCATCATGATTTGTAATGAATTGCAATAACAATGAATTAGTTGTGCTGGTTAATTTTTCTGGAATCATAGTACGACCACATAATATTGTTAACTGTTGTGCATGTATGGTTATACCATCAAAAACTTGAAGATAATCACCACCATGAATACAACGATCCGGATCGGTTTCATTATCAATAGTGGCCACATCGAATCGTTCAAATTCAAGTGTTAATATTTGATTTTCACGAAGACCACTAATTGTCCATAAACAATCTAATTGTTTTTCATAAAAAGAATCTCCATCTAAATCGGGTGTAATGATAACCCCATCCATTTGTCCATCAAAATGGCCACCACAATTAGTTTTTGGACCAGGTGATGCCCAATATCGTAAACGAAATTTTGGCACAAAAGAATCTTGCCATGTATCATGCATCAAACTAATAAACATTTGATTTCCAGTCGATTTGAATGTAACCTCTTCGGTTAGGTTACTGCACAGATATGCTAAAGGAGGATGATAAATTTCATTTATCGTTTCCATAATTTTCAAATTATTACAACAATAATATCGACAATGTTCATTGCCTAAATTCATTTCAATTATCTGCAAAGAAACGGACATTCTTTCATCGGGAATCATAATATTCCATACACATTCACGTTGAGAACCAGTTGGGCTAATAATTTCACCTTCTGCATCTGTAATATTACCACCACATTTTGTAACATTATAACGAAGTTTGAAACCTCGTTTTGTAACCATAAGATCGGCATGAAAAACGATAGTAAGTAATTCATTTGAAACAAGTCGTGGAGGAGCAATGAGACCACAATAAGGACCATAATGTTTAGTAGATGAATTTTGATGATCACCAAGATAGATATTGACCGAATCAAACAAACAATTTGTATGATGTTCAAGATCGAATTCTTCGAATTGAATTTGGATATATTCATTTGGATTTCGTCGTATTCGATAAATACAGGTCAAATCATTACTATATGATCCTTGTGTAAAATAATTGGGTGAATAAATAAAACCGGATTCATCTTCGAATTGTCCACCACATTTTTGCCGATACTGTACACGAAAACCATCACCTTGAATATTATCATTAGAACGAAACGTAATACGAACTAAATCTGATTGAGAAATAATTGTTTTCGGTGTTTGATGACCACAAAGTTTTGATATTTGTGTCCATTCATCAATATTTGTGGATAATCCTTTACGTTCTTCGAACAAAAGATAATCATTTTGACAATTATCAGATTGTTCCAGATCAAATCGTGAAACAAATTCAAATTCAAGATGAAAATCTGGCATCGCTTTTATAGTCCAAACACATTCAATCGATAATGGATAACGATGATTAGTTTGACCACCAAAACCTGTGTCAGTATCACTTATATCCGAATAATTTGGTGAATGAAAAAAACCTTGATGTGAAGCTAGAAGACCACCACATCCATTTGAAATTGGTTCAATACGAAAACGAAATTTTCTCTGACTTGAATCATATGTACTTGGATTTGTTGAACTTGATGATATGGAAAGATTTTGACTCGAAACAAATGATAAAATAATTCCATGTGTCAGATAAATAGGTACGGGTAAACTATTTACACTTGAACAGATTCGTTCCGAACCTTGCCATTCATAACGTGGATTCATTTGTAACTATTTTTTTTAAAAAAAACAACAATTTAAAAAATATATCAAAATAAAAATAATAAAAATCATTAGATACCAGAAAATAATCCTGATCACAATTATGACCAATATCTAATTCAATGAATGTTAATTTATAACCAGGTATACTGTTAGCTTCAAAATCAATATTCATTCGTTTGAATATCCAATGACAAAATGTTGATGATGGATATGCATTTGGATATGATGGTGATTGAAATTCTTGTTCGATCATCGGATCAAATAAACCACCACATTTTTGTATAAAATATTCTCCACGCATTCCTTTATAAACATTGGATTTGGTACGATTAAAATTTAAAAATATTGTCGGATTGATTGCTAATGATTCATCAAAATCACGAAAAATTGGTACAATAAATTTTAGGCCATTTTTCTGTGGTTTTTTATTTTCCGGTATACAAATCAGATGTCGAGTTCCAAATATTTTTACTTGTTTTCGAAAATTGAAATTAATTAGCTAATTTATTTAAGAATGGAAAAATAAATTTAAACTTACAACCAGAATGTAATTGTCCAACATTTAAAGTTGAATTTGAACAATCACCTGGAACATCAAACGTATCGATGACAAGTGAACCTGAATGATTGAAACCAATTTTCATTTCCCATGCACAGCTAATCAAACCAGTCATATTATGACTAAAATCGAAATCCATTGATTGAAATGAACCATATGATGAATCAAAAATTGCACTGCAAATATTTTCACCACTAATACTTGTGTACACCAAACTAAAACCTTCATTCGAATCCAATTCTTTGGCAAACATTTTAATAGTCATTATATGAGTTAATGATTGAATAACTCTGGGCCGTAATCTTGAGCATCCATATTTGTTGGCCAATATTGGTGGTACAAAATAATTTCGTTGAATCATCATAAGTTTATTACAACGTAATGTTTGTTTTTTATTTTTCTTTTTTTTCGTTTCATCATCATCATTATCATTCATTTCTACTGGAAATTGACCAAAATTAAACCAAGAAAATGTTAATTTGATTAAATTTCCAGGATCATTGTAAAATAACCATTGACATGATACACGACGAGTATTTGATCGAATATCTGTTGGCAAAAATACTAGACCGGTTGTTGTTTGACGTAAATCAATAAAATGATAACAACGTTTATATTTAGCAAATGCATAAAATTTGATTCCAATTGAATGATCATTATTAAATCTATCGACACCAATATCACCACCATCAACATTTGGTTCGATATTAATTTGTTTATAAATAATAAATAATTCATTCGATTGAGATGTAATAATTAAAGGATTTGTTGTTTCATTTTTAGGTGAACATAATTTCATTAGATTTGTAGGGGAATTGGAATTTTCTTTAATTTCAATTATATCACCTTTTGTACAATCTTTACCACGTAACAATATTGATGTAATATTTAATGTGATAAAAAAATCAGCTTGTGTCAATAATCGAATTGTACATAGATTGGATGAAAATTGTGTTGATTTTTTTATAGATGAATTGATTTGATTACGATATCGAAATTTAGGAAATTGATATTCATCTTCTAATTTTGATAAACCATTTTTATCGGTTAGAAAACTACCAAATGGAACATAATATTCACGATTACAACCTTCAATCGTAATTGTTGCTTTAAATCTTGATTGAAATGAAACTTTTTTCAATACATAACGAATCAATGTTATATGTGAATTGACAACTATAGTATTCTGATTGAATGCTGGTATACAAATTCGTTCAATTAATCCGGATAATTCAGAACCGCCATTATATACTTCAAGATAGGAATTATTCTTATCACATGATGACCATTTTTCTTGTTCAAATGTAATCTGTATACCATAATCTAATGGACCACGAATTATCCATTCACAAATAATATCATGTTTAGGATATTCCGGATAATCTGGTGATGATATTATAACATCATCACCAGCACGTTTTATAACAAATTCACCACCACATTTAATACCAATTTCTTCATAACGTATTCGAAATGAATTTGTTGCACGTTTACTTCGATATACAACATAAGCATAATTTGTACTTGTATCTGATAATGTAAACCATGTTGTTGCATGACCACATAATGGACGTGTCAATAATGGTGAATCAATTGAATGACCATTATGAATTTCTAATGATTCACCTCTATTTTGACATGTAGATGAATCGATAATAAATCCAATCGAATAAAATTCTATATGAAATCTTATCGTTCGCCCTTCACGTACTTTAATTTTCCATTCACATATTTTAATACCACGAATTTGTTCATCAATATCTTCTGATGAATCGATTTCACCATTCGGTTGATCGGTTAGATTTCCACCGCAAATTGGAGTTATTGTTAAATTATAGTTGGCTTTCACTGGAAAACTTTCAAATTTTTTAAAATAACGTAAATTTAAACGAAATTCATTACTTTCACGAATTTCAATTGGTTCAGTCATACGACTACAAATAGTTTTTATTGATTGCCATCGATGTTTTGTTGTTTGCCAAACATATAATGTCATTTTATTTGACCAACATGATGATTGAGGATTTATAGCCATAAGATCAACGGTAACATTCATATGCATTGATTGTTTTGTACGAAAATACCAATCAATATCGTTTCCATATGAAGTGAAATTTTCTGACAATAAATTATATGATTGTCCATGATCAATAAATATACTAAATGTTGTATTAATATTATCTGGTATACCAATATTTTGTTTTATATTTGTATATTCAGTACCATTAAGCATTGACCATTTCAGTAAAAATTTGATTTGTTTCGATGGAATATATGCATCATATTTTCTCATATACATTAATGTTATTGCATTTGAATCGGCAATAAAATCATTTGGAAGTTGTTGACCACAATAAGATTGTTTTGGTTCAGGAAAAATTGATGATTGTAAATTGGTTGATATTTGTTCGGTAAGTGATGATGAAATTTGACTAAAATCTACAATACCATTATAGATTGATAATTGAAATGGACAAAAATTGATAATTTGATCACCATGAAGTGAAAATTCTTGAAATTCTAATTTGATATAATGATCATGTGGTACAACAACATACCAAATAAATGTAACATTTTCAAAATAAAAACCACTTGGCCAACCTGGTGATCCAATCATTCCGTTTGAAGAAGAAAGATAAGTGATAGTTGCAATTCGAAAATGAAGAAGAAATCCTTTTGCAACGCCAACATCATCAGTACGAAATTTTATCCATAAATTTCCTGGTGAATCAATTTGAATTTGTGGTAATGGTTTTTGTTTACCATCAAATTGCCCGCATAAACGTTGACCATTTGGACCAAGAATTGTTCCACTTGAATTATCTAAACGAATTTCCAGATAATCATTATTACAATAATCAGATGATTCAATATCAAAATTTTCAACAAATTCCAATTCAAAACGATTACTTGGTGCTGCTTCCAACACCCAAATACATTCAATATTTAATGGATAGCTATTTGGATATCCAGGTGTTGCAATATAGCCTTCAGTATTATGAAAATCACCACCACAAAATGAATGAATCGATGATACTAAGGCACGAAATATGGCAGCTTGAACAATTAAAAGAAGTGTATCACCTTGTGATACAACTGGTGGTGGTATTATATGATTGCAAATCTGTTGTAATCGTTTATTAGGTAATTGTTCTCGTCCTTCATAAATTTCGATTTTAAGAAATTCACAAGGAATCTGACCAGGATCAATATTTGTTGTATCGAGATGTGTAAAACGAACAGTTAGCCTATCTTCAGGTTTTGATGTTTTCAATATAAAATGACATGGTTTTTCCTGATTAATTCGATGAGGATAATTTGGTGATAATATATTTTGATATTGTTCTTGATCATCGATTATGATTGTTTTTCCACAAACTTTTCGATAAGTAATATTAAAACCACGACCAGTATGTAGTCCATCGGAAAATAATCGAACAGATAGTACAGAATTATTACTACGAAATTTCAATTCTTCTTTGGTTGGTTGTGATAATTGACCACAGAACTTTGCCAAAAGTACAGAATCCGATTCATCAAAAAATCCATCATAAATGGCCAGATAGCTTGCTGAACAGTTTATAGATTTAGGTATATCATAATCATTGACAATTAATTCAATATCAAAATTTTCTTCAGCCATTAATCGATAAGAACAATCGGTTTTTGGATCATAATGATTACCACCACCATAATTAGGCGATGTAATTGTTCCTTTTTCAGCCAAATAAGTACCGCCACAGCCTCGTTCAGTAGTTCGAAATGTAGCATTAAATCCACGATGTGAATTGGATAGATCGGATGTTAATTTAATTGTCATTTCATTACCATATGAAGATAGATGAATATTTGATGTACGACTACATTGTTTTAATAATAAAGGAGAATTACGATCATTATTACCACTGAATACCTGAAGATTATCATAAACACAATCATTTGATAATTCAATGTCTAAATCTTCGATCATAAGATCAATTTTGTAACCAGGTTCGGCATAAATATGCCATAAACATTCAACATTTAATGGATATGAATTTGGATAATCGGGTGAAGATATAACGCCTATTGGATGATTACGAAATTCTCCACCACAACCAGTGGATGACCATTCTAAACGAAATCCACTTTCAATCGAACGTGTTTCATCCGATATAAACTGTATTAGAGCTTCATTTTGTTCTATACGTATCATCGTAGGTAATGAACCGGTATAATTTCCACAAAGTGTCATTTTTGTTTTAATATCATTTGGTTCATTTATTTTCAATAGATTGACATCTTGAAGTCGAAATTGATTTGGTCGTATTACTTCGGAAATATTAATATAATCAAATTTACAATCTACATTTGTTTCCAAAACAAGTTGTGAAAATGCAATAGTAATATTATTACCTAATGGTGCTAATATATGCCATATACAATTCAAATTATGTGGATGTGGATCTGGATAATTAGGTGATTCAATCACACCGTAACGTCCAATCAATGTTTGATTACAATCAGTTCGATAATTTAATTTGAATCCACCTCGATTTATGGTTGCATCAGTTACGAAACGGATAAACATTTTGTTGCCAGTAGTTTTGATAAGAGGTCTTGATATATCATTATGATTGCAAAATTTTCCCAATGATTTTCTTGCTTCATTTCCATTATCACTATCATATATTTCTAAATAATCAAATTCACAGTTTTTAGCTGCATTTGTACGTTCCATATCCAATGTTACCAGATAGGCGGAAATAATCGAACCTTCTGCTACACGTATTTTCCATTCACAATTCATATTGTTGATATAATAATCTGGATAACCAGGTGATTCAATGCTACCAGATTCAGCTGTCATTGTTCCACCACAACCAGTTGCCATTGCTTCATAATAAACTTCAAAACCTTTGTTTTGCATTGATGGATCCGAAATGAAACGTATGAATAGATAGTTACTATGCGATATGATATCTGGAATTGGTCCAGAACCACAGAATTGTCCGATTAATGGTGAATCTGGACGACGACCATTACGAATTTCTAGATAATCATAACATCGACTATTTACTTCACTGGCTGGTTCTAAACGAAATTGAGTAAAATTCAAATGAATTTGAAGACCATTATCTACGTGTATAATCCAAGTACAATTACGATTTGCAGGATATCGTCGTGGATATCTAGGAGAACGGATTACACCAATATTTTTGAAAATATTTTTATCACAAAATGATCGTGCAGGAACAAAATGATAAGTAGCATAGAATGATCGCATTATCATTCGATCAAATCTTGGTTGTATCGCCGATATTGTTGTTGTTGGTACTGTTGTGAGTCTAGTAGCATTAGTGGAATTTGAATCCATCGAATCAAATTCTTGATTAGGCTGTGTATTATTAAGAACATAAGTGACAAACATTATACTTCCTGTCGAAATAAGTGGAGGTGGTAGTTGTTCGACACAAAATTTTTTAATTAAACTTCCATCCGAATCATTGACCATAATATAATGATCATAACAATTGGTTGTACGTTCGATGGAATAATGTGATTCATCCGATTGAATTCCGTTTGACATTGATAATGATGATGAAATTTCTGTATGAAAAAATTTCAACATAACCAGATGTGATTGATTAGCACGAATTTCCCAAAAACATTGATTCACTATCGACGATGTAACAAGACGTTCAGCCGAAATAGCAATCATTGGTTCACCTTGTTTTAAAACACCACCGCAACCAATTTCAATTGATCGATAACTTCCAATAAAACCTATTGATGGTTTAGATTCATCATTAACATAATAAATTTTAAGCTCATTATTCATCGAATAGAATGGTGGTGGAGGATTTTGGCCACAATAACGTTTTCCTTGTACCATTAGATAATCAAACATACAACGATGATCAAATTCAATATCCATTTGTTCAACAGTAAATTCAATAATATGATCGATTGGAACATTAATCTGATATGTACAATTCTTCGATAATAATGATGGTGCTGGATAATTTGGTGATTCAATTCGTCCTTGTAATTCTATCAACAACAACAATCAGATATATAAAAAAATATAACAATTTTGAACTTACCACTGAATTCACCTCCACATAATGCTTGCTAAAAATGAAAAACATTAATCGCAATGAAATAAATTTTTTTTTTATAATGAAATGTTAAAAACTTACATATTTCGCAACGAAACCTCTTAAGGCAACACTCATATCGGAACGAAATTTTACTCGTAAAAATCGACCTGTAGAAATTATTTCAGGTGGAATAATACGGCCACATAGACGTGCACGTAATGGTGATTCATATGATTCTCCATCATATATTTCAACATAATCGAATGTACAAAGACCTGAACGATTACGAGATCTCATCACTGTTGTATCGGATTCTAATGCAAAACTTAAAAATCTTAATGAAATTCTTTCGTTTGGCATTACACGAATTAACCAATCACAAACAATATTATTTTGATAGATAAGAAATGTACGACCAGTTGTTGTTGATGTATAAGCTGTACTTGGTGATTGAAATATACCACTGGATCCGGTAAGAATACCACCACAAACACCGGGTATTTGATTGAAAACCAGATGAAAACCACGGCTATGTATACCAGGATCAGAATGAAAATGGATACGTGCAAATGAACCACTTGTTGTAATTGGTGGTGGAATAGATTGTTCAGGTGATGCAGTCCAATTACAATAACGTGCTATAATATTGATAGCATCGGCATTAGAATTGATCGTTCGAATCGATGAAGGAAGACGAGATAAACTTTCACGTATTATTAAATAATCAAATGTACAATTTGGACTTGGTTCAATGTCTAAATCGGTAAAAATGAATTGTATACGTTTTCCATAATCGGCTATTATTTCCCAATGACAATCCCGATTAGCTGGATAATGATGTGGATAACCAGGCGATTCAATTATACCAGTTGTTCGATTCATAATTAAACCACCACATTTTGGATTGATTGTATCCCATGTTAATGAAAAACCTTCATGTGCTACACTTGGATCGGATCGAAATTTCAAATAAATTGAATTGAACGATGTGATAATATTGCCACCTTTTGGCAGATTTTTATAGCCACAAAATTTTCCCAAATTACGATATTCTCGTGATGGACCATCAAAAATTTCCAGAAAATCAAATGCACAACCGGGTGATTGTTCCATTTTGAAACGAGTAAATGTTATATTCAAAACTTTCGTACTTTGTTGACTATTTTGAATTACCCATATACATGTTACATTATCTGCATAGGTATTTGCTGATGAGTTTGTAGTTGGAAATGAAAGAATTCCAGCTGGTGAATCCAATTGTCCACCACAAGTGTCACGTTGTTGTTCACAATTGATTCCCATATATTCATTTGAACATTGGCAACTAAATAAAAGATTTTTGTTAAATAATAATAAACATGCATAATAAACTTACTAATGAACTCCATGATTATTGATACAACGACCGCCATTTTGACAAGGATTTGTTCGACATAGATTAGCTTGATTTTCACAATATCTTCCGGTATAATCCGGTGGACATATACAATATACATCCGATACGCCATGATGAATATAAGACATACATGATGCACCGTGTTGACAAGGATTATTAATACAATTTGTTGCAGATGAACTGATTCGTTGACATCCTTGTGATCCTTCACCTGAACCTGTGTAGCCATCATTACATCGGCATTGTCGAAATCTTGCTGATATGGCAACATTAGCAATACATGTTGCATCCGGTGAACAACCACCATTATTGGTTGAACAAATATCACCATCAACAGTTGAACAAGTAATACCATCACCAACATAACCTGGTGGACAAGGACCACAAACAACTCGATCTGATGAACTGGAAGGAAAACATGAGACACGTGGAGATATTGAACAGCCACCATTATTGATCAAACAACGGTCATATGCATTACAATGAAAACCATCACCAGTATATCCAGAAGGACAAGGACCACATTGATAACCATCTCGAGTATTGATACAATCAACTGGTGGATCTTTTGAACATCTATCGATACCTAGACGACATTCATCTACATCTACATCACATGGAGCACTTTCAATATTTGGATTTGATTTAGTAAAACCTTGAAAACAAACACAGCGGAATGCGGCCACTTTGTTCTGAGTTCGTGGTATGTTTAAACATAAGCCTTGACCACAGATTTCATGATCACTAACATTATGACAATCATTGAATTCGATATTACAACGAAGACCTTGATGATTTGCTGGACAAAGACAGACAAAACTGCCAAAAATATTCAAACAAGTACCACCATTTTGGCAACCTAATTCGGTTCCCTGATATTGGACACATTCATCAACATCTTGTTCACAATTTTGACCCATAAATCCTGAACGGCAACGGCAAAAATATTGATTAAAACCATCTTCACATGTAGCACCATTTTGACAGGGATTATTGTCACATTCATTTTTCGTTAATAATTTTTCAAGTCGATCCAAACGTCTTAACATTGTTCGTATTCTACGGAATTGTTTTCGACCAAATATTTTTTTCTGCAAAAGAATGGTATCATTTAGACGTTGTGTTAATTCATCAATACGTGAATTAATTCTTGTCTCAACAATCGAAAGTTTTCGATCAATAAATTGATTAATAGGAGAATTTTGTTGCGAAACAATTTCATTAGAATTAATTGTATCGTCTAATCCTTGATTGATGGATTGAATTTTCGATGCCAATAAATCATTTCCATTTATTCGTATTTGTCCGGAACCGGATGATCTAAAAACAATATCTTTATTACGACCAGTTAACAGAACAAGATGGCCATTTTTGACCAAAAGTCGTGGACTTTATTCAATAAATTTTGTATTAAAAAAAAAATTATAATTGATTTTTTTTAAAACTTACTGAGAATCAAATGGATCAAGATAATGATCAACATCAAATTGTTCGGTTAATTTTGCCCAAACAATTAAAAAAATGTAAAAAAATCTTAATAAAATTGTTGAAAATAGCATTTTTAATGGTGAAAAAAACAAACAATAGATCATAACATGATGATCAAAGAATAATGAATGAAAATGAATTTGTATATGAAATTCAATTTTAATCTATTTTTCTATGTTTCATTACCATTCGAAAGGGAGTTTCAATGCAATTGAATATATAACATGACAGATTTTGATAAATTGATTTGGACACAATTCGAACCAAGTAGAAAAATACGAATAGGGTGTTAATTGCTTTTAATTCAAATTTATTTTTTATTTTTAATGATAAAAACAAAATTATTGACAAAAATCACATTTTTCTTTTTTTCATTCACAATTCTTATCAATCATATATTTCATAATAAAGGATGTTTAATAGAATTTTTTTGTTTTGTTGTAATTTTAATGTTTATACATTGCAAGTTATATTCATTTTTGAAAAAATGATTTTATACAAAACACTCCATATGTAAACCGTTTCCGTTTTTTTGTTGTTGTTTTGTTTTGAATTCATAAAAATAAACATAATTTCAAACATGTCTTTCAATATTAATGATTTATCAGAACAATCTTCTTCTTCTTCTTCTTCTTCATCATCATCAACAACAGCCCCGAAAAGAATATTTACTAGAGAATTGGCCTGTATGATGTATGGATTTGGTGATGATCGTAATCCTTATGCTGAAACATTAAATCTAATGGAAGATTTGGTTATTAAATATATTACAGATTTATTAAACAAAGCTTATCAATATCGAACATGTGATCGATTAACTATTGAAGATATTATGTATGCTGTACATAATGATCCGAAAAAAATTTCTCGTGTTTATGATCTATTGACTATGAATATGGAATTGAAACAGGCTCGTAAAGCATTCGATGAAATTTCTTTACAAAATCAGTCACCATCATCATCTATTGAGAAAAAAAATGATGAACAAAAATGAAACAAAAAAAAAATTTAATTATTCAATAGCAATGTTTATATTGAAAATATATTCAATTAAATTTGATTTAAATGAAAAGTATATGGTATATTATGTTTAGCGTTAAGTATTCGAATACCTTCACAAATATGTTCATCTTGTTCGATGAACGGAGGTAATCGTTTAATAAAAATCGATTTATAATAATAAAAATGTTCAATATAACCAATGTTGAATAATAGATCTGATGTTTCATTCAAATTCGGATGTTGTTGGAACAAGGTGTTGAAATAGATTTTCCAACAATTTAATTTGGATTTTGTTAAATAAATTGTTCGTGTTGTATATCTATCCATTGGTATTTGAATCTTGAAATCATTACTTGATGGATCATTGAATAATCGTAATGGTAAAATTTCTTGTAAACAAATTTGTCGATTAATAATACAAAATGATGGTGGTGATGATGGATAACGACCATAAAATGTATATAAATCGGGTAATGATCGTAATAATGTTCGAATTTTTTGTCCTGTTTGTAGATTATAAATATACCATGATGAATTCGAAATTAAAACATAGATATCAGTTGATGGAATGCTGTAACAAGCATTGATTTTTGGTACTCCGGTTATCATCACAGGTTGATCGTTGAATACATCGAATTGACTTTTATAAACATGAAGGATGCTTTCGCGCATCAATATAAACGTATCGAAACCGGCAGTAACATTCCAGAAAAATTGCTTGTCTGAGATAAGTATTTTTTGGAGAAAATCAACATCACCATTTTCCGTTAATCGTCTCCAAACGTGAATAGCTTGAGAATGATAATCTGATGAGCATGATAGTAAAATGCCATTGGATTTTCCGCAATCAAAGTCCAAGACAACTGAATGTTCACCAAAAATTTCATTGAATGATTGAAATTTCCATGGTAGAAATTCGACGGAATTATCTCCAGATTGATTTTTGCTAAAAGCCATATACCATACAAGCAAATCACCTTCGCAATCCAAACCCAAACATTGTTTACCATTTGAACGAAATTTTACAATACCATCCATAATGATTTTTATTTGAGAATTTGGGTCATCATTAGCTGGATAGAAATATAGTCGATAATTTTTGTCCAATATATAAAGATAATCAGATGATTGTGAATACAAATGAATAATTTTATCAGGAATCGAACCGATAAATATTTTATTTGAATCAGGACGAAAAAGATGTATATGATTGTTTGTTGGATCAATTGTATACATTGAATTACCCTCATCAACAGGATAAAATTGTCCAACATGAGAAATAGAATTCGGTGAAAATTGTCGTAAACATGGCCATAATGATATTTCATAAGTTTCATTATAATCATTTTCAGTTTTATTATTTGATCGCTATATTTTTTTTGTATATAAATTTTATATTATGTTTCCATTATATATTACTTAAAATTTAGATAACATACCAAAAAGAAATGTCGTATTTTGAATAAAGAAGGCAAAAGAACTTTATTCGATGACTTTATATTGTTTAAAATAAACAATGGTTTAGTAGTTTGGTTTAATGAATTTAATACAAAAATTTTATTTGATTCATTCATATCTTAGCTATAATTATTCTTTTTACCAAGAAAACAAAAATTAATAAATAAATCCAATACAAATTGCTTTGATAAAATGAGTGTAAAATCGAAATGTTTTTGAATGAAATCGAAATGTTTTCGAAATGTTTCGCATAACAAATTGTAAATATGACAAATCAATCGAATTGTTTCTGATACATTTTGTGTGGAAATAGTCGGTGGAAAGAATTTCCGGATTTTTTGTTTTGTTCGAAATTTAACCTTTCAGGAAATTTTTTTTTTATTAAAACTTTTTTCTTCTAAGGTCCATGAACTCGATTTTTTTGTGAATAAATTTTTCTTTTTTATTAAATAAAAATTATGAATGAATGAATGAATGTCAACATTCAACATAACCACCCACTTATTTTAGATGCAAAATATAGATTTGAAGCAAAAAAACAAGACCTTTTCAATCCGTTTACCTTTATCCATTATCACTATGGATTCTTTGACCTTATTTTTCTTTCAATAACATGACATTTTATATTTGATTTGTCTTTTTTCATACCATATACGACCATTTGTTGATTTGAATAAAAAAAAACACCAATTTTTTTCGAACCAGATAATAACCACCACCAACACCACCACCTCCACCTTATCATCAACATTTTCATTTTCAGATTGTTGATGATTGTCGTCCGGTCATTAACATTATATTCAAAGAATTTATTCATTCACAAACGGTTTGAGTGATGGAAGAGAAACAACAACGAAAAAAAACCCATCAAACAACTTTAACTTTTTTTTTTGGGTTGTTATATAATTTTTGTTTTGTTTTTTTGGTTTTGTTTTTGTCTACCCAAACTCATCATTGATACATAAGATTTTACACACATTTAAAATGATTATTCCATTCACGACTATAAAAACTCGAAAAAAAACAACATTAACAGCATCATTTGGACATTTCGAATCAATTTTTTATTGTTTTTTTTCTTCAAAAAATGATGATCAATTCTTTTGTTTTTGAAAATCCATTGTTTTTTTTTTAAATCCTGATATCCTAATATTGTGATCATATAATCATCATCATTATGTTCAATTTAAAAAACAATCAAAGTAATAATAGGACAGAAAAAAAATCTAAAGTCATAACATGATGTAACCAAAATAACGAAAAAAAAATTGTCATGATAATAATCAATCGTTCGATCATCCATGAATGGTTACGTTTGGTTATCAATTTTGTTAACCGAAACCCGAAAACGAAATAATGGTTATTTAACACCATGGTCAACCATGGTTATCATCATTATGAAATCAAAATAAAAAATACGATGTAAAAAAAAACGATTTTTTTTGTGCGTCCATGCCAACAATATTTTGAATTTTGTGGTTACTTCGAAACCATGTTTGTATGTTATCTGTCTATTGAAAAAAAAATGTTGTTTCTATTTTGATATTTTCAGTTTTTTTTGCCTTCTTCTACGACAAATGTATTTTGAATGAAAAAAATACATTTTTTATCCATTCACCTTACAACGGTTTTTTGAATGCGAGTATATGTGTTTGATTTAATATAAACAAAATGTGATTCAAAAAAAAAACAATTCCACATGTACATAACACATGCATACATTGAAACATTTATTTTCTTTTTCGACTACCAAGAATTTGACAAGAAAAGAATAATTTAGTGTATTTTTTTTTGATGAATTTAATGTTTTTGTTTGTGATGTGACAACACCCTACATTTACAATAAAACAAACTATAATTATATTTTTTTTTCGAAAATCAATGCCGCTACCCAAAGATTCTTCTTCGTTTTTTCTGTTCTGTGAAGCTTTTCTTTGGGTCTTCATTTTCGAATATTTTCATCGTGTTTTTCTTTTTTGTCGTCTTCTTTGTATTCAAATGATATGCACACACACACAAAAGAACCTAGCTTGGAAAAGAAACTATTTCAACACCAAATGACCCTGAATGAATTTTTTCTTTTTCTTTTTTTTGATTATTGTTGGATCTATTGGATTTAACGTTTTTTTCCTCTTCTTTTTTCTTTAATTTGGCGCTTTGCGTGACCAGAAAATTTAATTTAATTTTTTTGTGCTAAACGGGTTTTTTTTCTCTCCTTTGTAACAATTTAATTTTGTTTAAACATCATTTTTTTCAAAGTCATTTGTTTTCAATTTCGTCTTCAATTTTGTTCATTTGTGTGATCAATTGTAGTTGTCAGCTAGTTTTTAATCTGAAATAACAATCAACGAATATATAACCAATTATGAATCGTGATAAAGAATTGCCTTCAAATGATGATGATGATGATAATCATCCAAATGAATCAATACCATTGTTTAAAAATAATGATGAAAATGTAAAAATCATAAAAAATGAATCGAATGAACATGCTAAAAATGCTAAACATCTATCTGTTCATTATCAAGTGGATCAAGATAATAAAGATTCAAATGAACAGCAGCCACAAACACCGGATCAAGATGATGGTAACGGTACACTTCGATCTAATTCAGCATACGGTACTCATTATGATACAAAAAATTTAAAAAGTTTTAAAAATTATACACGTGAAGCTCTACCACGAATGGAATTCTATCGTAATCTAATGTCTATTGTTCGATTTCATGGCCACGGTCATGGTAATCGACCAACATTGGATGAATTACATGGAAATCAAACAAGTATTTCATTGGATAATTCAAATGAAAAAGGAATGAATTTTCCCGTATCACCGGCTGACAATTTCGATCCATCCAAAGTTGTTAAATTTGGCTGGATCAAAGGTGTACTTGTTAGAAATTTGCTCAACATTTGGGGTGTTATTTTATTTCTTCGATTATCATGGGTGGGTGGACAGACTGGTCTTATTTATGGCATATTGATCATTCTATTAGCTTCACTTTGTACAACATTAACTGCCATGTCAATGTCGGCTATCTGTACAAATGGCGAAGTTAAAGGTGGTGGAACATATTATATGATCAGTCGATCATTGGGTCCAGAATTTGGTGGTGCCATCGGAATCATATTTTCATTAGCAAATGCCGTAGCTGTAGCCATGTATACAGTTGGTTTTGCCGAAACTTTTCGAGATGTTGTTTGGCCTGAAGATGAATCAATCAACACGGTTCGAATTATAAGCTGTATTACAGTGGTCGTTTTGTTGGCCATCGTTTTCATCGGTACTGCTTGGGAAGCCAAAGTAATTGATGATTATAATTAAATTTATTGATAATTCAATTGTTTTTTTTAGGCACAAGTTTTCTTGTTGATCATCTTGGTGACCGCTATGTTGGATTTTATTGCCGGATCCATTCTTGGTCCAGTCAATGATCAGCAAATTGCACGTGGTTATTTTGGTTGGAATAGTATGTTATTATTTCATTCACATCCTTACCATTATTATTAATTTTAATTTTTGTTTCAGCTGAAATACTTAAGCAAAATATGATGCCCGATTATCGTAATGGTAATAATTTTTTCTCCCTATTTGCTGTCTATTTTCCGGCCGCAACTGGAATTCTTGCCGGTGCTAATATTTCCGGTGATCTTAAAGATCCATCCAAAGCTATACCCAAAGGAACATTTTTAGCCATAGGAATTACAACAATCACTTACATAGCATTTCATTTTATTGTAAATGCAAATGTTGTTCGTGATGCAAATGGCCTTGTAGAATTGATCATAAGTGATAACCAAACCGGTCGATTACTTCCAAATGTACTCGAAGCAGTTCAAAATTGTCCTAACACTAGTTGCTCATATGGTTTGGTAAATTATTATCAGATTGTAGAAATGATGTCTATGTTTGGTCCTGTTATTTATGCCGGTATATTTGCTGCTGCCTTATCATCCGCATTGGCTAGTCTGGTTTCCGCACCAAAAGTATTTCAAGCATTATGTAATGATCGCTTGTTTCCGTATATATCATTTTTTGGCAAAGGATATGGTCCAAATAATGAGCCAAGACCGGGCTACTTACTCGCATTTGCTATTGCCATGTGTTGTTGTCTATTGGGCGAATTGAATCTAATTGCACCTATTATTTCGAATTTCTTTCTGGCCGCTTATACTTTGATCAATTTTTCCTGTTTTCATGCTAGTTTCTCTCGATCGCCTGGTTTTCGCCCAAGTTTTCGTTATTATAATCAATGGTTGTCACTAATTAGTGCTATTTTGATGACATTGGTCATGTTCATCACTAGCTGGTCGACAGCTTTACTTACATTTTTGATAATTTTAGTTCTCTACATGTGGATTCTTTATCGTAAACCAGGTAATTATATCTGAACATTTCAATTTGATAATATTGATAATGACATTATTATTCAATAGATGTGAATTGGGGCTCATCAACACAAGCACAAACTTATCGTTCAGCATTAACTTCGGTTCATCGTTTGAATGCCGTACCTGAACATGTAAAAAACTATCGACCACAAATTCTTTTCCTATCTGGCCATCCAAAACATCGTCCTGATCATGTTGATCTTGCTCATTTGATTATAAAAAATAGTGGCTTATTATTATGTGGTAATGTTGTAATCGAACCAATTTCTGTTCGAACACAATTCAAATTACAAAACGATTCAAATCAATGGCTAATGCAACAAAACATTAAAGCTTTTGTCGATATTATGCAAGAAAATGATTTTCATAAAGGTTCACGTGCATTAATTCAACTAAGTGGAATTGGAAAATTACGACCAAATATTATTATGTTAGGATTTAAAACCGATTGGAATAATTGTGAATCAAAATGCTTGCTTGATTATTTCAACACTATTCAGTACGTGATTAATTTTTTAAGTGAATTATTTAACAAAAAAAAAATTAATTATATTTATTCTACATTGATTATTAGCACTATTTTCGATTATCATTTATCGATCGTAATTTTTCGCCATAATCAATCGATACAACAACAAAATGGAAACGATAATGATAAAACAACGAATCTCGATGATCCTTTAACCGATGATATGAATAGTTCATCAACAAATGTTGATTCAGAAAATCCTAAATTGGAAATTTCAAATCCAAAAACAAGATTGTTTCTGACAAAACAGCCAAAAGGTTCATGTATTGATGTTTGGTGGCTATATGATGATGGTGGTCTTACTCTTTTATTGCCTTATTTAATACGTTCAAATCCACAATGGAATGGATGTAAACTTCGTGTTTTTGCTTTGGCCAACAAACAATCCGAACTAGATATCGAACAACGAAATATGGCAACATTATTATCGAAATTTCGTATCGATTTCTCATCAGTTACATTAATTACTGATATATTGAAACCACCGAAAGAAGAATCAAAAATAGAATTTGATAATTTAATTGAAAAATATTTACAAAAAGATGATGAACAAGAAAACGAATGTAAAGATTTTCTAATCACAAACGATGATTTAGAACAATTCAAAGAAAAGGTAAAATTTGTTTGTTTGTTTTTTGTAACTTCAATTAAATATTTTTACTTTATCACAAAAAAAAACAGAATAATCGAAATATACGATTGCGAGAATTATTGTTACAACATTCAAAAGATGCTCGATTGATTGTAATGTATGTATTGAATTGAATTGAATTGAATTGACGAAAGATTTTTATATAAACTTTTTTTTTGTATTTGTGTTTTTCAGGACATTACCAATGCCAAGAAAAGATACCTGTCCACCATCATTATATATGGCTTGGTTAGATACATTAACTCGAGATATGCCACCAATAATGTTGATGCGTGGTAATCAAACTAATGTATTGACGTTTTATTCATAAAAATCAAACCTTCATCATCTTTCGAACATTTATGTTACTTATGTTCGAAAAATTTGAGATTTAAGATCAAAACAAAAAAAATTACACGAAAATTTCGCATAAACTTTAGCTACTTATTTTTTTTTAAATTTATTCCAAACATTCATCATGTCATTATAACTATTTTATTTTTTTCAATTACCTAAGATTGAAATGAAAAGAATTTTATTTTATTATTATTTTTTCAATGTTTTTTTTTTGGAAAAATATTAAAGATATGCACATTCAATAAATGAAAAAAACAATAATGCTATAAACATAAGTAGAAAAAATATGGAACATGGTAATATATTGAGATTATCTAATGAAAAATCAATCGAAATTCGAAAATCCCAAAAACCAAAATCGATTACTGATTTATTTCTTTGATTTTTGGAAGTTGTTGTTTTTTCAGTTGGAAATGTTGATACCATAGGTGGCAAATTAAAATCTAATATTTCAATTCGTTGTTCAATCCATTCTTTAAAAACTGATAATCTTACTGCTACATAAACGTTGTTTACAGATTCAGATGGTTTTTCACATTTTTCAATAACAAATTTAGCCATCGATAATAAAAAGTTCATTTCACTTGAATCAACATTTAACACACAGAATAATGAACCATAAAAATCTCCATAAAATTGTTGACAATCAATAAATACATCTAAACAATAAATATTTTTTTCTTCAAATCCCTTAAACGATTTAAGACAAATATCATAATTATCTTTTAAAGAAGTTTCGATTTTAGAAATAATTCTATTATTTTCCCACCATCCAATAAATTGACAATTTTTCAAAAATTTTACATCCATTATATTGCTAAATAATAATAAAGCACGTGAAGTAGGCATCAAATTATCTTTTGATCTAATCTTAACAATGGCTAGATCATGAAATGGATCATGAATTCCAGTTTCATCATATAAATGTGGAATAATTTTATGTATATCATATACAAATTTATCATCAATTGATCGATAATTATTACCCCATCTTGTATGTCCAACATATACAAAATAATTTGATTTATTCTTTGCAATTCTATATATTCAGTGCATAATTTAATGATAAAATTATATATTTTTTTGGATTTTAGAAATTTCAAATTTTACACTTACATATTTATACAATTTGCTGTAACAAGAATTTCTCCATCCTTTCCAATAAGAACACCCATACAATTGGCTAACATTTTTTGTTTATGAATAAAAGCACATATATATGGATGAATATATTCTAATGGATCGTTTCCATTGTATGCAAATCGTTTTATTCGATTTTGACAATAATTTATCGTTATCGATAATAATATAAATAATAAAAACAAATATAAACGTTGTACAACATTAAACATGTTTTAACGTTATTATTTTCGAATCAAATCATTCGATGAATTGTATTTATATTACACTTTCAAGCAAAATACAACAAAATCATTGAATGTTCCATTATTTAATTGATTCAATTAAATAGAAAATCTAATTGAAAAATATTCACAACAAAATGATAAGGTAATAACAAAACGAATTGGATTGAATGAAATGATAATTTTAATTTTAATTTTGTTTTTGTTTTTTTTCTTGAAATATATTAAATTATATTAAATATATACACATTCCAGCCATGTAAATAATGATATAGCGATGAACATAAGTACAAAAAATAAAATACAAGGAACCAAATTAATTTCATCTATTGCTAAATAATGAAATACAAATTTAAAATCCCATCCAGTATTATTGAATTCAAATAAATTTGGTTCGTGTTTGTTCGTAGATTCTTTATGTTGAATATTATTTCGATTATGAATGAATTTTTCTTCATTCAATGTTATTGTTGATTTTGTTTTTTTAATCAAATTTGGATCAAAAAATGATGATGTTTGAACTTTTCGTTTAATCCAATCTTTAATATTCGATATTTTAAATGCCACATATACAATGTTATTAACAGATTCACATTTTTGAATAAAAAATTTAGCCACAGATAATGCTACATACATTTGTTCTGTATCAATTTGTATCGTACAAATTAATGCACCGAAAAAATGTCCATACCAATGAATGCAATCAATTTGTATATCTAAACAATAAATATCTTGTTTTTCAACATTTTTCAACAAATTCATACAATTATCATATTGATTTTTCAATGAAACATTTATTGTAACAAGTTGTGTATTATTATGCCACCATCCAATGAATTGACAATTTTTTAAATTTCCTACATCCATCATCATCATATGATCATTTAAAAATGTAATACGTGATATTGATATTCTTTTTTTATTAAAATTAGTTTTTACAATGGCCATATTGTTGAATGGTTTATTAACATTTGAATAAGAAATAATTTCCTTGATTTCGAATGAATATTTATTATCAATTGATTGATAATTATTATTCCAATTGTTTTGGTTAATATAAACAAAATAATCGGCTTTATTTCTATTTCTACATATCATTTTGGATTAAATTTTTTTTTTTTTGAGATTTTTCATCATTCAAACAACAACAAAAACACTTACATATTTTCCATACATTTTGCTGGAACTAAAATTTCACCATCATATCCAATAATAATACCAGCACAACTGGCTAACATTTCTTTTTTATGAATAATAGCAGCCATAAAACGATAATGACCATAATGACATTTTGTTATTGATAATAATACGAACAATTTAAACAAATTTGATCGTACAATGGACATGTTTGAAGACAATTTTCAAATTCAAAAAATTGATTTATGAATTGTATTTATATTCAAACGAAAATGTTCAATTAATTTAATTATTCAATCAAATAGAATTTATGAAATGAAAAGTTTATTTTTTTAATGCTAAAAAACATTTTAACATTCAAGAAAAACAAATAACGATACAGCCATAAATATGATTAATAAAAATCCAATAATAGGAAACCAATTGCTATGATTTTTTGCCTGAATTTCAAGTTTCCGTTCATATTCCGAATCATCATTATTTTCAATTGAATTATTATTTTGTTGTTGTAATTTATTATATTGGATTTTTGGAGAATTTGATCTAATAGTATTGAAGAAATTTTTTTCAGTTATGGTTATTGATTCTTTTTCCAGGATTTCTACATCATCACAATTAGCAAACATGTTTTGTTTGTGAATAAAAACGGCTATAAATTGCTGTCCAATTCGATGATTTTGATCAAAATATTTTCTTATTGTTAATAAAATTAATAAATGAAACAAATATGATCGTACGATACACATGTTCATACAATTTTCAAAACAAAAAAGGATTGATGAATTGTATTTATATTTGCCACTGGAACACAAAAAAAAATCATCGATTAATTGTTTCATTATTGAATTATTCAATCAAATAGAATTTAACTTGAACTTTTTCTACTATTATATTTAAAACATGAATTTTATTCCATTATTATTATTTTTTGTAATTTATTGAAAAAAATATTAAATATATAAACATTCAAAAAATGCAAACATTGTTACAGCTATACACATAAAAATAAAAAATACGACACAAGGAACTAAATTGATTTTATCTATTGCTAGATGATGAAATGTACGTTTAAAATCCCATCCAGTATTATTACTTTCAATTGATTTATTATGCAATATATTTGATTGGCTTATTGCCGTTGTTTGTTTTTGAGAATTTTGATCAATTATTGTAGTAATGATGATATTTTTTTCAGTTGTCATTTTTCTTGTTGTTGTTGTTGTTATTGTTGTTGGTTTTGGTGTTGTTGTTGTTGGTTTTGGTGTTGTTGTCGTTGTCGTTGTTGTTGTTGTTGTCGTTGTTGTTGTTGTTGTCGTTGTTGTGGGTGTTGTTGTTATTTTTCTTGTTGTTGTTGTTGGTATTGTTTTTCTTGGGTTTGGATCAAAAAATAATACCGTTTCAACATTTTTTTTAATCCATTCTTGATAATTGGATATTTTTTCCGAAATTAATTTAAAACCAGTACGATCATTACATTTTGGAACATCGATTTTAGCTGTTGCTACTGTTAATCTAATTTTATTTGAATTGTTTTCTATTGTACACATTAATGCACCAGTTACTTCTCCATATTGTTTTGTACAATCCACTTGATATTCTAAACAATAAAAATCGTTTTTTTTGATTCTGGGAAAATTATTGAAACATTGTTCATTCATAGTCATATTGACTTTAACAAGTAATCTGTCAAGATTCCAATAGCCAAGCAATTGACAATGTTTAAAATTTTTTACTTCAATCTCATCATTCCATAATAATGATGTTCGTGTAATTGGTATTAGCTTATCGTCATATTTAATCTTTACAATACCAACATCATAGTATGCCATATCTAAATGAGATTTATTATTATAATGAAAAATAACTTCATCAATATAGAATATAAATCTTATATCCACACGAGTTTCACTCCATTTTTCATGTCCAATATATACAAAATATTTTCCTTGATCTTTAGCCAATCTATATAGCCACCAAAATGATAATTTTAATAATTTTTTTTTTCGAAATCATATTCTAACATTATATCTTATACTACAACCCAAACTTACATTTGATGACATAATCCTGTAATTAAAATTTCTCCATTATTTCCAATAACAACACCACCACAATCGGCTTTCAATGTATCATAATTAATAAAAGCAGCCATATATGGATATTTATATATTTTACCATCAAAATGTAATTCACTATCAGCAAACATTTTTTTCAAACGTTTCATTTGTTTATGACAATAATTTTTTTTCATTATCATTAATAATAATATGAACAAATAAAACATATTTAAATGATGATTAATAAACATGTTCACCAAAAAAATTTTCAAAACAAAATGAATAATGTATTGCATTTATATTCACATCAAAATGAAGGAAAAAATTCCAAAAAAAAAATTGTTCCATTATTTAATCAAATAGAATTCTAATGAAAAAAATATTCAGATGTGAAACAACAAATGAAAAGTCCAATTTACAAACAATAATTTAGAACTATTCAGTAGAAAAAAAGTAAAGTTTGTTATTGTTGTATTTTGTTTCAAATTGATGATTTTATTTTGTTTTTTTTTTAATTTTATAATTATTGTATTCTTTTTTTTTGAATGTTTTAAAAAAAATATTAAATATATGCACATTCAAACAATGCAAATATTGATAAGGCCATAAACATAAGTATAAAAAATATAATACAAGGAAACCAATTTATATGTTCTATTTTTAATTGATCAAATGTATGATGAATATCCCAACCAGTATCATTATTTGCAATTGTTTTTTTAGTTGTTGTTATTATTTGTTTTCCTCCAGAATTTGGATCATTCTTTGTTGTGAAAAAATTTTTTTCATTTGGATCAAAAAATAATACTGTTTTAACATTTGTTTTAATCCATTCTTGATAAATAGATATTTTTTCCGTAGTACTTAAATAAACAGCAGTAGATTTTTCATTACAATGTGTAATAGAAAATCTAACTGTTGATATTGTTACATTGATTTCATTTGAATCGATTTCTATTGTACACATTACAACACCAATAAATATTCCATACCAATTTGTACAATCAACATTATATTCTAAACAATAAAAATCATTTTGATTGCCTCCGGAAAGTTGTGCTGAACAATCATCAAATTTTTCTTTTACAGAAACATTGATTTTAACTAATATTCTTTGATTGTTCCAATAGCCAATTAATTGACATTGTTTAAAATTTTTTACTTCAATCTCATCATTCCATAATAATAATGCACGTGTAATTGGTATTATTGTATTTTTCAATTTAATCTTTACAATACCAACATCATAGTATGCTACATCTTTAACGGATTTAGTATTTGGATGAAAAATAAATTCATTAATTTTGAATATAAATCTTTGATCCATTTCTTTCTGAACATTATTCCAACTTTCATGTCCAATATATACTAAATAATCTTCTTTATTTGTAACCATTCTATTTAACAAACAAAAAAAAATTATGAATTAAAAATTTTTTTGTAATTTAATTCTGTCATTTTTATTTTCATTCAATCAAAAACTTACTTTTCATTACATATTCCAGAAATTAAAATTTCTCCATCATTACCAATAATAACACCAGCACAATCAGCTTTCATTGTATTTTTTTGAACAAAAGCAACCATATAAGGATATTTATATTTTTTTGTATCAAATGGATCATCATCATTCATATGGACATAATTTTTTCTCATTATCAATAATAATATGAAAAATTTAAACAAATTTAAACATTTCATAGACATGTTCAACAAATTTTCAAAACATAATGAATAATGTATTGCATTTATATTCCCAGCAAAATAAAGAAAAAAAATTCTAAAAATTTTTCCATTATTCAATTATCAAATTGAATTACGACAAATGAAAATTCTAATTAACAAACAATAATTCCGAAAAAAAACGTAAAGTTTGTTATTGAAATGAAATGAATTTTATTATTATTATTATTTTGTTTGATATTTTGGGAAAATTTTATTATTAAACATATGCATATTCAAACAATGCAAATATTGATATAGCCATAATCATAAGTATCAAAAATACGACACAAGGAAACCAATTAATACGATCTAATTGTATTAAATCAAATATATGTTTAGTATTCCATACACTTTTACTTTTACTTTCAATCGATTCCTTTTTATGTAAAATTTCTTGTTTAGTTGTTGTCATCATCCGTATTTTTTGAGATTTTTGATCAATTTTTGAAGTGATGAAATTTTTTTCACTTGTTGTTTTTATTCTATTTATTATTGGTGTTTTTTTTCTTGTTTTTTTCATTGTTGTTGTCGTCCTTGTTGTCATTTTTCTTGTTGTTGGTGTTAGAGATTTTGGATCAAAAAATAATACTGTTTCAACATTTGTTTTAATCCATCCTTCATAAGTGGATATTTTTTCCGTTTTAAATATATCAACAATATCAGGTTTTGTATCACAAGGTAAAACAGCAAATCTAGCCATTGCTAATGTTACATTAATTTCATTGAAATTGATTTCTATTGTACACATTAATACACCAATAAATATTCCATTCCAATTTTTACAATTAACATGATATTCTAAACAATAAAAATCATTCTGTCTGATTCCGGAATATTGTTCTAAACATTTATAATCAGGTTCTTTTATTGAAACATCAATTTTAACAAGTACTCTTTGATTGTTCCAAAAGCCAAGCAAATGACAATTTTTAATTTTTTTTGCTTTATAATCATCATTCCATAATAATGCACGTTGAATTGGTATTGGCATATTTTTTAAATTAGTCATTACAATACCTACATCATAGTATGATATATGTTTAACTGATTTATTATTAAAATGAAAAATAATTTTATCAATTTTGAATATAAATCTTTGATCCATATCTTCCTGAACATTATTCCAACTTTCATGTCCAATATATACCAGATAATTTGTAGGATTTTTAGCCATTCTATATTCATGATTAAAGGATTATTTATTTAATTTTTTTTTGTAATTAAATCAAACTCACTTGTCTTTACATATTCCAGTAACTAAAATTTCTCCATTTCCAATAACAATACCAGCACAATCGGCTTTCATTGAATTTTTTTCAACAAAAGCAGCCATATATGGATATTTATACATTTTTACATTGAATTGTTGTTCATCATCTTTATTTATTTGTTCATGACCATAATTTTTTCTCATTATCACCAATAATAATAATATGGACAAATGAAACCAATTTAAACATTTGATAATCATGTTTAACAAATTTTCAAAACAAAACGAATAATGTATTGCATTTATATTACCAGCAAATAAAGAAAAAAAAATTCTAAAAATTGTTCCATTATTAAATCAATACAACAAAACAATATTCAAATTTTTCACTAATTTTCGCTGATCATTTTAAACATTTTTTAATTGATTTATTACTAACAAATGAAATGAAATTGAAATATTAAATACGCATACATTCCATAAATGCAATTATCGATATACCAATCAACATCAGTATACAAAATACCCAAGGAATCTGATTGATACGATCTGTTTCTGAAGGATCAATTTCATTTTCATTATCCCATTCACTACCATTCTTATTTTTGTTTTTTGATGGTAATTTATTTGTTGTTAATGAAGTTGTTTGTTCATGATTGTTTGGTTTTATTTTTGTTATTTCATTATATACTGATGTTTCAAATTGTTGTTTGATCCAATCAATAAAATTTATTATCTTTATTGCCCATGCTAGATTAAGATTACTAGGTTGTTTTTCACATTTATATCCATTAAATTTTACTACTGATAATACAATATTATTTTGTTTTGGATCAATTGTTGATTGACAAATTAATGAACCATAAAAATATCCATACCAACGTGTACAATCAATATAAAATTCAACACAATAAATAGTATTTTGTTGAAAATCTTTATATGTTTCATAACAAATATCAAATTGTTGTCTTAATGTTGCTTTAATTATATCTAATTCATTATCATTATTCCACCAGCCAATTAATTGACAATTTTTAAAATTTTTTTCATCAATCAAATCGTTCATTAAAAATGACACAAATTGAATTGATATTTTTTTCTCTTTAAAATTTGTTTTAATAATAGCAATATCTTTGAATGATTCATGAATTTTTGCTTTAGTATTTAAATGAAATATTATTTCTTTAATTTCGAATGAATATTTGCTATCAATTAATTTATAATCATTATTCCATCTTTTATGGCCAATATAAACAAAATAATTTTCTTTATTTTTAGCAACACTATTATTATTTAAACGTATTTTATTAGTTTTTTTGTATCAATTACTTTCAATTATCACTTACTTATCCATACAATCTGCTGTAACAAGAATTTCACCATTATTTCCAACAACAACACCAGCACAACCAATTGACATATTTTTTTTATGAATAATAACAGCCATAAATGGATAAACATGTTCTTTTGTATCAAATTTATAAATTTGTTTTTGACCAAAACTATTTATTATCATAATCATCATCGTTAACAATATTTGTAACAGATATAATCGTACACTGAACATATTTACAATTTTTGCGAAACAAAAATAAAAATAAAATTCAAGAATTGTATTTATATTTTTTAGAATCGAAAAAAAAACAAACAAAATAATTAATTATTTTATGATTTGATTATATTATATTAAATTAAATTTCCCGCCATTATTTGAATTTATTTTTGAATCTGTTCAAAAACAATGTATCCAATAACAACAACATTGACAACATCACCTTTTATCGATTAGTTTTGTTGATAATTTTGGGTAGTTTAACCATTGCTCCCTTTTATTATCATTTTCTTTGATTGCAATGGATTAAGTGATTTTTTTTCTGATGAAATGTCTGATTCTATAATAATGAGTATTGTTCAAAAGAGTCAAGTGTACAGATGATATTGATTTAAAAGAGTTAAGTGTACAGTGTAAGGAAAACAAATTCTTTGTAAAAAAAATGGCCAATTTAATAACTGATGGTCATCAAGATGATGATATGATTCGAATGGGACAACATAAACTTCGAGATTATCAGGTTAATAATAATTAATAGGTTTTGTTTGTATTAATAAACGAATTCTTGTTTTGTAGAAACATTTATTTCTTGAAGCCAAAAAAGGAAACATTATAATCTGTTTGCCAACAGGTTCGGGTAAAACATTGATTGCATTATGTTTGATACGACATATGTTTGAACAAACGATCGGTCCATATCCATCAATTGCTAAACGAACATTTTTTCTGGCACCAAATCGTGCCCTTATAAGTCAACAATATGAAACAGCAATAACATTATTACCAGGTAAAATAACAATTGTTACTGGTGATCAAAATCCAGATGATTTTAGTGAAAATGATTGGATAAAAAAATTGGAAAATTATCAATTATTTTTTGTAACGCCCGCTATTTTATATGATATATTGGTAAAAGGATATATCACTCTCAATAATATTAATTTAATCGTTTTTGATGAAATGCATTGGGCAACGAAAAAAAGAGGTCGTGATTCTGGTCATTTTTATGCACAAATAATGAAATTTTATGAAGAAAATAATAACAATCCGAAAGATAAACCGAAAATTCTTGGCATGAGTGCTACGATTGTATCACATAAACCAAAAGAAATTGAAGCATTTTCATGTTCAGTCAAAAAAATCGAACAACTTTATCATTCTCGTGTAATGACAAAAAATTTCGAACATCATATTAATCATTGTGAAGAAATTGTTATTCAATATAAAAATATAAATTATTTTCAAATTGAAATTGATTTTGATTTTGAAAAAATTTATAAATGCTTTAAATGTGATGATTATAAAGATGATAATTCGAATAACAATAATGATTGTAATTCAATGATACAGAAAAAAGATTATCTAAAACAATTTCGTTTGGCTTTTCAAAAAATTGAAGAAGTTTTATACCAAACATTTGGACCTTGGTTTGCTATCGAATTAATTAAATTATATATACGTTCATTGGAAACTATGTCATTTGAATTTCGTGAAATAATGCAAGAATTATTGCAACAAATTCGTATTTTAATTCTTGAAACAATTAAAAAAGAATTGGCCATTAAAAATCCTAATGATATAAAATTATTAACTAATGAAGAATTAGTATCCGATAGGATACGTATATTACTTTTTCTATTAGATCAATTTCGTACGAAAACTGAACTAACTGGAATCATATTCGTTAAAGAACGTATCGATGCAAATCTTCTTTATCTTTGGTTATTACAACTATCACAATCGAATGAATATTATTCATTCATTAAACCTGGATTCATTTGTGGTTGTTCGTCTAAAGATTTTATTAAATTTGATCAACCATATCACTATAGTTTATATGGATCGATGATAAAATCAAAAAATATTAATCTTATTGTGGCTACAGCTGCCATTGAAGAAGGTATCGATATACCTGTTTGTAATGTTGTTATTCGTTATGATGAACCGCAAACATATCGATCTTATTCACAATCAAGAGGACGTGCAAGGGATAAAAATTCTGTTTATTTTATTTTTACACCAAACGAAATGCGTACAAAAATGAAAGAAAATTTTGCCGAATTTTACAAAATTGATAAAGCAACACAAAAATTGGCAAATAATTTACAAGAATCTAGTGATGAAGAACAAGATATAGAAAAAGAATCTCAAGAAATTCCGGATACAATTATTAATAGTATGGGTTATTTTAAAAATGGTCCATCAACATTATATCCATTAAATTCATTGAAATTAGTTAATGAATATCTAACAAAATTACCAAGAGATTTATTCAGTGAATATTTTTTACCAATGTATCAATTCATAAAGGATGATGATGATCAAATAAATCAACGAAAATATGCATTTGTATTTGTATTCCCTGCCAATAGTCCATTATATGGACAATTAATTCCTGGTGGATATTTTTTCGAACAAAGAACAGCTAAAATTCATTGTGCATATCGTACCTGTATATATCTGATTCAACAAAATGAAATAGGTGATCGTTTAAATATAATTGATCAAAAATTTTTAATCAAAAAACATAATGAAGATTTAAATATTCGTATATCTAAACAACAACTTCAAACGGCTGATTATAGGAAAAAATTTTCCAATTTTTTCACTCAACTATTATCACCATCAATTAAAACAGATTTTTATTATCTTTATGCTTTAGAATTTGATTTAATGACTGAAAAATACACCGAACAACAAAATGAACAATATTTTAAACCAAAATTTATTGGCTCTAATGGTTCATCAATTGGATTATTGATTAAAAATCCAAAAAAACCATTCGAAGAAATATTTTCATATTTCTTTTTCAATTTATTTCCAATAAAATTTCGTTTAATACCTTGTGGAAGATTTTTTAATGAAGATAAAATTGAACTTATTGAACATTTTCATCATTATCATGCATTCGATTTGATATTGGAAAAATTTCGTAGTGGTCGTTTTGAAAATAGTTCATTAAATAAATCAATAATGATTGTTTTAGTTAAACGTAAACCATATAGTAAACAATATATGATTGATTATGATCAAATGGAAAAATGTCGACAATGGATGATTATGATGAAAAATTTTAATCAAAATTTAGAATCAATTTCACCTGATCATCAACAACAAATATCTGTTTATGATCCATCCAAAATTGATGATGAATTTGATTTGTATGGATATTTTTGTCAGAAAAAAATTGAACTTATGTTTAGAAAATCTGATGAAATTCGTTTACCTACCGATATTATGTCATCAGATGAATCACAAAAAACTTACAGAGAATATTTTAGCAATAAATTTAAACGAAATCTTTGTCATCCAGATCAACCAATGATTCATTCGAAAATTTTTCGTCGATTTTATGAAAGTTTCGGATTGATCAGATCGATAAAAACAACTAATGAAAAGAAAAAAACATTTCATAATTTTCTTCCACGAGAATTATTGTACATTTATCCATTAAGTTCAATAATTTGTCTTCGTATAATGGCCATACCATTGATATTATATCGATTGGAACAATTTTCATTATGTAATGAATTTCTTCAATCACTTCAACAATATGGTATCGATGTTGATCATTGTGTTGATCATGTTGATTATTATGAACAAAAACAATTTGAATTAAATGTTAAAAAATTACCGTTTGAACAATTGGCAACAATTGATCCGGATAGTATGGATGAAAAATCACAATCAAAAATCTATCGTCAAAATACAATCAATGATAAGTTAAAAGAAATTTTACCTAAAAAAGATATTTCTATTGAAAAATCATCAACATCATTATCGGAAGATTCAATGGAAAAATTATTTGAAAAACTTTTTCGAACAATTAAATCTTTTTTGCATGAAAAAAACAGACAAAAATCTTCGGATGATTATGGACAATTTATTGCACAACTTAATCCGGATCAAGAAGCAATCGATTATGGTTATGTTTCAATATTTAAATTTGTTGGAAATATTCGTGAAACAATTGATAATGAGGCAATATTTTTCGATACATTCGATATAATACAATGTCCAAATCCATGGCAAATATTATATGGACTTACATTGGCTAAAGCACAAGATTTATGGAATATTGAACGTTATGAAACAATTGGTGATGCATTTATTAAAATGACAACATCATTATATTTGTATTGGAAATATCCAAAATATGATGAAAGCCGATTGACAACATTGAAAACAGCATTGATTAGTAATCAAAATCTGGCTCAAATTGCTTTAGAGAAAAAAATTCATCAATTAATTTTCGGTTCATTAAATGAAACAATTTATGAACTATTTTTCAAACGTTTTTCTTTCATGCATACAACGGATGATGATAATTATCTTAGCGTATTAAAAATGAAAGATTTAGCCGATTGTATTGAAGCATTGATCGGTGTATTTCTTATACATGGATCTGCATCTACTGCATTAGCATTTTTAGAATATCTTGATCTAAAAGCATTCGATCCGACAAAAGCAAAAATTGATCTTGAAAAACATTTACAACCGAAAAAACCAATAATCATTACTGATATTTATCAATATAAGGAATCTATTGAAGAGATTCCTTTGTTTGAAATTGAAGAAAAATTATTCAATCTAAATCCAATAAAACATGATTCTGATCTTTTCGAACGTTTTTATTGTGAATCAATGTTGGATGAAGTGGAAAAAATTATTGATTATAAATTTAACAACAAATACTATTTACGTAAGTATATCAATGAAATATGATAATAATCAAAGATTTTTCTTTTCTTTCTTTCGCAATAGTCGTAGCATTCACACATGCTACATATGGTCGTTCCGATTTACTTAATTCGATTATGATACCAAGCTATCAACAAATGGAATTCTGTGGTGATGCAATTCTTGATCATTTAATTACAATGTATCTGTTTGTTTGTGATGAACGATTAAGTCCACATGAAATTACTGATATACGATCAGCATTGGTTAATAATATGTTTTATGCACATATAATGGCTAAATATCAGCTTTATAAATATATTCGACATTCATCCATTGCTATGACTGATATGATTGCAAAATTTATCAAAAAATTTCGCTATAATTCTATTGGAACATTATTTGAATTGATTAGCAATGGACAAGAAGAATTTAATTCTGAAAATGTTGATGAAATAGATGTTCCAAAAGTTTTATCCGATGTATTCGAAGCATTAATTGCTGCCGTTTATTTTGATTGTGATTTTAAATTGGACATTGTATGGCAAGTTGTCTATCGAATGATTATCTATGAAATTCGTATGTATTTAATAATAATTTTATGTAATTGTTTTTTGAACCGAATATTTGATCAAAGGCCACTTTTTAAAAAATCGACCCAAAATGCCAATCAATCGTTTATATGTTGAATATCCGATGCATTCATTCAGTGATGTAACACAAGTTGCACAATCAATAAAACTACAATCGACAAATCAATTGGAAATGGTTGTTAATTTAACAGTCGAACCATATGGAACATTCGAAGGCCGTGGATATAATCGTCGACAATGTCGTACATCAGCAGCAAAAAAATTTTTCACACACCTTCGTAAAATTGATGCTAAATAGTGAATGCACATAGTCTTTTTTTCATCATCAATTTTTTATTTTATTTTATTCTTAATTCTTTAAAGTAACAGTAACACACAAAGGGGCGCTACTTTAATTAATTTTCTTTTAGGTTTTTATTTATTTTCTTTATTTACCGATATAAATGGCTAATCAATCAATTATTTTACTGTGATTCTTTCTGTTATTTAAGGCTTTACAAATTGTTTTGTCTTGTCTCATTTTCAAGAATTTTATAATTAAAGTGCTTTATTAAATTTATTTTTTAAAAAATATTTCCGAAATTTTTGTATTTTTTTTCGCCAGAAAGTTTATTGAAAATCTTTTATTCTTCTGTCGGCATCAATGAGCATGTGATTAGTATTCAAGTGAATGAACCAATAAATTTGTCAAATTTCAATTTTTTTTTATCATTTTTTTCATTCCATTCAATTTATCAATCATGAAATTAGTTCGGTAAGTCATTTAATTAAAGATGATTTAATTCGTTTTCATAATTTATATTTTTTCATGTTAAAGATTTTTGATGAAATTATCACATGAAACGGTGACGGTTGAATTGAAAAATGGTTCTGTGGTATGTTTTATTCCTTTGGAATTCTCTTTGATTTTTTTCAGTAATTTACTAACTGGTTTATTTTAATTTGATAAAAAGGCACATGGAACTATTGCAGGAGTTGATGTTGCAATGAATACACATCTTAAAACGGTTAAATTGGTCAACAAAAATGGCGCTCAACAAACACTGGATTCGTTGACCGTTCGCGGTAATAATATCCGTTATTTCATATTACCAGATTCATTACCATTGGAGACATTATTGGTTGATGATACACCGAAAGCTAAAGCAAAGAAACGTGATATGGGCAGAAGTGGTGCTAGTGCTGGACGTGGTGGCCGAGGCCGAGGCCGTGGTCGTGGTCGCGGTGGTATTGGTCGTGGTAGTGCACCACCTCGAAAACGTTAAAATCAAATAATTACGTTCATCATTTTAGTAAAATCAAACACCACCACCACCACCATCATCATCATCATCATCATGATTATTCATTAGAAATGAAATTTGTAATTTTCTCACAATTTTATTTTGAATAATAAATTTTTTTTTTTGGTTCAAAATGAAAACGATATTTTTTTTTGGTGTATCTTTAATCTACCATTGTGTGAAAGAATTTCTCTATATAAATTGTTTATCTAAATATAATTATGATTAATCAATAATAATGAATATAATGAATGTGAATATATTTGTGTTTTTTTTTGTCAATAATTTTTTAGAATGGTACGAATGAAATATTTGAATGTAATGTTTCTGAAAGATGAGTACCAGCCATTTCATCCAATACATCCAATGTTGAATTGAATACGCTACCGGTTAGCATATTTAGATCGGAGAATGATATCTCTTCAAATTCTTTACCAACTTCGGCATATGATCGTACAAAATCGACAATAAGCAAGAAATTTTGTCCCAATGCTGCCAATATCTATTTATTGTAATTATTGATGAAAGTAATTTCTATGTTCATTCTCGAAAAAAAACTAAATACTTACGCTAGCATATGTTGTATAAGTAATTTCAAACACATCTAAACAATAGAATCCGATAGTTGGTCCAGATGTTCGTTGAATAAACATACGTAGCTGAATCTGTAATTCTACAGGATATTTTTCAAACGTTACTCGAATCAACCTTCCATATGGCTCATGTGCCTGAAATTTTGAAATTTAAAAAAATGATGATTGAAAATGGAATTTTTTTTCAAATCACATACCCTATTTGACATGATTGCAGCCGAAACCGATATTCGAGTAATAATATAACCGGCTAAAAGTGCCACACCAAACATATAAAGTCGTACGATAACAAGATTGGCGGTAAAAAACGCCTGAAATGAACTGAAACAAATAACAGCCACCAAAAAGAAATAAGTGGACATAAGATGTGATGACCAGAATTTATTATATTCAGCTACTTTCAAACATAAAGAATTATGTTCAACTAAAATATGATGTAATAATGCAACACGTTCATTTGCTTTCAAACGTTTATTGATGATAATTTCGATATCTTCATTCACCTATTTAAATTTAAAAAGAAAATTTTTTTAAAATATTTTTTCAAAGATTCTTTCAATTTAATTCACCTTTTCATAACGGATACGGAAATAATAACATAATGAGTTGAAAAAAACTACACAAATATATGAATAGGCGCTGATCAAAAATGCCCAGAAAATCTGTACCAACGTCCAGAAAAGTAACATAATATTATACCAATTTTTTGATTGTGGATCATGATAACTATTCCATCGATGTCGTAGCATGCCCAATGTTTGCAATACAACAATTGTCAATATCATCAAAGCAAAAGCAAAATAGAAACGCCACATTGATATTGAATATTCAAACCAGGAATTTAACATCGGTTCACTTAGACCAAAAGATTTAGGTGTCGATTCACCACGAAGAACACGAAATGGTTCTAACCATGATAATGGTCGCTTACGTGATATATTTGGACGAAAGTTTCGTAGTATGGCAACCATATATACTGACCATATGGTTAATACCATAATCAATTGACGAAATGGACGAACACGTTCACCTTCGCCTAACCATGCTCGAAGTTCAATATCTTCAATAAATGCCAACATAAGATTTCGAGCACAATATATATAGGCAACGAAAAGTAAAACATTATCATAAAGTATTTGTTCGGATCCCAGTTTACCGCGTACAGTTCCCTGATTGAAAAAAAAATATTGTATCAGAAAAAAAAATGAATGACCAAAAACATTTTTAAAATTTTCCATACATCGAACCAATCTTTAATGGCATGTGAAACAATAGATGAATAATTGAAATATACGGACATCATACGGACACGATTCGAATCCAACATGGTTGACATTTCTTTATTATTTACATTGAAATTTCCAGCACCAACAGCCATCGTTTTTTTTGGATCACTATCGTTAATCAAATTATTACCATTATTTATATTCATTCGTTGATTATTCTTTTTCATATAATCAGAAATATCCGAATTAATAATGTTATCAGTATTGAATCCGTTCTGTGTTGTATTAAAAGATTTATTTATATTTAAATTATCATTATAATTTTTGAATTGTTTGTTTTTTACATAATGATCATCGATCCGTTTATTTTCCGGTAATTTTTTTGTTGTTAAAGAATTTTGTTTATTTATAATTGTTGTTGATGTTTGAGTGATATTTTTCAAATTATTGGTAATGATCATATGTAATAAATCATCATTCAATCTTACTTTATCAGTTGTATCATCACTGTTATTCGATTTAATTGAACCAGTTGGTGATTCGATACGATTTAATGGGCTACGTGCAGGACGTCCCATCACATCCACTTTATTGTTGGCTGAAAGAACCATCTTTATTTAACTTTTGAAAATGTTTTTTTTGTTTGTTGTTTTTTATTATGATGATAATTTAATCTAGGATTTATTCATTTGAATCAACAAAATTATTATTTTTTAGAATCACCCACACACACACACACAAACAGTTTTCAACAACAACAACAAAAACAAAAACTTACCAGCTTTGTTAAAGAATAAAGAATTATGATGATAATAATGATGGCAATTCTTCATAATAATAATAATAATAATGCTAAGGGATACAAATAATGGTTATACCTATATAAATGGCTAACTTGATTTCTTGATTATAATATTGATAATAATAATATTCTTTACAAACTATATTTGCCTAGAAAAAAAATCATTACTACACTTACATTTGATTGATCGAATTTGATGATCAACAACAACAACAACAACAACAAAAGAGAAAAGGAAAAATATTAGAAAAAAAAATCGGTGCAAGAGACTACTTTGATTCGAAGAAAGTTGAATCAAAAGTATCTATGGGTGGTGGTGTGGTGAATGCTTGATGATTATGATGATTATTATTATTATTATGAATATAATTCTACAAAAAAAAAGGTAGTTGAAATTTTTATTTTCCTTGTAAAAAAAATGAATGCAAGGAGCAAGATATGGTCTATTCTATAGATTCGTTCAAGTATATTCTAATGATGAAAATAAATGAAGATCGTTTCAAAACGGAAATAGTCAATGAATGAAAAAGAAACGTAAATAATTTTGATTATAAAAAAAATGTTAATGATCGTAAAGTATTTGAAAATGAATACCGATTGTTTTTTTGCATGTGTGTACACAGAACGAGAAAAAAAAGTATGATAATCGATTTTCAATAAATTTTTCAAATTGCAAGAGACTTTATGCAAACTTAAAATTTTATAAATTTTTTTCATTTATTTTATTCTTCTAAAGATCGTTTTGGAAACACTATTCTCGAATGAATGAATTCAAATATAAATTTTTCATCAAGTTATAAGCAAATTTGAAAAAAAAGAGAAACCATATAATTCTTAATATTCTCATAGCTGAAAAATGTTTTATTTTTTTGTTCTCTTCATCTAAGTAAATTGAAAGTTTGAAAACAAATATATTCAAAGTTATAAGTAACTATGAAAATTCAACATGAATGCTATGTTTGTTCAAAAGTGGTTTTGAAAATTTTACTGGGGTTTGTTTGGAATCTGTTTTCATCATTTGTCGCTTGCCAACGCAAGCTTGATGATCGTTTGAAGTCGTTTTTTTGTTTCCTTTCCACTATTTTCAATATTATTTTCGTTTTGAAATAAAAATTTATAAATTTAGAAGGAAAAAAAAGTTTAAAACAAAAAAAAAGAAGAATGATAATTCATTCCGTTTCCATGGCAGAATCATGAATTTTCTCTCTTTTTTAATCGATTGTTTTTTCTCAAGGTACTTTCGTAAATGAAAACAATTGATTTTTTAACGAATTTTTCTTTGGAATTTTTTTTTTATAAATGTTAAAGTGATATTATGATCAACAATTCTGTTTATTAACTGTTTTACCGTTTATGGAAAAATTTTGAAAAACAAAAAAAAAATTCTCTAGATTTGTCGATATGTATTTCCGTTATGAATTTTTTTTTGTTTTGTTTCCAAAATGAATGATTTCGCATCAACCATAGTAACAATCAACAAAAATATGATAATTAGGGTTTCCTTTTTTTTCATTCTCAGAATTTATTAGACATAATTATAAGGAAATTGATTGCAAATTGGATTATACAGTTGTTAAAATTTAAAAATAAGGAATGCAAAAAAGTTTCGATTTTTAAACTATCGATTGTTAAGCGGTATCGATTGTTAATAGCTCAATTTTGAGTTGATTATCACACATCTGAATCTGAAAAATTCTTTATACAGAATTTTAGTTTTTTTTTTGAATTTCTTAAAACAAATTTTCATTGATTGATTTTTGAATCAATAAATTAATTATGGCTCATACAATAGTCCTATTTCAGCCAGGAAAATTAGAAACACGTACTTATTGGGATTTTGAATCATTGAATGATGCACTCGAATGTAAGTTGTAATGATGGTGGTATTTTTTCCAAGCCAATCATTTTTAATATACAATTATCTAGATATTTGCCATCTTTATGAATTACATTTAAAAGAAGATAATCCTGGATTGACAACAATTACCTATGATATCTCACAGCTATTCGATTATCTTGATTCATTAACCGATCTTAGCTGTTTAGTGTAAGTGATTTGGATAAATTTTTCTAAAAAATAAATTGATAATTCTTTATATTTTCATCATAACTATTAGATTTCAACGAGCCGCAAATCTTTATGCACCATTTCCACGTGATTGGATCAAAGAGAAAATATTTATCTTTTTAAAACGTGAAGCAAGTAAAAATTCAAATACAAATAAAATGCAATCATAATTTAGGTATAGGTCACAACATTTTCAAATTTCACTCAATTTTGTACTATATCATTATCATTGCATAAAAAACAATTTTCTATTGTCATGTCTACCGTTAATTGATCAATTGATCAATTTGATCGCATTTAAACACACACACACAATTATACATACTTGTAACAATCATAATGATTGAATTGAAATAAATAATCAATTGATAATTAATTTAATCTAAGATAGCCTTGTTTTTGGCAAAAAAAAAATGATAAAAGAAAATCAACTCGACAACCAGATTTTGGATTGGTTGTTGTTTTTCATAATTCCTTATTATCGTTTTATTTTTTCACTTTGTAAATGAAATTAAAAAAAAAGTTTCATAAAAGATGCATCAATCATCATTGATTTTAATTCTATTACTTTTAACCATTGATTTTGGCGATTCGTATTCATTTGATTGGAATAAATTACCTAAAGTTAATCGTTTATTTGAAAAATTTACCAATGAAACCAAAACACCATGTTTAACTGTTGGTTTACGTGTTGGTCATATGGATGGTTGGGTAGAATGGACTGATTCATTTGGTTCGTATGCCGATATTGAAAATAATATTCCTTGTACAACACAAACAATGTTAAAAGTTGCTTCAGTTAGTAAAGCAATTGGTTCAGCATTGATTGGTCGATTAGTTGAACAAGGAAAACTTTCATGGGATTTAGATATATCCAATTATATTTCAAATGATTTATTTCCCAAGAAAAAATTTGCTAATAAATCGGTTAATATCACATTACGACAATTGATTACACATCAATCCGGTATTCGACATTCACGTGAACAGGATTTTATGCATGATTGGGAATTTCGTATTAATAATTCAACACAGCTATTAACATGGTTTTCAAATGATCGATTATTATTTGAACCTGGACATGGTTATCATTATTCGAATAATGGTTGGTCATTGATTGGTGCTATAGTTGAATCGATTGAAAATCGACCATATCATTTAGTATTGGAAGATTTTATGCACAATATAATTGGTATGCCAACAGCTACATCCGAATCACGTGATCATCTAATAATGAATCGTGGTAGACAATATCGTATTCATAATGGAAAAGTATTACCACCAGAAATTGTCGATATACTACGTCCATATCCACATTGGCCGGCTGGTGGTGTTACAGCACGAATCGAAGATCTACTCATTTATGGTCAACAAATGTATTCATCATCATATGATATTCATTCGACAAAAAAATCACTTTTAAAACCGGCAACCATTAAAGAAATGTGGACCTATCATAATCCAAATGTTTCGATTACTAAAGAAAGTATGAAAATTTTCAACAAAACAATCCATAATATAAAATATCGTTATGTAATGGGATGGGAACGACGAGAATTTCCTTCAAATGTTGAACATGATCAATCAATATTGAATAATTTAATTTATCTATCACATACCGGTGGTATAGGTTCAGCTAATGCAAAATTAGCCATATTTCCATCATTAAATTTTACATTTGCTATCATTGCTAATCATGGTTCATTAAATAATCAAATGGATCGATTAGTAATTGAATCATTGAATTATTTGTTTGCCTAATCAATCTCAATTGAATTTATCAATAAAATGAAATTTTTGATGAAAAAAAATTTACCCATTGACCTAGTGTTGTGAATAATTCATTCATTCAAAACAACAAAAAAAGATGGCCATTCTATATACAAGCTCTATAGCATATATAAATCAATCCAGAAAAAAAAGTATTAAATTCCAAATTTTTATATAGGAAATTTGTTCCATAAAACTTGTCCTCACAAATTTTATTATATAGATTATAGACGAGTAAACAACAACAACAAAGTTATTCATTATGGTTTGGTAGTAGATCAATTATTGTTGTCATCATCTAGAATTTGACTATTTGGTAGTTTATTTTTATTTTTTTTGCTCATTTATTTTTATTCGTTAGATTTGTCCTTGCCAAAAAAATGATTGATTAAATCATTATGATTTGTTTGTTGTTCATTTTGAATAGTAAGAAGAAATAATTTTGAAAACAAAACAAAAAATTCTCATTATAATTTTCAAATGTTGAATCGAAAATATCGATTCTCAATTTTAATTGAATAATGATGGATATGATTGAATCATCAAAATTTATAAATAATGATAATGGTGGTAATGGTCGATTATTATCATCATCATCATCAGATTGGAAAAATGATCAATCATTATCGTTAAATATGATTTCGGATAAAAATATTGAACAACAACAGCAACAAACAATACATTCATCGCATAAAATTCAACCCTTATTTACACGTTCTACATGTAGCCATACAATATTGAATAGTCCAAGCTCTACATGTAGACTTCATGTTGTAAGTCTAAATCAACGACAATCAATAAATAATCGATCAAAAAGTATTGAACCAACATCATCCATGATACCGCAGATGATGAATCAATCAATTGATAATCAATTACAATCAAATGAAAGAACAATGTCAATGATATCAACATTACAACAAAATCCAAACAATAATGATCAACAACAACAACAAGCAACAAAAATTATTTCATCACCAACAAATACTATAACCGAATTATCATCATCATCATTTTCATCACCTAAATCACCATGTCAGATAAGTTTTGGCTGTAATGTTATAAGTAATAATAATAATAATCAAATCAATGATTCAACAATCAAATGTTTAAGTTATCCAACAACAATCAATAGTACAAATTCTTATTTATTACAATCACCAACAATATTATCAAAAATATCATCAACATCACGAACATCATCAATACGATCACGTTCAATGCAATTATTTTTCAATAATGGTAACAGTCGTAAAACATTTCATTCACAATGTTGTTCAATTGATTGGCTTAAATTTGGTTTTAAATTATTATTATTATTTACAATATTATTTTGGCTATTTTCAATAATAACATGGATGTCAATAATGCCAAAAACAATGCCAATAAGTTTAACAATTATTACATCAATGATGACAATTGGTTTGATTATATCATTGGTTATACAATCAGAATGGCCATATTCATTTGAATTTATACCAAATGTTGATGATGATGATGATGGTGACACTAGCGATGATGATAATGATGACAATGATAGTGATGATGATAATAGAAACAAACATAACAAACGATCAACAAAATGTTTGATAAATAAAATAAATGGCTATAAAAATGTTGTCCAAAATTCAAATGATAATAATATTGATAATGGTATTATGATGATAAATGAAAAAATAAATCAAAAACAAATTAATAAAAATAATCGTGTAGAATCATATGATTCAGGTATTGGTTATTCGGATTCGATTACCATACAACAACAACAACAAAAACATCAACAGCCACAGGAAATAACTGTGATACAAATTGATAATAATAATAATGATCATCATCGTCATTAGAAAACAAAATTTTTGCCAAATACAAATTACAAATGGCCACCCGTACCATAATTAACTACAAAACTATTACTATTAACGGATAAAATTCCTTCAACGATGATCAAAATTAAATTTAAATTTTTTAAAAAAATTCAAAAATGCACAATCATTAGATATTATTAGCTGAAATTCAATCCAAATGGAAAACAAAAAATGGACAATTCAATTTCATTATGGCTGATTCTCATGTCTTTCCTATTTGTTTTTGTTTATTTATTTATTTAATCATTCAGAATTTGTTTGCTGTTTTCATTGATTTTGTTGAATTTTTTTTAAATGAAATAAATTGTTATTAATAAAGAAAAATCATCATTATTCAAAACAAGTCATTAAACTTCGAAGGGAAAAACTGATTTTTTTTACAATCATGAAAAAAAGGTTTGGGAAAAAAATATTTTTTTTCCCATTCGGATTAACTGAGGTGAAAATTCAATCTGTGATATATGGATTAGTTTGAATGTTTGGCTCACATGAATTTAATTATATTTTTTGTCCGAAAAATAAATAAATGAAAATTCCAATGTGAAAAATATGTTTTGTTGATTTCGACTTATGGATGAGAAAAACAAAATAATGATAATTAAAAGGGAAAATAATCATCAGGATCATGATAATGAAATTAATTGAAAAAAAAACAAGGTTAATCACAAGTTTTCATCATTCATTTTTGGTTTGATTTGTTGAGTGAAAACAAAAAAATGGATTTTAGCCAACCAAAAACTGACCAGGTTATTATAATTGGAAAATTCAATGATTGTTTGGTTAAAATTTTTGTTTGTTTGTTTTTTTACAATTAAAACAACAAACCATCAGAAAAACATTAATTATCTTTTTGTTTTTTTGCCAAAAGAGAATTCCGCTGTGATAATTGAATCGTTTTTTTTTCGTTGTTGTTGTTAACTATTTCTACTCCACCTTTATGATCGAACATCAAGAAAAGCGATTTCAAATATTCTTGTTACCAAAAATAAACATTGGAACAAAAAAATTTGTGACTTAAGTAGGAATCATCATCATCATCATCATAGATTACAATGAATGAATGACAAACGAAAAATTTCAATCACAACCATATTATTATCATGATGATGAATATTTATGAATTTTTTTTTTGTTCTCGTTGTCAAACCAAAGCAAAAAAAAAAACAAAACAAAACCAGATTATCATCAAACATTGTCGTCTTTCATGATCAACGGATCATAATAATCGGATTGATCAATCGGAGAAAAAAAAACGAAACGATTCATTCTTCGAAACATTTGTTCATGAAAATGTCAAATGATGACTTAATGATAGTATCAGAAATTATCATTTCTGACAATGGTGACAAATCTATAATTTTATATTGGTTATATTGATAATTCTGTTTGATGATGAGAAAAAAAAAGAGTGAAAACATGCATGGTTAAGTTGAAGTAAAGAAAAAAAAAACATTAACCAACTGAACTTGTAAATTTCATCTGTAAAAGGTCAAATATTTGTTGTTGTTGTTCATCCTTATCAATCGATCGAACCAATTCCAAATACATTTAGTTCAACAACAACAACAATCGAAATTGGAATTCAAATTGAAGAAATGAAAAAAAAGTGTGTAAAAGTAAGTAAAAGAGAGAGAATCAATTAGATACGAAATCTGTATAAATAAAATGGTCTTTTTTTTTCATTTCACACGAATATTTTTTTTTCTGGTCAATTTTCTCTTTTCCAAAAAACAACATTTAGACGTATAGACATGATAAATATAAACTAAATTTTATTCAAATAGAAAAATGATTGTTTAGTTAAATTTTTTTTTCTGGATGGTCACATTTAATATCATTCGTTGTGTGTGTGGGTGGTTGGTTGGTTAGGGGAATACACTTTTTATCCACGTTTTGATGTGTAACGATGCGTTACGTGAAAACAGGAGGGGGAAAAAAGAAAATTTCACTACAAACACGGTTATTATTTTACCTGGAAAAAAAATTTTTTTTTCATCTAAAAATTCTGATAAATTTTCTGATGATTTTTTCGGGTATAGAGATTTGGCAATTAACGAAAAACTTCACTTAAATGAAATGAAGTTTTTTTTTCTTTTGGCGAAACACTTAAATTACTTATAATTTTCTTCTACTTAACTGACTGGTACAATTTTTTTTTCTTTTTTCAAAATGTAATGAAACAAACATCATTCATTGTTTAAAATGTTCGGAATAAATAAAAATCATAAATCGATATGGATGATTTTTTTTTAAAACGAAACGAAACGAAAAAAGAAGAAAACAAAACAACAGAATAGCTACTGGTTTTTTTTTTGGTTTTGTTTCTCTTGAATACAATTGAAATTGAACTATAACCATTGCCATTGACAAAGATAAACGACTAAACGAAAAATTTTTAATGAATTTTTTCAACAAAAACAAAAACAAAAAACAACAGCAACCGAAAATCATCATCAATTTTTCAGTTTTGTTTCTTTGGTTGACCGATTTATTTTTTATTTTTTTCGGGATTGTTTGTTCATTTTCAAAACGTTTGCTTTTAAAAAATCATCCATATTTTGTCTCTCTCTCTCTCTCTCTCGCTCGATAAATCCCATTTCTTTGTCATATTTTTATGGCTGAAAATAATATTTTAGTTGGCCGGTCATATTTATGAATCGGTTGAAAAATGACATTCATTCGGTGGTGGTGGTGGTGGTTTTTCTACGATCATTGATTATACGATAATGAAAAAAACGGAGAAGTCAATCATCAATTTTTGCTCTTATTTATTTTTAAATATGAAATATTTTTTTATATGGATCAAATGTTACGAATGTGACATGAATTAAAACATGGCCCAAAACGAAAGATTGAAATAAAAGTGAATGAACGAACGAAAGAAATGGAGAAAAGAGAATCAAAAAAAAAAAATTCTCACAATTATTATCAATTTCTTCTTTTTTCTTTTTGATTATTATGGAAAATTTTCTGGAATTATTTTGCCATTTGTTGATCATTATCATCATGAACGTGGAACATGATAATATTACAATAATCAGCAAAATTTATTATTGAATTATTATTATTATTTTCTTGATTTATTGATTGATTGAGAGTGAAATTGATCGATAAGAAGAAGAAAAACCAAAAAAAAGAGAACGAAAGAACAGAGAGATTTGAATATTGTTGAGAGTAGAGAACGAATTTCTAAATAAAACCATTTTACAATTTTAAAATTCACTTTCGAATCATTTGAAAAAAACAACAACAACAACAAAAATGTCTACGAAAATTCAACAACGACAACGATCATTATCATCTGGTCCATTTGTCTTTGATCACAGCAAACAAACACAAAAACGATTATAATCAACTATACCATTATAATAATGAATTTTTCTTGGTTTTGGTTAGTGAAACTTAAACCACAAACATCAATTGATCATCAGTAATTGTCATTTGACCGATTGTTTATTTATAAATAATTATAATCATCATCAAAATCTTTAATCATCTTTACTTTTCTCTAAAAAAAGAAGAAAAATATTCATTCCAATTTTAGCTTCTTAAAACACATTATTTTTCTACTTACCTGTTTTGTTTTTTGTTACCGATGTTATTATTAAACGATTGTTTTTTCTCCAATAAACATTCACATCACATCATGAATAATACTTTTATGTTCAATTTGAAAATTTTCTTTACTTTTCATCATTTCTTCAACTACTCATATAGAATTCAATGATTCTCTTTTACAAAAAAACAGCAACAACGATAAAGATGATGATAATAACCATTTAAATACTTTCGATTTTGTTTGTTTGTCGGATAATAATAATAATATTGATTTTAGATTGTTTTTGTTCGACAAACATTCTCCAATAATCAAACAACATTTGATTATTATCATTTTGGAATTCAACCAATAATTTTATGTTCGATCGATGATATCGATAATATCGATAGTTTCAATATTTTTTTTTTAAATTTTCGATTGTCAATATCCTGATTCGATAATAATTATCTCAAAATGAATTGTAAAAATTTTTCGAAAATTTTTCTAATTTCATTCATCAATATTATTATTTTTAATTTTTATTCTGTTACGACAACTTCAACAACAACAACAACATTGATGCCAACAACAACAACAACAACAATCAAATCGATAAATAATTCAAAATTATTTAATCGTACAAATAATATTGTACATCATCCATTTAGAAATTTATTATTATCATCATTATTACGTAAAAGAAAAGAAAATGATAATTCTACATCATCATTATTATCAAAAGAATCGTTATTATTATCGAAACCATATAATCCATACAATTTACAATCACGACGACAAGATCAACAACAACAACAACAACATGAAAATGAAGTTCGAAATTATTATGATAATATGAATGAAAATTCTAATGATAATCATTATCCATATTATCATACATCAAATCAAAATGTTTATATGCCAATTGCTACCTGGAATAATAATAATAATAATGATAATGGTGATCAAATTGCATCAATGAATTTAGCTAATGATAATAATAATCATCCGAATGTTTATTCATTATTAATGTCAAATACAATATCATCAATTCATAATGATGATGATGATTCATATCAACAACAACAACAACAACAAACAACATCATCAAATTTAATAAATGATGATAGTGATGATGATGTTGATTTATTACAAATGTCTGATACTAATCGAAAATCAAAAATATTATCTACCGGTAATCGATTTCATTCACCACCATCATCATCATCATCGCAATCACAACATTCTACAAACAAGCAAAAACAACAGCAACAATCATCGCCATTAGGTATTATATTAGGTCGTCCAATGACAAATGGTTTTGATGGTCGTTTATATATACCGATCTTTTAGTAAGTTTACATTTGTCATTTGTTGATTATAATTTAATTTTTTTTGTTGTTGTTCATCTTACCTCATTAGTCCAAAATCATGGATAGTTCCATCAACATCTGTTCAACGACAACCAATTCGAACAATTGTACCGATGCAATATTCATCATCAAATTCATATCATTCATATTATTCATATCCATCAAAATTTTTATATTCAAAAATAAACAATCCAACACCAACAATGTATCGACAATCACCAGCTGCATTTGAATCATTTATTGGACAAACATTTCAATTGCCCGATAAAACAACAACATTAGATACAAAAACAAATACCGAAATGGATCATCGTCATGATCCATCATCAATGTCATTTATTCTTCAACAATTAGATCAAAATTTATTACAACAACAATATCAAGAAACAAAACAACAACAACAGATAAATGTGGAAAAAAATTCTAAACCAACGAAAAAAAGTTTTACAAATTTATTGAAATCATTGGGTAAATTTGCATCCATTTCACCATCATCATCATCGACATCATCGGAAAATACACGATCTTCTTCATCCGAAGCAATGATTGCCGATGGATCAGAACAAATCGAACCATATCATCCATATCCATTGAAACATATTGGTGGTCCATATTATGTTGGTCCACCTATTCTTGGTATTCATGATCCTGATGCTGAACTTAAGCTTGGTAAGCAATAATGATGGCAAAAATTTTTGAAATTTTAACAAAATTACTTTTTTCTTTGCATTTCAAAAGCAATGGCAGCTTCAAATAATGTTCTAGATCAAAATGGCGATGGATTTATGGATAATTTTTTGATGAATACCGCTGAAAATACAATGGATGATACTAGTGATGATGTTAATTCATATTATTATGGGTTAGAACATGCTGACAATGAATTTACAACACCCACATTGATTGATCAATTCAATCCATCAACATCATCCATATTATCTCGTACCGAATCAAACATTCAAACACCATTAGAATCAAATAGAATTTCTATATCATCGATTAAATCAAATCGAACCATCAGAAATAATTTGAATCGTCAATCAAGAAAAAAATTTAAAACTACATCAAAACCAAATTATAGTTATCAAGAAGAAACAACATTGAATCCACTAAAATCCGTGATTGAACCATCATCATCATCATCATCATGGAAAGCGATTATATCGACAACAACAACGACAACATCGACAACAACCGAATCACCATTCAATAAAAATTCAATGATACCATTAAACATATCGAATATTAGTCCACAATCACAATGGATACCAACGGTTGCAGCACGTAAACATAATTCACTCAAAGATACAAATGTATTCAAATTTCCAATTAGTTTTTAAAATTTAATTATTTTTTTCTTTTTAATTTAATCAAATCATTAATTATCAAAATTTTTTTTTTATCAAAAACATTTTTTTTTTACAATTTCGATAACAAAACAAAATTTGTAGATATCAAGCAAAAATTATTAAAAAGTTGATTCATTAATCAATCAAAAAAAAATGAAGAAATAAATTGATTGTCGTCTTGTTTTCTTTTTTTAACCCGCATTTTGTAAACATGATTAAGTTAATTAAATAGTTTTTTTTTGATTAAAAATCAGCATCGGTAACAAATACCTGATCTTCAGGTCGTGACATGACACCACTTTTTTGATATTCGGCAACACGTTTTTCAAAAAAATTTGATTTACCTTCTAATGATATTTGTTCCATAAAATCAAATGGATTTGTTGTTTTATAATGTTTTTCACAATCTAATTCAACCAATAAACGATCGGCACAATATTCAATATAATCGGACATTAATTTAGCATTCATACCGATCAATGATACTGGTAATGCATCGGTAAGAAATTCTTGTTCAATATTAACAGCATCAATAATAATTTCAACAATTCGTTGTGATGATGGACGATTACGAATATGATGAAACAAAAGACAGGCAAAATCACAATGTAATCCTTCATCACGTGAAATCAATTCATTTGAAAAGGTAAGACCAGGCATTAGGCCACGTTTTTTTAGCCAAAAAATTGCTGCAAATGAACCGGAAAAAAATATTCCTTCAACAGCAGCAAATGCAATTAAACGTTCGGCAAATGTAACCGAATCATCTTGTGTCCAACGTATAGCCCATTTAGCTTTTTTCTCTACACAAGGTAGATTACGTATAGCATTGAATAGAAAATCTTGTTCATTACGATCCGATACATAGGTATTAATCAATAATGAATACATTTCTGAATGAACATTTTCGATAGCAATTTGAAATCCATAAAAACAACGTGCTTCTGGTATTTGTACATCACGAATAAAACGTTCAGCTAAATTTTCATTAACAATACCATCACTTGCAGCAAAAAAAGCCAATACATGTGAAATGAAATGTTTTTCATTCGAATTTAATTTATTCCAATGTACAAGATCATGGCTTAGATCTACTTCTTCAACTGTCCAAAATGATGCTTCAGCTTTTTTGTACATTGTCCAAATATCATGATATTGAATTGGAAACAAAACAAAACGATTTGGATTTTCACGAAGTAATGGTTCATCATCTAAATCGAAATTTCGATCTGATTTTACAAACGATTTGGATTCGGATTTTTTATTATCAACAGCAGTGATGATCAATTTCTGTGAAAATTCATCCAAATTAAATCCATTATCAATGGAATTGGTGGATGTTTGAGTTTCATGTGGCATTGTGTGTTTTATTAGTTGAATAAAATTCGAAAAAGAATTTTGAAATACAAAAAACAAAAAACAAAAAAGATTCGATTCGAATTGAGAAATTCGTTAACGATTGAATCAAAATGTATACAAGTGAATAGAACACATTGAAGATTTATATACTCGCTGTATAATACGAGGTTTTGTTTTTGTTTAGCCGCCAAAAATTTTTAGGCGGGAAAATATATTTCATCGTCAGGTCGATCACTGTTGTTTATATCATTGAAAAAACAATAGTAAAAAAAAAGGCGCCAATTTTTTTTAAGGGTTGTTTTGCAACCGATCAAGCAAGTTATAAAGCGCGCGCTAATTTTTGGTGAAAATTTCCAATCCAAAACAAACACTCATGTGAACAGATAACCAAAACAAACAGAAAACAATTGTTTCGAAATTAATAGTCACAATGTATTGTGAATTGTATTGAATTGAATTACCGGCAAAATTTTCAACATGCATAACAATCAAGTGATTGTTTACGTAAATATTTTCATTGTGACCGATTAGGATACGTGAAATTAACGAAAAAAATGAATTTCATCATCGCGATCGTTGTTTTTTGTTCCATTTGACGATGATTGAACTTTATTTATGTTTAGCTGTGTCGACATCTAATGGAATATTTTCGATTTAAATATTTTCGAACGTTTTTTTTTCTTAAATCAGGTTTATTTCGAACGTTTTTTTTCTTTTCTTATTTTGAAGATTATATTTATTTCCGCAAACAAAAAAATGAAACATTCATTGAATTTATCGAAATGTAAAAAACAACCGAAACAACAATTTTAATCAATTCTATTGTAACTTTGATGATATCACCTAAAATAAATGAGGTTAATTTGTGACAATAAGAAAAAAAAAGATTGTTTTTTTTCATCAAACTAACGACATCGCAGATTCATCATTCATTCGATACAATTTCAATTTCAATCGAAATAATCAATGAATTTGACACCTTTTTTCGTTGTTGCCACTTTAAATAAATCCGGTTCCATCAAATAAACAATCGGACATTGGTCTTTGATCGAATGTTTTTCTCTAAAAAAAAGTTTTTTTTTCAAAATAAGACTCGTTCATCCATCCAGACAGTAACGGAAATAACATTTGCAAGTGAGCCGGTTTCAATTTCAGAAAATAAACTACTTTCTAAATATATGAATGATTGCAATTGAAAAAAATTCTTATCGATAGAATGTATTCATCAATCGATCTAAGAAAATCAAAACGATTTTTGGATAATGAGAAAAATGAAATAAAAAAAACATTTTTGTACATTTTATCAAATAAAGATGGCACATCAATCATTTTCACTCTATTTTTGCGCTCACAATCTCCATTCAACATCAATGGTAAATATATAGAGACTCTCCTTTTGATATGATATTCATGCTATTTTATGCTTCGTGGCGTCTGCTCATCATCATCATCATCATCATCATCAAACTCCGATCATAGAAAAAAAATCATATATTATGTGGACACAAGAAAAAATAAGCTATGTGTCAGTCTTTTTTTTTTTTATTTCACTGGCTGTTTATTGTGAATGAAAAAAAAATAATCATCCAACACACGACGGCGATACACGTCAACAATTCTTAGATTTTATATAATTTTTATTTAAATTTTTAAAAATCTTTCATTTCTTGCCCGCTTTTTTTTTGTAATTAATTAACTAATTATTGGTTTTTCTTTTGCTCATTTTAAATTTGTAAGAAATTTTTTTTTCTAATGAACAACTCATTTATATTTTCATTTGATATCTGTTTGTTAGAATAATTTTTTTTCTATTTTGAAAAAATTCTTAATATTAATATTGATATTTTGAATGAAAAGAATCAAAGAATTTATGCCGCATATCAAATCAAATAAAGGTATGTTTCATCAGTATTTTTTTTATATTGAATTTCTAATAAAATTGATTTTCATTTTTCATTTTAAAAATATTTTTCCACGTTTCATTTCGGACGATTCTATCTGCTATTCCAGATTTTATTGATTATAATTGGAAAAAAATTCATCGATAAAACAACGAAAAAAGAAACAAACAAGTGCAAAATAAACGTTCCAATTAATACTAAAAAAAAAACAAAAATATACCCGTTTGAATCAAAAATGGCAATTAAACGTCGTACCGGTTCGACTAAATCACCACCAATATTATCACATGAATTTTTCATACAAAATCATGCTGACATTATTTCCTGTATTGCTATGATTATTGTTGTATCATTATTATTTCAAGCTACATCACAATATGCTGCCTATTTTGTTGCATTACAACATAATACAACCGAAATATTAGGCAATCCAATGGCATTATATTCAAGTGGACCAAAAGATATTTGTGTTATATTTTTCTATTTTTTAATCAGTATCGTCATACATGCCGTTGTTCAAGAATATATTATCGATGTATGTAACGTTTAATTTTTTTTTTAAACTTATTCAACAATATGATTATTTATTTATTTATAGAAAATCAATCGAAAATTACATCTTTCCAAAACAAAACATTCAAAATTTAATGAAAGTGGACAATTACTTGTATTTTATCTACTATCAATTATATGGGCCGGTGAAATATTACGTCGTGAAAAATTTCTTTTACCATTGCAACGAATTTGGTCGGATTATCCGGAAAAACATATCGAAATGCCCTATATTAACAAATATTATTTTATCGTACAAATTGCCTACTGGTTACATGCATTTCCTGAGCTTTATTTTCAAAAAGTTAAACGTGATGAATTGGTTCATCGTGCCACTTATGCATTTTTGTATTTGTTCTTTTTCATCGGAGCCTATTATCTGAAGTATATTAATTTTTAGATATTGCCTTTTTTCAAATATTAATAATATTTTTTCATCTTTATTATTATTTTTAGTTTCACAAAAGTTGCATTATGCCTTTCATTGTTTCATTATCTTTCCGAATCATTTTTCCATCTATCACGGCTTTTATATTTCTCCAACAAAACTAAACTTCATGGTTATGTGTATGTATTAACTTTTTGTTGATTATAACCAATTGATTGACTTTTTTCTTTTTTTAATTTCAATTTCTAGTTTTAATATCTGGAATGTAGTATTCGTATTGGTACGTTTCTTATCCATCAGTCTTTCTGTATTAACTTTCTGGTATGGTTTTGCTGCCACATCATCATCATCGATCGATGTTGATGCTGGAAATTTCAACACGCCATTGATTCGGTAAACTTTATATTGAATTTAATAGATGTAATTCTTTTCAAACATTTTTTTGCTTTAAACTTATTATAGTTTGCTTTGTTTGGCTCCTATTGGTTTTCTTCAAGCATGGATGATGTTAAATTTTATTACATACCATATGCAACGTTTACGTGAACGTGCAGCCGAAATAGCACGACGAAAGAAGAATGCCATTCAACAGCGTCCACAAAAGATACCTGATGCTGATCTAGATGATCTACCGGAAGTAGATCAACAACAATCAACAGCTAATTCAAATCAAATCCTTCAATCGAGCCCAACCACTGCTTCCGTATCTAATTCATCCAAACTTCATTCGCCAAAATCTTCGGGAAAATTAAAGATCAAATAAATTCAAATTCTCCTTAAGCGCTTAATCCAAATTATAACCAAAAAAAATGATCAAGAAAGTTAAAACTAAAAAACCAAAAGAAAATTGACCACGAAAAGCTGAAATTTTATTCGTTCGATTTTTCTTTCTATACAAATATATACTCCCACCTGTATCCACATTCGATCAACAACTGAATACAAGATTATTGGATTTCACTTTTATCATTCCCTTTTCTTTCAAATTAAACAGCATCCGTTCTTTCTCTCCCTTACAAGCAATCTCCCACCTAACTGTTTTTATCAATATAGATGATGATGAATTATTATATTTTGTTAAAAATTTCTTTTCTTCTTTTTTAATTATTAATATGCATGTGTTTAGCATGATTTTGCAATATACCGATACACAATAATGGTCATCAAAGATAATTTGTTGACATTTTAACAAAAATTAATATATTTTTTTAAATGTAATCATGCCAAAAAAAAATATTAAAATCAAATTAAAGTTATTTTAAAAATTAAAATTAATTGAAATTATTCATTCGGTCACATTTTTCCATGTTTTCCGTCAAAATTACATTGAATTTGATTATTTTATTGCAATTCTATTTGTTTTTGTTGCTTATCAAAAATGTTTTTTTTCTAATTGTTGCAGTGATTTTCGGATGTAGAGAATTGTAAATTTTAGGCTTTAATTTGTTTAATTACACAAAATGTCATGAATCCATCCAAGTTATTTGCATTACCATTACTATCATTAGAAAAATCGATGTTTAATTGATACAAAATTCATTTATTTTTGATCGAAAAAACTATAAATTTGATAAAAACAAGACATATTTTGTTTATTTTAATCTAATAGTCGATGTGTATGCGCTTTAACGTTATCATTAACAATCAAAATGAAATTACAACTTTTTCATCTCATCAGTGTTTCGGGTAAGGTTTGAATCGATTCGAATAGATTTAATTGAATTCAATTTAATATGAATTTCTTTTAACAAAAAGCATTGGTTGGTTTTGCTTTCACCACACCGCTTTGTCCACAATTAACACCATTTCCGGTCGCTTCAGAGGTCCTGAAACTATTTTTTGAGTTTCTTTCCCAATATCAAGCTCCTGTTGCAGCTTCATTACCTGCAGCTCCATCACCTGAGGATCCCTCACCTGCAGCTCCATTACCTGCCGCCCCATTACCAGCAGCTCCATTGAATTTGGAATCTTTACCGGCAGCTCTATCATCTGTAGCTTCATTACCTGCAGCTCAATTACCAACAGCTCCATTGTCATTTGAATCTTTACAGGCAGCTGAATTACCTATGGAATCTTTACCAGCAGCTCCATTACCTACAGTTCCCTTACCAACAGTTCCATTTCGAGGATGGCCAATAAATTCGGGATTATTTGCCCCAGTAAATGGATTCATTGGTAAAGATTATCTATATAATTATTCTGAATAAATAATAAATTGAAAAGAATTTTCTTGAAAATCCTAAAAGATGAAATTAATATGATAAATAAATCCGATAACAATAGTATTAATCACTATGATTTTATTAATCTAAAATTATTCATCTTTTTCATAAGCATATTTCCATATATGACTTAAACAAACAGAAGAATGAAATCGATAAAATAACATCATCGGTAATGTTGTATGTGATAATATCATTGTAAAAAATTCACCAAAATATTCATGTGTAGCATGATATTCTTCTACGGTTTTCAATTCCAATGTATTCAATATCCAAAGTGTTACATTCAATATCAATATTAATGTAACTAATTCACGGCCAGGTTTACGAAAACGAACTTTAGGATTATTTGAACAACGTCGTAAATTATCCACAATGAATGGTGATTGTATCATAACCTGTATGATTGTTAAAAAATCAATACCAATCAATGTTAAATTATTACATTCCATAGAATTATTAATCATTATACTGGCTATAGCTGAACAAGTATAATGAATAAAATAGAATGGTATTGGTATCAATATGAGTATATCATCCATCATCATAAATGAATTGTTTCGATGTTCAAAATTTACAACATCTAATTGATTTCTCATCCGATAATATGCAATCGGTATTATTACAAAACAGGATAATGTTAATAATAAAATCTGTAATGTATAGATGACAACGGCAAAATGTGTAGATACATCTTTGTGTATGGTTGAAAAGAAAATGATCACAGTAATCAATATGATTAGCAGAATAGCTAAACCAAGAAAAAGTCCTTTGTTACTAGCATGACAATCAACGGTAAGTAATAGACTGGATCGATTATAATCATCACCATCATCACCATCATCTTGTTCAGTTTCTTCATCATCATTAAAAATACGATATTTATGTAATAAATCTTTTTCATATGATTCGGAAAATAATGAACGATCTTTTACTTTGCCTAATAGATAAATAAATAATTTTATTCAGAATTTTATTCAATTTCGATTTAATAATCATACCTATATTTGACCAAATCATATACCAAATTGAAGCCAATATAATATTATATTCAATAGTGAATGGATAAAGATATGGTAATGCATGTAATGATTCATTACTTATTATAGCTTTTTTTGAACAATTTTCTTCAAATATAATATGATTTTTTAAACCATGAAATTCACCATTAATTATTGAATTATCATCAATTATTACTATTGATTGATTTTGTTGATAATAATCATTTAATTTTTTATCAACATAATCATCAATAGCATCATCGATAATAGTATCAAGCCAAAATGAAATACTTGTACCGATTAGATGCATCAATGCAAATCTTGCCAGATTTTTATATCGATTTATAATAATCTTTGATAAATTTAATTCGATAAATCAAAAGAATTCAAGAAGAATGAAAAAAAATAATAATGATTAGATAGAAAAAACAAAACAAAACATTCTTAGAATAATATCAAATTTTTTCTTACATTTGAATATTTAAATATAAAATATAGCTGATAGAATGAAAATAATAAACGTACAGATTCCATAAATAATAATGAAATACATTGACATTCGTTATCATTATGTACGAAAAAATATGTTTGTTTTGCCAAATCGATACCGATATGTGTAATACTTCCAAAACAAAATACTAATAATATAAAATAGATAGATATAGAAAAAAAATATATAACAATATTGTATATTTTAAATGAAACCATACCGATCATTCCAATTTTTAGATAAAAATCATTTGCATGTCTACCATGAAAATATCGATATGCAATCATTTTATCATTATTTAATTCAATATTCGAATCATTATTGTTTTCTATATTTTCAATTCTTATTTTATCAGAATTTTCTGGAACAATATTTTCATTTACATCATTATTATTATTATTATTCAATTGTTCATTATTATTATTATTATTATTATTCAAATTGACTTTATCATAATAATCAAAAATTATTGCCGTTGTTAATGATAGTCTATCATATTCAGGAATCTGGTCATCATTATCATCATCATCATCATTTTCATAAACTGTATTCGAAATGATTGCAATATCATTCATATTATTATTATTTTCATCATCATTATCATTATTATCATTATTATTATTATTATTCGATATTTGTTTAGATTGTCTTCGTTTTTGTTTACGTTGTAATTTTCGTTCGTCATCTATACAACGTAATGCCCAATGGCGAAATTTAATTATATCATAATGAAAAAATATAATAACAAATCCACCGATTATTGAAATAATTATAACGAATATATCACGTAATTGATTATTTGGTTTAGATATATTAAAAATTGTAAACATTGCACCAATAATTATTAATAATAATGCATAAACAATTGACATAAATTGCATTGTACGTTCATTCACTGCTTGTTGTGGATTTTTATTCAATTCATCATCATCATGAAGATTATCATTATTATTATTATCATTGAATCGAATTGAAAGATTATTTCGAATTGATGATGCAGCCATTGATTGCCATAAATTTTCAATACCAGCAAATGTTGTTGATGATGTTGGATGATTACGTAATTGAACATTCTGTAATAATTGTGGAATATTCGATAATTGTCTTGATAATCGTCGTACTTTGGTTGTAAATGTTTGCATAGCCATTTTTTTAAAAAAAAAAGTAAAATGAACGATTAATCAAAATACAAAACATTTATTTGAGAGAGACCAAGAGAGTGAGAGAGAGCTTAAATTGTTTAAATCAATGAATTTTTAAATCCCCATAATAATTTTAGAATCATAATCAAAGTGAAAAAAATGATGCAATCTGGTTTTGCTAATTGATAATCATCTGTTTTTTTTTCCAATACATCTATCTGGAATTTATATTTAGGATAATAAATTTGTTTCAACAAAAAAAAACAAAATACCGGATCAATGTATGGATTAATCCATTAATCATAATCCATATAATAAATAATCAGTGTGTGCAAAAATAAAAAGATGATAAAAATTTTATGACGGAAAAAAAACTTAGATAAGATTTTAGAATTTTTATTCAATGTTTTCAGCATTTTTTCATCTCTCACCACCAATTCAAATGAATTTTACAATTTCAATTTCACAATCATTTAGTTAGACATAGTGTGTTCCATCATTATTTCTATTTTTAGATGAAAAAATAGGATTTTTTTGTTGTTTTTTGTTTTGATTGAAATATTTGGTATGACGTCCATAATCAATAAAAATCATTATTATAAATCAACAAATAAAAAATCAGAATTTAAAAGTTTTTAAAATGAAAATTTCTGTTTGTTGTTGTCATCTTTGATTTTTATGGAAAGATTAAATTTTCAAATAAAAAGAATTTGATTTATTTTCAGGCTTTGCCAATCATCATTTTTTTTCGTTGTTCATGTATAGAAAAATCCATTTAAATCCGATTTACATTGAATCTTAGAAGAATTCGTTAAGAATTAATAAAATGTCTACATTTTTTTTTTCTGTGGAAATATTTGTATACAATAAATACAAACAGACAGATTCATCCATTTATTTCTCATCTTTATACTATTAATAAAAGAATTTCAGATTCTTTTCTTTTTTTTTCATTTACACTTTTTTTTATTCTTCTTCATCATCTTAATGTTATTTGATCATCATTGCTGCATTATACACATGTAATTCACTTTTTTCTTTGGTGGGCATTCAATTAGCTTCTGGCATCTTTCTTGTCAAATACATTTACCGAAAAATATATACACACACACATAAATTAAATATATAGAATGTAGAATTGATTATGAAATGTCCATGTTTTCTGTAAGTTTGTTATATGATGTTTATATACTTACTTTTCCAATTATGATGATGAAATGATGTGAAAAGGAAGGAGAGAGAGAGAGAGAGTGCTAAGAAGATATAATAATTTTTGAATAATATTTTTCGGATGAGTGATAAAAAATGAAATAAAATACGAATTATTTCTCGGTTTTCTCGGATTCTTCATTAATTCATGATCTTCGAAAGAATGATTTTCTTTTTCTTTTTTTTTGTACAAAAATAAGTCAAGAATATTCTTAAATATTCTTCATATATAAACCTAACTTGACTCAGATATGATCGCAAAGTCAAAATAGCTTTTTTTTCTCAAGCAAAAAAAAATCAATTTTGAAAATAAATTGAACAAAAAAGAAAATTTTATAAACAAAAACAAAACAAATAACATTTCGATTATTTATGATGATAATAATATATTCAATTTATAATTCAATGTATCAATAATAATAATAATAATAATAACATTAATGGAAAATAAATAAATAAATAAAAAAAATTCAAATAAAATTTTGTTTTTGTCAGATTTAAGATCTTTTATTTTATTTTTCTGGAAATGTATATGTCATCATGTTTTGTTTTGTAAGTTCGATATGATTTTTTGTTTTTTGTTTGTAATAATAATAATAATATTTATAAAGAGGAAGAAAATGAAAGAAGAAGAAGAAGGAAATGTAGATATTTCACATTACATATTATAATATCCGAAAATCTATTTCAAAGCTCGCAAGATTTATGTGAACGATAATAACCGGTACCAGGATAATGTCCAGCTGAATGTGATCCACCACCACCACCACCACCGCCACCATGATGGCTACCGAAAAAACCACCACCACTTGAACCGCCACCAAAATTACCACCACCACCGCCACCTGATGATCCATAACCACCGGAACGATATGATGTTGTTGCCGTATTACCGCTCATCGTATCTTTACGTTGAGCATAAATATTTAAACCAGGTATAATATGTACACGTAAACCCATTGATTCATTAACCACTGTACGTCTAATGGTAGCACCTTTTCTTGAAAATGTTACATGTGATTTACAACAACAATAATAAAATAATTTATTGAATGCATCACGAAAATCACGATTTGTTGCTGCATACATATAGGAAAATGAACATGAATTCGAAATGGCTATATACCAAACAGTATTTAGATAATCCTGTGGTACTGGATTTATTGTATCAACAACCATTGTAACGATCTTTGAATAAGAAACAACAACAAAAAATTAATAAAGTTTTTTTTTTGCATTTAGTAAATTAAAATCCAAATCATACCAATGGTAACCACATTGCTAATGAACAAACATAAACAATAACATTTGATTGTAATAAACAACCATCGGTTAGAATAAAATTGGCCGCTTCGGGTGTTGATTCTAGTTGAATTTTATAATTTTTATACATAAATAATGAATAGGTAAAATAGGCCAATGTTATTATTGTACAGATAATTAAAAAACCTGAAAATTGTTTTTTAAAAAAAAGGTATGAATTTTTTTTTGCCGATTGTTTATTTTTTTGCACAAAAAAAATACCTAATGCATATGGATGATAATCGGGCATTATTTTCCAATGACGTTTATCTTTACAGAATTCTGGACCAAAATGATTGGAATGTTGTAAAAAGGGTATAATGAATGCGGCCAACCAGATAAAAATGATTAGAAAACAGATACGACATTTTGTACAACAAAGATGATAAGTAATCAATGATTTCATTCCAAAATAATTATCAATTGACATGAATAAAAATGATAGGATGGATACAATAAAACAGGCCAATGTAATAAGCCATTGAAAATGACATAATGTTTGATCTTCGGTTATATCAGCCATTATGGCAATAGCTGATGCAGGTAAAATTAATACAGTCACTAATAAATGTCCAAAAGCAAGTGAAACAAGAAAACAATTTCCTCGAACCTGAAATGTATCAATTACTGTTATAGCTGATACAATAAATATTGCACCCATTGAACCAATAGTTGATACAAATGATAATAATATTAATTTGAACACACGATTCCATGAATTCCAATTATCTTCAGGAGGCCACATTATCTGGTTCGGATTATAAGCAAAAGGGTATTGGGAATATTGTGGTGGTTGATTTGGTTGTGATAATTTTGGTGATGATGATGATGATGGCGGTGGTTGTGGGCCCTGTTGTTGTTGATATGGATAATAATGTTGAGATATGGTTGGATGGTGTTGTTGTTGTTGTTTTTGTTGTTGAGCTGTTGTTTTTTCTGACAACAGGGAACCATAATGCACTGATGAAGGAAGATATGGTTGTAAATGACGGATGGATCTTGATGTTGATGTTGATGGCCAATTATTTTCACCATTATTAAAACTATTCATTAAGGCCATCATCAATGATGATGATGATGATAATGAATCATTATTGGAATTATCCGAAGCATCTGATGATAATGATGATGCGGATATCGATGATGTGAATGATATTGATGATGATGATGATGATGTTGATGTTGAAACAATAATAATAACAGCTGTAGCCATTGTTGATATTGCATTTTTAAAAAATGAATTTGCTTTCGATATGGATGATTTTGGCCATAATCTATTTGATAATTTTGACGATGTTGATGTCGATAATGTTGATAATAATAATGATGATAATCGATATGACATTTCCGGAATTTAACATTCATTTGATGTTGAATCATCAAATTTTTTTCTTGTTTGTTTGTTTGTTATTGAAATTATTATTATCTATATGAATGAATAGAAGAAAAACAAAACAAAAATGAAAATTTTCAATTTTTAAAACTAAAATTATCAAACAAATTACATTATGAATGTCCGGAAGGATAAAATAAATGAAAAATTTCCTTTTTAAAGTTTTATTTTCAAGAAAAAACCCCAGCAAATCAATTAATACAAATTGAATGTGGAAATATTTTTCATTTACATCAAAAAAAAAATTATGATGAGAATTTCTGTTGCCCAAAGAATTACATTTGAAGGGAAAAAGTATTATGCCCGCGAAATGAGAAACATTGAAATTAAATTTTTTATTAAAATTGAAATGAAAAATCGTTTTTTTTTCTTGGTTGGTCGGTTGGTTGGTTGAAAAATTATCATAACATCGCTTGAAGCAATTCAGTTTTTGAATATGAAAAAAATGGACGGGAATTCTTTTTCTACGGTCTTTTTCCGATTTGATGATATTTGACACATCCTTGATTATTACAAATTGAGTAGATGATATATGTGTGTGTGTAATGAATTCCGAAGCAAAAAACTATTTAAACTTCGACTAATCAATCAATGATTATTATTCAATTTTGAAATAGCTCGAAAAAAAACAAAACAAAACAAAACAAACATTCAGTAAATGGGCCGATAATAATATTGATCGTTTATTATTATTCGAAACACTTTTACACCGCCCTCTTATTTATTTATCAAACATCGATTTATTTTTATTTGTTGGGCGTCACTGACTTTTGATGGAATTTTGTTTTGTTTTTTTTTCGGGTCTGTCGGTTAATGTCAACAACCAACAACGGTTACGAATAACAATGGAAAAAAGTGATAAAAAAATTTATGAGTTTTGTTGTTTTTGTTGTTGTGAATTTCAACCGAAAAAAAAATGAAAAATTGAATCAATTTTTTTTTCAAAGGAGAAAAATTCTTCGCCAAAGTTTCTCTATTATTATATGTGTGACCAAGGGGGTGTAAATAGATTCGAATGTTTTGTTGTTCGATGATAATAATGATGGAACGAAATGAATTCGAATATTTTACACTTGTATGGTTTTATCATCAAGTAAATTGAATTTGAATGGCAAAAAAAGAAGAAAAAGATCATTTTTTCTCAATTTCATCATTCATCAAGTTTTCAAATAAAACATCAATATTCTTTTCGAAAGATCATTCCAGATATTCTTTCTTTTTTCATCTCATTTTCAATTCCCATAAATAATTCAAAATTTTTCATCATGATTTCTATCTAAAATGAATTGAAATAGTTGAATTCTTTAAAAAAATTCCTTGAAAATAATCTTAAAAATAATGATGAAAAATTCAATAAAATATGTTTAATGATGATGCTCATCATCATTATCATCATACCCCAGTGTTGACATTTTCTTTCCTAAACATTATTATTATTATCGTCATCATCATCGTCAAAAAGAATAATAACAAAAAATATCCGTGAAATGCATGAATAAATAGCGGATTGTTGTCATTATTGTTTACATTTTATTATCATTATTATTAGCTGGCAACAAAAAAAAAGTTGAGTTTTTTTCAACACATCGTAAAAAAAGAATGGGAAAACCAAAAATAAAAATGTAACAAAGATGTAAATTATGATTATTATTATGATGATTGTTGGGTTTATAATAATGTTTGTTCACAAACTTTGTTTCAAATTTTTCCATCTCTCTATATCTTTTTCACTACGACAAAAAAAAATGTTTGTTCTTTGTAATCAAAATTCCGAAATGAGAAACGAAAAAAAAACGACAACAACATATTCTCATTTGGATATCGTAATGTTCTCCAAAACAATGATTCCTCGATTCCTCATGCTATGACTTGAATTTTGTTTTTTGTTTTGCATCACTGATTGAACAAAAAACATTATTTTCATTCACATTTTTTTGTTTATTCGGTCAACATTTATAAATGGAAAAGTATTGTTTTTGTTTGAAAATAATTAGAAGAAAAAAAATTCTGCAGTAATTTTTATAATAGTGATATGCAATGAGCCACATAATATTTTATAATTACATGGAAATGAATTCAAATATGACGTTAACATTCTTTGTTTGTTTGTTTTGGACATGGAATTTTTTATTATAATTTTCATCAAAAACACAAATAACAATCATTCAGTTAACGATAATGATAATTATAATAAGTTTGCTTTTGTTTTTGTTGTTGTTGTTGATTTTGTTCATCATAATCATTATATCATTTATCATTTTTGAATTCTTTCATTCATAATGATATTATAATTGATCTTTGTTTTTTTTGCTTGCATAATTTATTTCGAATGTCCATCATCATCATGCTCATTTAGTCATCGAATCAATCATCATTTATATGAATTGTGCAATTATTCTGGGTTTTTTTTTTGTTGATTCTGGATATTCTGGGAAAACTTTGTTGTTGTATCGTTATGGTGACAAATAATTTTCCAGATGTTCAAGCGAAAAGAATATATTTTGTTCTTGAGATTAATGATTATTGTCAAATTCTAAGAAAGTCACAAAATATTAATCATCGTTGGTAAATAAATGATTTTTTTTGTTGGAATATAAATGAAAAACAGACATCCACGCTTGTTTGTTGCTGTGTCTGTTATTTTTTTTTTTTGCTCATCATTTTTAATTCTGCAAAATATTCATAGTTTTGATGATGATGATGAAATCCAAGAATTTTTCTGGATTTTATTTCCATTGAAAAAAGGCTTAAATTATCAAACAAGCAAACAGAAAAAAATTCTGTCTATTTTTTTTCATTTGAAAAAAAAACAAAAATTCTGTTTGATCATAATGATGGTTAATGATTGGCGTTGTTGGCATTTTTCAAATTTTCATTCTCATTTTTTTCATTTTTCATTTGTCTTTGACTATACAATCGATAAATTAGAAATGAAAGAAAGAAATTCGCTTGAAATATTCTATTATTTTTTAAACGAAGTTTGTCGTTGTTGTTGTTGTTGTTGTTTTTGTTATATAATCATCTAGCCATCTGTCTCCATGATGATGATGATGATGATAATGCCATTAACAAAGAAGAAAATTAAGAAAATATTATATTTTGAAAAGAAAAACGAAACAAAACAAAACAAAACAAATAAAAATAAACTATCTAGAAAGATGAAATGAGCATTATAAATAAATTCTTGTGAATTAAGATTTTACTTTTCTTTGCTTGCTGTTTTCGTTTGTTGGTTGTTTTTCATTTCGTGTGTGTTTTTGTTTCAAAGTTAACCTATCAATTCTATTGATTTTTTTTTTCGTTTTTTTTTGATGAAAAATTGACTTGTTTCTTCGGTTCTTTCCAAGTTAATATAATCACGAAATTAGATGATATTATAAAGCGTTTTTTTTTCATTTATTTTAATGATCATTTAACCAGAAAGAAGAAAAAAAACATAAACCATAAAGTGCATTTGAATATGGCAATTTTTTTTTGGTTTGTTTGGTTATTATTATCATCATCATCATCAATCGAAATAATCGCTCGGCATATTAGAGGGGGATATAGAAAAAACTCAAACAGAGAAAAAAGTACAATAATTTTATTGGATAAATTGATAAATTTATGGCTAATTTACATGGTGTTTCAAAAAAAAGTAATCATCGTCATCATCATCATCATCATCATCATCATTATTGATTTGATATTGAAGTCAAGTGTTTGGGTGGAGAGAGAGAGAGAGAAGAATGTAATGGAAAAAACAAAAAAGGATACACAGACACACATGTGATAATCATTAGATAGAATCGATATACAATAGAGAATATGAAAATGACAAGTATATTTATTACTACCATCATTGCCCTTGTATAGTCATTTGTTGATAATCCCTATCATCAAAATATTTTTTAATGATCATTCATTCAGATAATCATTATCAATGTCATTGTCAAACTTGAACAACAACAATAACGAAAACTTATGATTATCAAAGATCAATATTTTTTTGTTTAAGCCAATCAATGTGTTTGACAAGAGATGAAAATTATTGACAATCACGTAGTACACCGCTACAATATTCTCTCTCTCTCTCTCTCTCTCTCTCTCTCTCTCCCTGGATAATAATTTTTAAAAGATTTTATCATCAAAAGCCAAAAAAAAAAAACCAGAAAGAAATAGATACAATCAAAATGTGTCATTTTCAATTTAGAAAATAATTTGTAAATTTTGACCAATTTTTGTTGTCTTTATCATTACCGGTTGTCTATATCAAATGAAAAGAAATGGCCGATAAATTTTCTTTTTTCTTGTTTTCCCTCAAGATCATTTTCAATGTTTGACATATCAACCGACCAACCAACCAACCAAACATCTTATCTTTAATGATCTTTTTTTTAGACAGATAAATTCCAAGGACTAACGAAAAAAAAATCCATTGAAATAACAATAACAATAACAAAATTTCGTTGAAAATATCAAGATCATAAGGAAAATTGTTTCAATATTTCTTTTTTTGTTTGTTTGAAATATCTATGTAAACAAACGTTTGTATTATGTCACAGTTGATATAATGGAACAGAAGTTTTTTTTTAAAATCAATAATATTTTTTGTCATAACATCGTTGATTTCTTTCTTTTGATTTTTAAAGGGAATTAGTTTTCAATATTTTCAAATGTTTGACACTTATTTTTGGAACAACAATGACGTGTTTGAACAATTTAATCGGAAATTTTGAAATAGTAAAAATGCCAAATCAAATGATGATGATGTCAATGAATGATTATAAAAAACATAGGAAAGAATCATGACATGTATTGGCACTTGGAAAGTTTATTTTCCAGATTTTTTTTTTGTTTTGGAAACATACAAAATTATGAATCAATGTGAATCGTATAATGTAAATATGAAATGTTGATCAAAATTTGAAATTGAAAAAAAAAATTCTTTGATTTGATTTTTTTTACGAAAAAAAATGGGAAAATAATGACAACAACAACAACGACAAATGAAAATAACATGACAACCGAAATCGATTTTGCTATTGTTACACAGATGTTTAATTTTTTGTTTGTTTGGACAATTTTTTTTTCAGAAAATCTTTTACTGAAGAAACCAATGAAACACACACACACACACACAAAAAACATCAAATATTCATTGAAAAATGCCGGAAATATTTTTTCTAAAATCTAATAACAAAATATTGCAAGAAATAAATAACTTACCTTAAAAGATGAATCAAGAAAATATAGAAAGAAAGAAAAAAATTTCAAGCTCGATATTGAAGAAGTGGTTTTCGTTATCGTTTTTTATGTAAATTTAAATCAATAATGATATGATGATAATGTTTAGCATTTGTTTTTTGCTTCGATGAAACATTTTAAGGATTCTGTTGAAAATTTATTATAGAATTTTTTTTAAAATTTTTCCATTCTTGAAAGAAGATCATTTTGGTTCAATTCATTGTTTAAAAAAAATGAAAACAAAGAAAAAAAAACATAATCATTAATTGTCCATGGCAACAACAAATGTGAATTTGATTTCAATGTTTTTTTTCTTCTGATGATTATGTTTGTTTGTTGAATCTGACACAAAAGATATTCATCAAGTGGTTAACCTATGAATGATTAATTATTTTTTTGTTCAATTCTGTTGTTTTTTTTCTAGCCTAATAAATAATTAACACTTATCATCCTCATCATTTCTGTTCTGTTAACAAAATTTCTCAAAAACCTATTGGTTTTTTAACTATCTTTTCGGATCAAACACTAAATTAAAGTTGAAATGAAATGATAGAATCAAACGAAAAAAAAATCCTAAATTTCTTTCTTACCGATTTATCGGTATTGTTGTTGTTGTTGCTTTTCAAATTAATTTTTTTGCACTCATTCGGGGTTTTTTTCTCTCCCACACACACCATACAGATAAATATAAGAAAATTTTCAAAAAGAAATAAAAATGATAATGATTTACCGAATGAAAAAAACTACTACTTCACTACTGAATTATCAAATTTGAAATGAATGTTTTTTTTTCTTTTTTTGGGTAACTCTGCACACAAACCGAAATGATTTTTTTTTCGGTACTTGATCAGTTGTATCGGGTGCAATATTTTTTCTGGCTTCTTTCATTCATTTTTATTTATTGATAGAGAGAGAGAGAGATTGCTCCCAAATCAAAATGAGAGAGAGAATCCTTACATTGCTGTTATTCTGCAAAAATGTTTATATGTGCATAAGTGTTGTGTTTGAGTTGGAGTTGATGCCTGATGAACGCATGGCGCCCAATAATAATATTGAAGACGAAAAAAAAATCATGTACCACTTGTACATAAAACAAAATACCAGTGAAAAGATAGATAGGAAAAATATTTTCTTGCTTCTGGATTCTTTGGATCATATTATTCTGTTCCATCCCATAAAATTTTTTCCAACCATATCATGCGTGTGAACATTCCAAACAGAATACAAACACACACACCAACATATTATATTACAGTGACAATTTTATGAAGAGTTATATTCAATATAAAATACAGAAAAAAGAGAGAAAAGAAAATGAAAAGTTCTGTATACATTTTGATGATGTTTGTGTTTGTAAAACAAAATTTGCTACTAGCATTTCAATGGGAGAAAAAAAAATGATAAAATTGATTGAAGAAGAAGCAGAATAAGAAAAAATTCTATGAAATTCTATGATGATGAACATACAGATTCCTTTTTCAATTTTTTTCCCTTTTGGTTGTTGTTGTTGTTGTTGTTTTGATTCAAAAAAATAGAAAGAAAAAAAATTCTGTCCCTATAGTCATGTGATTCATTTTTTTTCAACTGAGAATTGAGAGATTGAAAAATTGGCCCAAAAAAAAGTTTACTTAGTCCCGGGCATTTACCACCGCTGCCGCCAACATCATCATTGAAAAAAACACTGAATACCTTTTTGATAATGATGATGTAACCAAAGGACAGGCAGCAACAAAATTTTTTTGTGAACTAAAATTATTATACACACACACACACATATAGAGAGACTAAATAACTTATTTAGTTGACTGATTTATTTATATAATATAAAATAAATGAATGAATGAATGAATGAAGAAAAAAAAAGTATATCTTTATCCATCATGTATGTGTTTCTCATAAGCATCATCATCATTATTATATATATTTTGTCAGAATATTACAACCGTTTGCTGTGGCTGCTACTGCTGCTGTTGATTATGATGATTATGATGATGATGAAAATATGATGCATGTATAGAATATATGATTGATACAAACAAACAAACAAAAAAAGCATCCTTGCATGTGTGAAATACTTTTGACTATTATTATTTTCAATAATAGTCAAAAAATGACTTGACTTGACTGATATATCAGCATCATTGAGAATTGTTTGTTTGTTTCATTTTCATTTTTTTTCAACAACCAGAAAGATATTTTTAGTAACAATCTATCTGTGTGTTACCTATGTGTTATTACAAAAGAATTGCAAAAAAAAAATGAAATTATCTGGATAAGATTCAGTGCAGAAAAACCCCTACGTATGTGTGTACTGGAATACTACCTATCTCTATAGTTGAAAAAAAATTCTGATTAAATCCTATAGGATGATGAACCAAAACAAATAATAATGATTTTGTTGTTGTTGTTGTTGAAAACTCATTATTTGATTATTTATCGATCGATTTTTGTCGTCGTTGTTGTTGTTGTTGTTGTTGTTGCCTCTTGCATTTGATTTTTTTATCTATCTTTTGGTATTCACTTTTTTTATATTCATATTTCATCATAATAATAATTATTGTTTGCTAAAACTATAGTCCATTAATGATTGAATTTTCTATATGTAATTTGTATTTTTCTTTCATTACATTATAGAGAAGAATTAGAGCTAAAATTACTTTGATTGCAAAAACCAAAGTAAAAGAATAAAATCTTTTAGGTAAACAATTCAATAAATATTAATCTGATTTGTTTTGTTTTGTTGTCGATGTTTTGTTGTTGTTATCGTTGTTGATTTTTCAAATCTTTCAAGCTTAATGCACAAATTCATTGATCTAAAACACTGTGAAAATTTGAAATTAATTCTCAAATGAAATTTTGAACCAAAATTAATTTTTTTTTTCATTAAATAAAATTTGAACGGCTTTTCACAGTTTCTGACATCTGAAATGAATGTGTGTGTGTGTGTGTGTTGGTGAAGAAAAAGAAAACTATAATTCATTTTATTAATTTGATTTCTGACAAAACCGTTTTGTATTCGTTATTGATAAAAATATCAGAAACATCAGAATGATTCCATCGGCTACAATTATCATCATCATCATTATTGCCTGTCATCAACATTTCTGAATTTGAACATCAAAAAAAAAAAAGAAAAAATCAATGTCTAATAATGAATTTTATGATAATTTTGTTCAAATCATGTGCATATTGAAGCGTTCCAAAAAAAATTTTCACACATTTTGAATTCATTAATTTTTTCCTAAAAAGAAATCGCATTAATAAAATTATCTGGAAAACGAATATTTTCAGATAACTTTTATTTATTGAAAATGATTTGTTTATCAACCACAAAATGAAAACGGACATTCAGTTTCATCCGGAAACAAAATCATTCTTTTTTTCTCCCAAAATTGTTTTTTCTGTTGTTTTGTTTTCTGTTTGATTCGAGGAATCACAATAGCTAAATCATTAACATATAGTCATCGTTGATTGTGTTAAGTGGTCTCTTGCTTCTATTTATAAATGTATTAAAAAATGGATTTTGATGATAATCTACTGGATGATGCTATTAATAGAACACACACACACACACCAACAACATTTGTTATGAGTATATATCATTTTTCATTATTTATTCAACCAAAACCGTCAAATTATTGTTATCATTATGATTCTACTTTTTTTCTGATGGAAAACATTTGTTTTGTTTAAATTCATTTCTCTGAAACGATGTGTTTGTTTCGATTTTGTTCAACAATAATTTTTATATTCACTGGGGCTACTTTGTAAAGTCTATCTTTCTTGCCACCAATTCACCAATACAATTTTCAGCTTGAAGAATGCATTGTGTTTGTATCAATTTTTCTTGTTTCTAAAGAAAATAATTGTATTTTGGCAAACAAATGTCAATTACAAAATAATGGAGAGAAAAAAAAATGAAAACCAAAACCGTTTCATTTACGCAAAACTAATTAAACGTTTCTGCTTTTTTTGTTTCTATTCTTCAAAACGATGAACCAATCTAATTTGTGAAAAAAATCAAAATGCGAAATGGCAGATTGGTAGAATAAAACAATATTTTTAATGGCTGTCAAATTTTATCGTTTTTTTTCGGCAATGCACACGTACAATTGCATTCATACTAACGTCTTCACAGATTTTCTGAAAACAACATCTTTGTAATCAAATGAAACAGAAAAATATTTTATTCACCATTTCTCTTTTTGTTGTTTTTTTTCTGGAATAAAAAAAAACAAAAAGAGTAAATTTTCCCAATGGGACAAAATTAGACCATTAATGATAAAATGTTTTCAACCATTCTCTCCTTTTCCTGTGAAAAAAAAGGAAATAAATAAAAAGGTTTTTTTTTTAAAAAAAAAAATAACGATTCTACGACCATGTTAATTTTGTTGTTGTTGTTTTTGTTAATGTTTTCATCAGTGTTTGAATGTTGTTGATGATGATGAATTAAGGCAGTGAAGCCAACTGCCAATGATTTTCTTTTTCTTTTCAAATTTCATCATATTATGAAATGAAATGACAGAACACAAACAACAATAAGCATTTCATTATGTCTATACACAGAAACAATACATTAATGTTTTAATTTTCATTCATTTTATGTTCATTTCATTTTATTTTATTTCGAAGTATTAAAAAAACCGAACCAAAACTTAACATTCACACAATTTTTATTATCACATCTGTGATGAAATAAAAAGAACCATGAAATAAATAAAAACCATAAAAAAATAACTAATATGGTCAATGTGTTTTGTTATGATTTTCTTTTTTTTTTGTTTGGCTGAATTAATTTCATTAATAACATCTCAACAAAATTAACAAATATATTCTGAAACAAACATAAGTTATATTGAATCTATTTTTTTCGCTATCTATTTGGTTATGGCAGTCCATAATGGTGAATAAATATTTTCAACAACAACAACAACAAAAAACTTTTATTTAGGTTTCTTCATAATGATAATGTTTTCTTTGGAAAAAAATTATTCTCTCAATCATTTACTCTTCATTATTATTCGACTGATGAAGATTTTCGCTGTTGTTGTTGTTGCTGTTGTTGAATTGATTTCATGGATCATTTCATTGAAATGATTTTGAACTTTTCGTATAATGATAATAATTAATCAATAATAATTGAAAAGTTTTTTCTGTTTGTTTGTTTGTTTGCTTAGTTGGTTGGTTGATTGGTTGGCTTTGTCACATTTATCATTCAGGTATTTAAACTTTAGCATTTTTTTCACATTCATTTTCATTGATTTCCAAAAAATCAATTGATCAGGTCAATTGATAATCAAAATTTCGAATCAGATTCGGGATTTTTTTTTAATAAAAACTTTTTGTTGTTCATTTTTTTTGCATCAAAATAAATTTACCTGCACCAGAAAGGGTTGACACTTTTATTTGGAAACTTTTTTTCTCTATTTCAATAATTAAAAAGCTTATCATCATCACCATATAATCATAATCAACAACCAACAGAATTTGAAATTACCAAAAAACAAAAATCCATAAACAAACTACTGTCGTTGAAAATATCATTACAAATGAAAATTTTAAACAGAAAAACAAGCAGGAAAAAATTCTAATTACAATCGGTTCGCTTGCTTGTTTGTTTTTTCCATGATCTGTCAGAAAGAATTGAAAATATCATGATCGCTGTCATTGTCATCGTCACTGTTGTTGTTGTTGATATTGGATTTCATTAATTTTAATTAATGAAATTTTTCGTTGTTTTTTTCATTAAAATTTTTTTTTGTATGTTTTTTTTATTTCATTTCAATGACATTTTTTCAGTTTGATTTATGTGTATCATCCTATTATTATAGTTTTTCTCTTGATTCTGTCTCCAATCTTTCAATCATGACAAATTATTTTCAAAATTTTCAATGAATAGGGCAGAAAGCGAAAACCACAAACCAAAATTCAAACAGGAAAAAAAATGCTGGTATTTTTCTTGTTTTCCAACAACATTCAAAGATAATAAAAATACAAAGAAAAAAGTAGAATTTTTGAAAATTTTTATTTACATTCTGAAAGAACATGAATTTTTCTGTTTTCATGTAGTTGTTGAAAGTCAATATGAAAAAAAAGACTGATTGAAAAATGAGATTTTTGTTTTATAAATGCAAAACTTTTTCATTTTATTTCAAACGAACAAATAATAAAAAAAAACAGGAAAAAGTAATGTGAAACACACACACAAACAAAAATCATTATCATAAACAAAAGCTTGCTCAAAATATCAAGATCAAATTTCATAATTTTTTTCCATCTGCTTTTAGCCAAAAAAAAAGAATAAAATCCATTGTTTTTCGTTTGAAAAGAATGTTAAAGATAGAAAAAACTTTTAATAATAATCATAATAATTGATGAGCCTACTGAAGTGAAAAAAAAGAAAAGTTTTTCTCTTTTTTCTTTTCTTTATATTCGTAGAATTCAATTTCAAAAAATTCATTCATTCATTAACGAAATGAAATGAAAAAATTTGCACGCACATATTTCATTTATCATTTTGTCTATTTTGTTCTTGGTTTTGGTTCAATATATCATGATAATGAAAAATTTCAATATGTAAAGTTGATGAAAATAATACAGTTGTTTTAAAGGAGAATCATTTTCATCAAAACTGTAATCGGATCGAAAGTCAAAAATTGGAAATAAATATTTTATATTTTGACTGTTGATTTGTTATGTGTTAACCATGAATCATTTTCTTTCACTTTTCACCTGAATGATGAATATCAAATTTGCCAGAAAAATTTTTCTGAAAATCAATAAATTTGATTTTCAGAATTTTCAAAAGTTAATTTTAAATTTTTTTTTTTGCTGAATTTGTGAATTTTCTCTTCTTTTGTTCTGCCAAATTTTTCATCAAATCTCATTATGTGCATAATTTTTATAAATTTATTGATTAAATTCATTTTCGGTGGAAAGAAATTTGCATACAAATTGTTTCATAATTTTCCCTTTTTTCAAGGATAATTACAATAAAAATTTCACCAGAAAATGCACTAATTATCTCTATAATCTTTATACTTTTCTAAAAGAAAAAAAAATTAAAAGTCAATTGATTTTTCATCTGATTTTGAAATACCAACTTACACAGAATAACTTCATTTTTTAAAGAAAAACTCTGAATGAAAAAATTCATCAGGAAAATGAAATGAATGAATGTAAATCCACTTTGTCAGCATATTTTATTTCCATTTTGATTTCCCCAAGAATAATGAGTGGAAAAAATAAAACTGAAAATTGAAACCAAAAGAAAAAACATCATCAAGAAACCTATTAATCGATGAATGTTTTATTTGATCTTCAAATATATCTTTCATTTGTTTGCATGAATGAATGAATGAATGACAAATATCATAAAGAATTTATTGTGTGTGTGCATGTTTGTATAAATAAAAGTAAATTAAATGAAATTCTGGTCATTGGAATGTTCGGGAAACAGAAAAAAAATATATATTCAAAACATTAATTCATCTGATTGATTGTTTTTTTTGTTCAATCTAGTTGCCTAGGTGAAAAAGTTGATGATGACGATGATTATGATGAAAAGGAAATTGAATTTTGTAGAGAGAGAAAAAAAAAATGTAATGTATTTCAGAATTCCAGATACCAATTGAAAGAATTTTTTTTGTTTTGTTTTTGAATGTTTTGCCCATTAAAATTAGTTTTGAATAGATTTTTTTTATCCCGGCCAACGAATTCCAGTAGAATAACAGTAGGGGAAAAAAGAGAAACTGTTTAATTCTGAGGTTATGATTTTTTTTCTGTTCAATATAAATGGTCATTTTTCCATCTAATTAATTTCAACAAAAAAAAAGAACATTACAAGTATCAAGTATCTAGGAACCAAAAAAATATGGTGCCCATTAACCAAACAAAATAGTAGTAGTAGTAGTTGCACAGATTTAACTATTTGTTTTTTTTTGTTTGTTACATAAATTTTCAGTGAAACATAACGAAAAAAATACGAGTTTTTGTTCCGTCAACCTGTTGTTGTTCTAATTTGTTACGAAAAATAATTCTTATCCGAACAGAACAAAAAATCTTCACCAGTTTTCAATCAATCGTTTTCTTATTTATTCAATCACACGTACACACTCAAACAAACAAACACAAACATCATCAAGTCTGATACATTTTTTTTTGTTGTGGATAATATTTAGGTGAATTTTCATTATTTTCATAGAAAATGATGACGACAATGAAACCTAGAAAAAAACTAAACATAACAATGTATAACAAGAATAAGATTCTCAAGTATTAAATAAAAAAAATTCAATTGACTTTTGAGGCTAAGTATGACGTCGTTTTTTTTTGTTGTTGGATATATAGAATAGATTACGATGGTAGTATACGATATATAAAGAAGAAAAATATCTTCATTGATTCTACTATGTGTTTTTGAGTGTGTGTGTGTAAATGTAGTGTTTCTATTTTTAACTTTGACCTCAATTCCCATTCATTCAAACATGAGATATATGAACCTTTCAGAATGCACTCATTTCCTTACATTCTCTTCATCGAATGATAAAAATTTATAAGAATAAAATGATGTTGTTTTCTGTTTTTTTTTCTTCATCAATGAAACAGAATTTTTTTCACTTTTTTTTGTTTCATTATTGACCGATTGATTTGATTGATATTTTTTCTTCTTTTGATTGAAAATTTTTTGTATTTGTAGAAAAAGAGAATTTTCTAGCGCACAAGTGAAGATATATGGAGTTTGTTATAGGAATTTTGTGGAAAAATGGATCGGATCAAATATGATTATTACATACAGAACAGAACAGAACCGAACAGAAAGAAAAAAAATGATAAAATCAAAATCATTATTTTTTCATATTTTTCCCATTTTAATGAATTTAGTTTTCAATTTTTTTACTTTTGAATCAAAAAAAAAGTTTGATTTCGTTACCCGTGATGATGATGATGATGATAATCGTGGTTTTCAAAGTTATATGCAAAGTTTGATTTTTGGTTTGAAAATTGATTCAATAATGATGATCATTATCATTATTTTTTTTTCAAAATTTTTTAAAATGGAGAACCACAAAAAAAACTTTGGAAAAAAATGAACAAAAACAAAATTGCTTTTCAAAAAACCTATTCACCTATAACATTTATGAAAAGTTGGTTTTTTTAAAATTCTCTCTATTCATCATTCACTTTTTTTTGATAAATCGATACACACTGATCATCATCATCATCATAGTCGACTATCGATCGGATCAATTTTTACTTTCAGAAAAAAAACCGTATAAATTTTTATAAATTCATATTATTTATTTGGAAATTTTATTTTGTAAAAATTAGAATTTGTAAACAAAAAAAAATAATAATAATAATATGTATGATATGTCATGAATGAATGAATGAATAATCTTTGTAATGATGAATGAAATATCGTTAGATAATTGATGATATTTTTTGTTGTTGATCATTGATTTTATCAATAAATTCATTTACATTGTTATTATTATTATAATTGAATTCATCTGAAAAATTGTTTAAAATTTCCGATTTATTATTATCATTATCATTATTTTGATTATCGAAATAAATTTCCGTTCGCCATTGAAAAATTGTATGAATCATAATTATAAATAAAAATAAATCAAATATGAATAAAATCAATATTAAAAAATTGATTTTTTTACCAATCATTATTATAGGCGATAAATTATTATTATTGTGTTTTTTATTGGATGAAGCCATTACTGTTTTTTTTTTCAATAAATCAAACAAAAAGAAACCAAATTTAGAATAAAACATAATAGTAAAAAAAAATATATTTCTATTTAGAAAAAAAAACAAACAAACCATCTCGTTGTCCCATAAAATAGCAAACAACATCTAGTTTTTTTTCTTGTAATCTTGGACAAGTTGCTAGTATTGATATTGCATAATGATCAATATCCAAACAATGACAATCAAACACTTCCATACAACATTTACCAATCATTGATGATGATCGTCCACGAAAAATATCTTCACATTGTTTTTGATTAATTCTTGGTTCAACAGTGGTTGTTAATGTGTCTATTGTTCTAATATTTTTGGATTCTTCAATTTTACTTTTATCAATATAATATTTTATTTGTTCAATACCTTTATAAGCAGCAAAACCGGATAAACCCAAAATTGAAGCCCAATATATTAAATTGGTATTTGATTTTATAAAAGTTCTTAAACAAAATATACCAAAGATGAAAAGTATGAAAGATACAATACCTATTATTTCTGATGAAAATCCGTCAAGTAAACCCATATCGATTATAATTTTATTCGACGATTGAATAATTTTCTCGAACTAAAATGAGAATATTTTAAATTTTAAAAACTAAATGATTTATTGTTGATTAATGAAATTATTATTTAGTGAAAAGAAAAACAAAAACAAAAACAAAATTCAAATTTGTTTGGTTCGATAATTTTATTTAGTTTTTGGAAATTATTATTATTATTTTTTATTTTATTTTTTTTTAAGATTATGAAATGTTCAACTTGAAATCTCATTCTCATTGTCATGTACAATCAAATGTATGAAATAATAATTGGCGAATCATAATGCCATTGATGAATTGTATGTATCATTGTGATGAATAAAATTAGATTGATCATAAATAAAATAGCTGTAATAATGTTTGAAATTGTTGTTGTTGATGATAATGATGATGATGATGATGATGATAATAATTTGATTATAGATCGATTTTTCAATCTAATCGATGATGATTTTAATTTGAATGAAATAATTCTATTATCAATGGAATTATTCTCAACAATAGTTTGTCGTTTATATCTTTGTAAAGGATAACAAATTTGGGCAAAATTTTTTGTAAATAATTCTGGACATGATTTTTTTATAATATTTCTAGTTTTATTATCTAGAAAACATTTACAATCATCTGGTTCTGGACAACATTTTCCCACTAATTTTACCATTGATGATGATGATTGAGTTGATTTAGTATCGATTATTTTCAAACATTTATCATATTCATCTTTTGGTTTATCAATAACTGATTGTATTGTTGTTGTTACTATTGTATTTGTTGTTATTGTTGCCATCGTTATTGGCAATAATGATTCGTCGACAAATGAAAATTTATTCAACATAAATGTTCCTAACCAGAATAATAAACAAAGAACAAGTACACAAATACCCGTCCAAAATGACCAAGGATTTTTTTTTGGTAATTTCATAAAAGCATCAATGCCAAGAGCTTTTGACCCCAATTTCATAAGACAATCCATTTTTTTAAATTTGGTTGAATGAAAAGTAAAATAAGAAAAATTATTTTGAGTGAAAACACAAAAAAAAAAATTACAAATCAAAGATTTAAATTAACAATTTTATTAATATTTATATAATATTCACATGCACACCCACACACACAATCAATTAATTAAATTATTTGTGATTTTTGTTTGTTTGTTTGTTCGTTTTTTTCTGTTGAACTTGATGAACTGTCATTGTCGAATTGACTATTTAAATTCGATGTTGGTCTATAATATGATGTTTTATTATAATTGATTGAATCAATAGCTTTTAATGATCGTATCATTATTATCATATAAATAAAAAGTGCTATATCGATTATTAATAAAATTATGCTGATCGAAACAATTAAAACATTATTATCGGATTCTGGCAATATTGGATTTGTTATTTTGTATTGATTTTTCGTATCTATAAAAGAGAAATGGGAGGGAGAGAGAGAGAGATTATTTTAGAAAAATTTTCATTCGTTAGTTAAAAAAAGAAAAGAAAATTATCTTACGATTTGTTATATGAAAACAAGTTGAATCAAATTTTTTTTCCAATAAATATGGACATGAAGATAAAACCAATTGTCTTGTATTTTCATCTTCAAAACAATTACAATAGATTTGTGGTTCATCAAGACAACATTTACCAACCCAATTTTGATATATATTCGACAATTGAAATTTCGACGAAAACATATTTATACAATCATCTTTTGAATACGTTTGCCCACTATTAAGAGAATATTGATCAACAGAAATATCAGGTAGTTTAGGTGTTGGCATTGGAAGCATTTTTTGAAATAAATCCGAAGCCGTTTGAAAATGAAGATATGCTTGATATAAAAAATTCAAGACATATTTAATGCATGACCACACAGATTTAAAACCGCTCCAAGCAATTCCCATTCTTTTTGTTTAATTTAGGTTTTCCTAATTCAAGAGAAAAAAAAACAAAACAAAAAATAAAAAACAGAATCAACCATTATGAATGGTCATAATGTAAAGTTTAAATATGTGTCGATTATGAAAATGATTGAATCAAATTATTCGCCTGAACAAATGAAACAAACAAAATTAGATTATTGCTAATCGATTGTTATATCAATGTATTTAATTTGAAAAAAAAGAATTTCCCTTGAAAATGTTATCTGAAAAAAAAATCATCATTTAAATTTGATGGAAAAGATTGATTTTTTTTTTAAATAAAAATCAATAGATTTTATCAAAGATTTTGATAATAATATATTTTTTTGATTAAAATTAAAAATCACTTGTGTCACATAAATGTTGAAGAAAATGCACACACAAAGAAAAAAAACATCTGCTGATGAAATGAAAAAAAAGAAGGATGTGGGAAGCAATTGAAATTATTAGATAAATCACTAATTAATTCCATTAATGTGCATATGATTGGATATTTTTTTTTTTGTTATTGAAAATTGATATATAAATAATAATCATAACTTATCATTAACTAACAATTTAAAGTGAATTGTTTAATCTAAAAAAAATGAAATCAAATATTTATATTAATTGTTATTTAATTTTATTAAGTTCGGTAACGGTTTTAGCTATTCCAACATTCAACAAAATAAATCCAAAAGATCAGCAATTAATTCTTGAATCGTTACCAGATAAAAATGGTCGAGAATTTTTACAGATTTATGATGAAAATTATGATATTTTAGCCGGTTTAAGCTTCGATTCGGTAAATAATTATTGGATTTATTTTGTTTTTTTAAATAATTAATTTATTTGTTTATGATCTTATTTTTTTCAGATATTTTCCATCATAAATGGTGAAAAACCTTCAGAAAAAAGTTGTCAAGCTTGTGATTCAATTCTTAAGTTAGGAAATGCTTTACCTGATAATGAACAAAGTTTGAATTTTCTTAAATCATTTGCCTGTAAAGATTTTAATGAAACGACAGCACCTATTACTGGACGTGAATGTATTGGTCTTGTTGATCGACTTGGGCCGGCAATTCTATATATTCTACATAATACAAAAGTTCCATTAGATGAAGGATGTTCAGTGTTGATTGGTTATGAATGTTCAAAATTTCTTAATCGTACTTATAGTGAATGGACCTTTTGGGAATTACCATTGCCTAAAATACGACAACAGCCACAAAAATATCAAGAATTTAAACTTGATGATGAAGAAAAAAATCGAAAAATTCTTCATTTGACCGATATTCATTTGGATCTTTTTTATACTGCCGGTTCAAATTCCAAATGTAATGAACCATTGTGTTGTCGATCAACATCTTATGGTATGTATATTTCTATTATCATTGAAATTTTCTCAACAAAAAAAATGGAATATCATTTGTTTCCAACATTATTATAGTAATAAATAACCAAAGTTATTCGGCTGGTTATTGGGGCGAAATAAATGGTGATTGTGATATACCATTAGATTTAGTAAATAATTCGATTAAACAAATTCATGAACAACATCCAGATATTGATATAATATTTTGGACTGGTGATAATGTTCCACATGATGTATGGAATACATCAAAAGAAATGGTTATAAAACACAATCGAATTGTAGCCAATTTAATTAAAGAAACATTCAAGGATGTACTTATTTTACCTGCTCTAGGCAATCATGAAGCTCATCCAATTAACATGTATGTGTTTGATGATTGATAATTATTTAATTATTTCTCTTTAATTGAATTTATAAGGTACGTACCGATAGAAGTATCGAAAAAAAGTAATCATTCAATGGAATGGTTATATAATATTATGGCTGATGAAATATGGTCTGAATGGTTAAATGAAGAGAATCGAATAACATTCAAAAAAGGTGGCTATTATTCACGAATGATCAATAATGGCTGGAAAGTGATTGTTCTAAACAGTAATGATGGTTATAAAGCTAATTTTTGGCGTGCATACAATCCTATTGATCCTGATGGTCATCTTCAATGGTTAATTAAAGAATTAGATCATGCTGAACGTAATGGGATTTTTGTTTCGATTCTTGGCCATATACCTCCTAGTGATATGTATGAAGGTTGGGTGCATAATTATATACGAATTTTTGATCGATATTCACATATAATTACCGGCGCATATAATGGCCATACGCATAATGATGAATTAGCTGTCATGTATAATCAACAAGGAAAACCAATTGCTATCAATTACATTTCCGGTAGTTTGACAACATATTCTTATCTAAATCCATCGTACAAGATTTTCAATATGAATAGCAGAGGTGAACCATTAAATTTTGATGTATTTTTTATGGATTTAGATCATGAAAATCGATTAGCTGCCCGTAATCATAATAAAGTACCAAATTCTCAACCTATATGGCTACATGAATTTGATGCTATGGATTCTTATCAATTAAAAAATTTATCATCACAAGAATGGGCTAAATTTGTTGATAATGCAATTAATAATCCGGATATGGCTTACACCTATTCAGAACATTATCATCGTCATTCAAGATTATTTCCAAATGTAAAAGATTTGACATTAGAACGTATCATCGAATTGATCAAAAAGATTAAAACTGTATCACCTTTTCAAAAACATAATTATCTCGTATGAATATGAAACATTACTACTATAGTGTTACATCATTATTAGATTATTTTTTAAAAAATTCTATCAACGTTTTTTTATTCAGCTCAATAGATGGTGCCATTTTTATTGAAATTATTGTTTTTAAAAAATTTACAAATTTTATCATTTTTTTTAATTATTATAAAAACGATTTTTATTTTAAATAATAATGATAATGAATTAAACTTGATCAAGATTTAATGAATATATTTTATACAATAATATTTTCAATCAGTCAGTTAATGAGCGATGGGAACATTTTATCCCGAAAAAAAGCGATCCAATCCGAAAAAAAGGATTCATTTTTATGGAAAAAGAACATAACATGTTTGTTTTCTGTTATTTAGGAAAATAGAGAATTAAAATCAATTATGATCGAATTCAAGATCATTCTATGAGCAGTCCAAAATTAATGATAACAATGTTGATGTTTTGTCGTTGTAGCGGATGTTGTTTATGATTCAAGATCGAAGATGGGCGATTATAATATCGATTCGGATAATATTTGAATTAATTTTTTCTTTCATTACAATCGTTAGAGGTCCAATAGATAGTTGAGATCGAAAATGATAACAATGAAGAATATTCAGTGAAAATATTTATATGTCTGCGTGTGTGTGTGTGTATGATTCGAAATAATAAGCAGCCATGAATCCACATACGATCAACAATTATGTTTGAGCAATTGTATTAGTGGCTAACAGTTTTTTAGGACTATTATTATTACTGCTGTTACTGCTATTACTATTACTTGCATTGCCATTATTTTTTGTTCGGCCATTCGAAGTTGATTTAGATTTATCACGATTATGATTATGATGATGATGATGATTATTATTATCGAATTTATTATTAATCCTATTTCTTGTTTTACTAATTATGGTTGCCGATCCATCTGGTCCAACTTGAATATCAAGGCCTCCACCACTACCATCTTCTGGAAACATTTCCATTGGTACATTATCCATTAATATTGTTTCATCAATATTATTTTTCAACAATTCTGTAACAAATTGATCGGCCGGTACACGCGTGGAATCGATTGCTTTTTTCGAACCAGATCGAAAACTAGAAGATTCAGTTGTGGAAATGGTTGATGAATCCAACGTTAATCCCAATCCATTCATTGCGGTTGGTTTCATACGTTCATAAAGTTGATGATGACTACGTTTATTATTGACTACACGATCAACACTATTGAATTTTATTTCATTCGTATACCTATAATAAGATTTGATATAATTAAATGAAACAAGTTTGATCGGATAATAATCTGACCTATTTGTATTTGTATTCTGTTCAGAATCGGCTGAACCTTGCCTTGAATGCGTGGGCAATGAATTAAAACCAGTAGTTGCCGAAATACGTGATGAACTTGTTTGACTTGAATTGGAACGAGAATGTTGTGGTTCAAAAAATGGATCAAAACTATTGTTGTTGTTGTTGTTGTTATTGTTAGAACTAGAAACTGAAGCAGAATTGGTTGTATTATTTGATGTGATTGATGATGTAAGATCATGGCTAGTAAAAATATGACTATTACGATCACCATTTGGACAAGCGCCTACACCACTAATACTAGCAGCACCATTCTCACCACTAAGGTTAGTTACGTGATTATTATTAGAAAATGTTAATGTTTGACATTTTTTATGTTCCAATGTGGGCGTATTCCGATTAGAATGATGATAGCTTAATGTTTGTGATGCATGATGATGATGATGTGGTTGTATTAATGTTGAGGGACCATTTAATGAATCATCTGGTGATACTAGACCGATGATATGATTGGCGGAATTTGTTGGCGAATCGTTAACATTAACGGTTGTGATAGAAACCCCAGTTTCGTTCTCATCGAAAAAATCTGTTATTGGAAAAATATAATGGTTAGTTTTATATTTTAATAAGTCTAATGGACAAAGAAAATGACCATCTTGTTTTGGTGGCTGTAATAGATCGGTCGCTGCTAATATATCACTTGAACCTTGCTTCGTATGTTGAGTAAGACAGGTAAATCTTGGCCTATGAGTAATTTTAAAATTAAAAAAAAAAATAGAAAATTAAATCAAAAACATAATAAAACAATTCTAAATAACTCACGTTTTAAAACATGGATCACCAGCTAATAATTTCATATCAACATTAAGATGTAACATTGAATTATCTTGTCGATGTTGATGTCTTGATTCATAGCCTTCTAAAAGACAGCGGCATTCGGTAGGTCCATGACCAGGAAAACTGGCTAAATTGAGATCAGCATAGCCCAATTTTACATATGCTTTACCTCCCTTTGTTTCCTGTGTTTACAAAAAAAGGGAGTATGAATGAACAAAAAAAAAACATGAGATTACAAACAAGTCAAAAAATGATAATAATAATAATAATGACGACAAAGGGCGAGAAAATGACAATAAATAAAATGTAAATATCAAATGGGAGATATTTTAATAGATAAAATATGGGATTTATTTTGAAAATGTCATAGTGACATTATTTTTTTTCCTGTCATCTACAGCTGTATGAAAATCAAAAGACTGATTTGAATTTATATTGGCATAATTTGCATGAAATATAAATGAAAAAAAAACAAACAATTCTTTTCAAACAATGAGGAATTATATTAAAAAATAAAATTAAAATTGGCAAATACCAGGTAGTCAAACGTGAAGAATATTATTGAAATATGATTAATTAAATTCAGATAACAAATCATCTATGGATCCAAATTCTAAAGATCCAAAACTAATGAGTATAAGAACACCTGGTAGTAACACATTGCCTTTTTATATCTACATTGATTATTATTTTCATTTCGCAACCGATAATCATTATTAATTCAAGTTACCATAGTAACACCATTTTGAATTATAACATTTGTTTCGGTTGTTAATGTTATGAGAATTGAACATTTGTAAAAAAAAACAACAGGGAAACAATAACAGATTCATAATCATATTGTTATAGTAAAAAAAAAATTATAAAAAATGAATGAAAAATTCAACATACCTTACGAATAGATAAACGTAATGTACAGGTATCCAATAGACCGGTCGAAGCATTGGCCGACATTTTTACCTGAAAATTAAACGTTTTATTCCATTTAACACAATGATCATCCACTTCACGGCTAGAATGACAACAAAAAAATGAAGAAGAAAAAAACATTAAAATTATCATGACAATAATCATAAGGATGAATGAAAAAAAAAACTATAACCAGATTGAAATATTACAAACGAACAACTACTACTATCAAATAATTTAATTTTTTTACATTATATTCCTTTACACAAACAGATTTGGGCGAAAAAAAAAACAATTTCATTCAACTAAATCTACATTATTGTATTGTTTTTATGGAGATTGTCTTTTTTTTGTTTGTAAAAATTTTATTTTTCAAATTCAAAATCTGAAAAAAACCCTATTGAATAAATGTGGTATTTTTAATCATGTGGCATCATTTTTATCAACAAGAAGATATCATAATGAATGTAATTTAAAAAATCTCTTTTCTATGCACTAAATAAAGATATATACACACATACAGACACAAACAATTGTCACGAAATGGTCATTTCTAACAACAACAAAACAAAAATTTCATTATTATTATGATGCTAATAATGAGAAAAAAAATATCTATATAAGATGTGCTCGTTTGTTTTGTTGCAGTCAAGTCATTTAAAAAATAAAAATAAAAATAAACTTACCGATCAGTATAATCAACAAATGAACCACCATCTAATAGTCGACATTTTACAAACAATACCGAATTCATAAATGGTACAGAATTCAATTGTTCAATCGTAATTGTTACAAGAAATTTATTCTTTTTCTTCTTCATTATAAATGTCATTTTTTGTTTTGTTTTTATTTCTCTCGTTAATATTTCCAAACGTAGAATGTTTTCTTTTCTTTTTTTATATTGCAACTTTACTAAAAACAATAATAATAATAACAATGTTTATCGTAGGTGAACAACGATGATTTTTTTTCTTTGGATAAATTATTCAATATTATTTGATGATGATTACTATAATCATTCCAAAACTTTCTAGTTTGTAAAATTGCAATGAAATAATCAAATAAAGAGGCTCTTGATGTGTAAAATTGATCACAGATTCAAATGACACCAGGGAAATGAGAAAAAAAACGATTACAAGAATAATATCCAATCAATTTCTGTCAACTGATAATGAATCAATCGAATCGGGCGTTTGAAATTTGTTCATTGTACGTTTGATAAATTTTTGTTGTGTTTATTTTCAAATAACGTTACAAGGTTTGTTTTGAAAAAGCTAAGCCATTTTATGTTCCAATTATTCAATCGTATTAAGTTTTGTTTTTCTAAATTTATCAAATTGAAAAAAAAACAAATAAAAAGAAAATGAATTAATTATATGGAATTTCAACAAAAAAAAAAGTAAACACATTTTAAATTCGCAAATATATCATTTTTTTGCAATATTTTACAGTGTGGGCTAGTGTCATAGGTGGGTAGATATTTGGGAAGAAAAACGAACGACGACTACTATAGGAATTCAATTCAATAGATGTTATAATGAAAAATGCATTATATTGTGTTTGAGTGTGTGTGTGTGATACATGAAATAAACACAAACAAATACGGGAAAAAAATGAAACATTTGTTTTATTTTGAATTGTAAACATGACATGAATATCTTTGGTAGAAAAGATGATATTTATTTTTTGTTTGTTTGTCTGTTTAAGTAAGTTTGTGTGAAACACTATCCAAAATCTATCTTTTTCTCATTGTTATGCATACCCAAAATGTTACTAAAATTAACCATACGCGCATATATACCAATTCTATTTGGACATTCAATATTTCCGGTTAATCGGAAAACAATACCAAAAATAAAAAAAATATTGTATAATAACAAAACACACTTGGATAACGAAGAAAAGGAAAATTTTCTTTCTCATCAATCTATTTATGACTATTCATTCTTCCTATTTTTTGTTCACTCGAATTTTTCAAAAAAATGAACTTACCTGTGAATGAAACAAATTTTTTTTTAAAATTATTATTAGCTGAGTATGATGAATTAAAGTGCTTCAAACAAACAAACAAACAAACAAACAAAAATTGAAATTGTGCGTAAATGAATTTTGAATCAATCAAATTCAAAGGCATAAAATATAATTTGAAGAGAAATGAAACATCATTTTAAAAGAAGAAAACTTAAAGAATCACACACACACGAATACCCTAAATCAATATCGATGTAAGTTTGAAAATAATAGACAATGACAAATTTTTTTCCAGGTCAAAAATTATCATGATGTTTGTTTTTGTTTTCTTGATAATATCGATGAAAAAGAAAAACAATAATAGAACGAAGAATAATGATGAACCGATACTATCGAAAAGAAAATAAAGTTAATTTTTCACTCAATTCATGTTGTTGTTGTTGTTGTTAATCATTGTCATCACTATTTTAAGTAAATTTTCAATTTATATTATTTACATAGGGGAAAAAACAAATGAATTTCGTTTCATTTTGTTTGGAAGAGAAAAACGCCAATCGAAAAAAAATATCATTTCACATCACAAGGTTTATTATTGATGGGAAAAATAAGAGAGAAAGAAAAAATGAGTTGAAAGTTGCTGTTTCATTCCATTTTAAATACTATGAATTTGTTTTCGTTTTTTTTTTGGTTCGGGTTGATTGAGTTTTGTTCGTTCAATTTCCAAAAGCAAAAAAAAAAAAAAAAATCATTAGCCAATCAATGATAGAGGAGAAGGAACCAAATTTAGAAATTGGATTCGAAATTAAACAAAAAACACAGAAAAGCGAAGAAAATTTTTTGGGAAAATAACAAATTGAAAAAAAAGACACAAACTTGCAGCTGGTGATGTCTGAATATATAAAGATTTTCAATTCAATAAGTCAGAAAAAAAATTAACAATTTTCAAAAATGTCTGTCGCTGTAATAAAAATGAAATCAAAATGGATGCGGCAAAATTTGATTTCACATCATCATCAACATTATATTTGCTATCGTTGGTTTTTTTCCTTCCTCTTTTTTGTTGTTGTTGTTCAACAATATTGTTTTGATGAAAAAATTCTTGTTTTGTTGATTTATGAATTTTCTTTTAAAAGTTCAATTATTTTAACTCGTTCCAAACATTTGTTTCATGTTTTTCTTCAATTCAATTCTAAGTGTTAATAAATAAGACAACATCGTTTGATCGTATAATAAAATGCTATAATCAATAATATAAATATGATTATAAATACAATTAATTGTATGATTGAAATCATCATTTGTATATTGAAAGTTATTATTATTTGTAATTTGTAATTCGTTGTTGGGTGTATGTTTAAATATATATGTTTTATGAAACAAAAAATTGTTCCACCCACGTCTTTCTGAATAATAAAATCACATAAATAAACAGTAGCTCCCGGTAGTAATGCTGGAAAATCAGAATTTTTTTCTATTTTGCGCATGTAATAGAGAAAAAAATTGATTCTGGATTAAAATTTAAAGAAAAAAAAGATGAAAAAAGAAAATGTATTAAAAATCAATTTTTAAAATAAACAATTTTTTCTTTCAATGTTGATAGTTTCAAAATCCAAAAACAAAAAATATATGGAAATAATCGATAGATGAAAAGGAAAAAAATGTTCAAGTCTACAGTATATAACTAAAATAAACAGACAAAAAAAATACATTATTCTTATGATGATATAATAGGAAAACCGATTCAAATCCAGCCATATATGATCATCAATATAGAAATAAAATTTATGTACGAAAAACTTTCCTAAATCAAAATCAACAACAACAACAAAAACAACTATCAATATCCAAATACAGATTTTGTTTGAAATGAAAAAAATAAATCGATCAATAATCAATACTATCAAAAAAAAAAATGAAAAAACAACAGAACAACAGCAGAAAAAACGTAGTGAAAAATGATAATTGTCAATTGTTAAAATTTCATATCATCATTATTATCATCAAATATAACTGTCATTATCATCAATTATTTATAGGGAAGAAAGGGGAAAAGTAAACAATTCAATATGACAATGTAAAAATGAGAATGAATGTAAAATGGATTCTGTCAATTTCGAAATAATAAAAAAAAAACAATAGAAATTATATTTTAAAACAAAAAGAGACTTTATTACACTATTTTTCAAAAAAAAAATTGATCATAAACATCATCATTGTCAACTGAATTAATAAAAACAAAAAAGAAATCAACTTCAATATGAGTGGGGGGAGTGAAAAAAAGGATGTGAAACTCTTTTTCGGTAAAAAAAAATGAATCAAGCCTACGCAGTAATCATTTATTAGAAAAAAAATGACAAAATCCATAGATAGAAACAAATATATAAATAGAAAATTGATATTCAACAAATAGAAAAATAAAATGAATGAATGAATGAATACGACATTGGAAATTCTAATATTTTAGATTGAAATAAACACAAGGAAACAAAAAAATTGTATTCAAAATATGGATTATTCAACAATTCAGAAATTTTGTTTTCCATCATCATCATTATAATCAATGTATTTCGAATTAATTAATTAATGACTGGGATTTATCAAAACCAAATGGTTTATCATTTATCAAAGATTGACTATTTTCAAAGAAAAAAATATCCACTATCACTATCACTATGTGTATTTTGCACCGAAAGAAAGGAAAGAAATCATATCTGAAATACTAATAATAATAATAATAAAAATCATATCCTGATTATCATCATCATCATTATTTCAATTGAAATCTAATACTTTTGAAAAGAAAAAATCACAATATCCACTTGTATCCACACACGGATTGTTGATGACAATGATGATGATGAGAAATATTATCATCAAATAAAATCAATGTGAAAGGAAACAAAATAAAATTTCAAATTAAATATTGAATATATTGTGTAGGAGAGAATAAGTGAGGGTTTTTCTTTCACGAATGCAGATGTCTTTCATTGTGTTTGTGTACGTATGAATGATTGAAATAATCATTTTTTTTTGATTCATAAAAGAAAGAAAAACAGATTTGAGAATTGAAAAAAAACACAAACAATTTTGATTTCAAAATTGTAAAATAATTTACATTCCATTTTTTCTCCTTTTCTTTTCAAGTCAATCAATCTATATGAAATTTTAAAAAAAAGCAGCAGATGTTTTCCATTCATCAAATATGGTTGGTTGGTTAGTTGGTTGATTGTTGTTGTTGTTGTTGGAACCAATTGACAATAATGATTGTTGCCAAATTTTTAACAACAAACATCTATGAATCAATGATTGAATGAATAGGTGAAATTTTTTTTCACAAATCGAAAGGATAAAAAAAAGATTTCAGTCACAACAAATTCAGGGCGTCTAGATTCTTTTCTTTCTTTCTTTTTTTTGTATTACAAAACAAAATCAAAACGAATGATTATTGATTGTAAATGATTATTGATTGTAACAACAACAACAACAATCAAAACGAAAAAAATGGCTAACAAGCTAAAATGATTATGATAAGTTTTCCTAATTTTTAATATGATGCTTTTTACCATTCAAACATCAAACAAGCTAATAATTCAAGCAACAACAACAACAAGATGATGATTAAAGATAATTATCATCATATATTGATCGAAAATACATTTTTCAAATAAAATGCAGCAGCAATAATAACGAGGGAAAAAATGGGATCAACATTATTTCATGTTTGAAATGAACAAAAAAAAATTGTACATTTTTTTCAATAAAAGATGGAAATCAAACAACCGTTTAAAAAACAAATGCAAAAAAAAAAAAAAGATTTATATCGCAAAAATAATATGGATCAAATTTTTTTTTCATTGTTTTTTCCTGCATTTTTGTTGTTGTTGTTGTCTGATTTATAAAAAAAACAATTTTGAAAATGTAAATAAGGCTTACTCTAACGGGAAAAAAGGTCATACGTGTTCTTTTTTTTTGATGAATAATTTTCATTTGAAATGTGCATCTATTGATGTTTTATCAATCGAATTCTGCTAATGAAATGAGCTCAAAACATTTCGAATGATAAGAAGAAAAAAAATTGTCATAAAAAACTTGAACTTCAAATGATGACGACGACGATGTAGGAAAATAATTTTTTTTTGCAAAAAAACCTTCAGGCAAATTCCAAACAACGACAAAGATTGTCATTCAAGATAAACAATAATATCTTTCCACGTTGTTGATTTCTTTTTCCTGCATTTTTTCCAATGTTGTTTGTGTTTTTTTGGTCGGAATTTGAAACATTTAAAGAATCGGGAAAAAAAACTTACCATTCGAATGGGATTGATGATGATGATGATGAATAAAAATTTTTTGATACTTTTATTTTCGAATGAAAATGATGCGAATGATAAAAAATAATAATAAAAACACAATTCGAACGAAGGACGAAAACACACAAAAAAAAAACAAATTTGGAACGAAATGACCCTCAACATACGAACGACACAAATACGAACAAACAAAAACGTAATTTTTATTTTCTTGTCAAAATTACGTTAAATTTACGTAATATGTTCTGGATGATGATTCAATGATTTTTTTTTCACAAATTCTTGAATTCCAAAAAAGAATTTCCATCAATGAGATTTAGATTGAAGAAGAAAAAACAAACAAACAAACAAACATCGATTACATCATGAATTTGGCCGTTGTTATTGTTTTGATGGTAATTTTTACATCATCGCTCCATGAAACGATTTTGTTTTCATCATTGATTTTTTTTGACTATCCGAATGATGTGAAGAAAAAAAAATCGAAATAAGAGTTCACACAACACATCACACACAGAAATACGAGAGAAAGAGAGAAATCCATGGATGAGAGAAGATGAGAAAGAGAGGAGGATACCAAATGATTTTGTTTGGAACATTCAATACCACTACCATTGATGGAAGATTTTTATTATTATTTTTTTTTTTGGATAGCAGCATCAATATTTGAATTGGCTTGGCAAATGCGAATGATTTGTTCATATAGAATGTTACAATGATTTTTAGAATGCATGGCTGCAATTGTAAATCACATTTTCCTGTTTTAAGAATTTAATGAAATTTGAGATTGATTTTTTATAATTTTGTAAGTTTTTTTTTTATTTTAAAATTATTTAAATTTATTAATTGCATAAAAAAGCAGTTTTCCTTGTACTGGACATTATGTTTGTATGCATGGAAATTTTCTATTTATGCTAAAAAAACCATATATTCAAGATAAATAAGTAACATTGAAAGACAAAATTAAATTGTCCTGGCAATAAGTCGGTTTATCTAACATTTTTTTCTTTTTCATTTTCTATAGATGATTTCGATAGTCGTTGTGTCTTAGGAATTAAAGGTAAACATTTCTTTTTTCAAGAATTAGATCAATAATCATTAAAAAAAGGCATAATTAACGTGTTCATGTTGTTTTTAATTACGATACACTTGTAACCCCGTTATTATGCAAAATAAAACCCTTTTTGTATTTTTTTCATCTCAATTTAATCAATTTTTTTCAACAATGATTTTGAGACGAATCATCAATACTAACAATTTGTTTTTGTATTCTTTTTTTAACAAAAATACAGATTGGATTTTGTCGATCGATCGAAACTTTTTCAACAAATTAAAATTTTTATTTTAAAATTTAAAAAAAAATTATTTTATACATTTGAAAATTTAAAGAAAAAAAAATGAGAACAAATAAAGTTTAAGTGAAGAAAAAAAAACAGAACAAAAATTGCAATTTTTAATTTTGAGAATGATCATCATTGAATCGATGTTGATCATTTACAAATTCGTATGATGGGCAGCGGTCAATGTTTCATTGCCAACAAAATGATTCGAAACAATTGCCAAATTATTATTGATCGTTGTTGATGGTGGATAGAAATAAAGATCAAAACCTGAATGTATAACCATACGATAATCGGTAAAATTATCATTATCATCATATATAAATGGAATGTTATCAAACAATCCAAAACGTTGATGACGAAATGAATTAATGATCGTTAATTTTGGTCCAAAAAATTTGATTATATAATTTGAACCATCAGCTGGTCGTACTATTTGCATGGCAATCAATATAATATCAATAAATTGGCCTAAAAATAGAAAACCTAATGTACAGAATTTGAGCAAACCAATGGCCGGATAACCAAGATAGAAACGATCAATACCGAACATGCCCAAAAATATTGATAATAATAATGTTATTTCATATGAATAGCCATTTGTATATTGACATGGTATGGCTAATTGTATACGTTGATTATAATCATTTTTTGTTGTTATGGACAAATTTTTTGATTGTTCATCACAGATTAGGCCATTAATTAATGTACAATTAATTGGTGCTAGATTATTTACTGAACAACCAAATGGCTGTTGTGTATCTTCATCGATTTCAATTGGATCACAACGAAATTGACCAATCTTAAGGCTATAACAATCGATTTTAAATAAAGGCTTTTGTTGATCATTATTGATCGTTGAATTTATAATGTTTGATGATGATGATGATAATAATAATGAATGATCTTCTTCAATGGCTAATATATTGATGACTATAATTGAAAATATCATTTAATTATCATTAAAACAAACACACACATATATCAATACATACATTGAATTATGAGCATAAAGATAAAGATGTAAAATAACAAAAAAATCGAAGAATGTTGAAAATGAATTTTGTTCGATAATAAATGATGATGATAAATAAGGCGTTTTTGCTTCTTATTCATTATTTCAATTTTCTTTTTCTTTTTCATCGTTAACTAAAAAAAAATTGATGTTTTTTTAGGTGAAAAAAAAATTTAATTTTGTTATCAAAAAAACAAAAAAACAAACAGATTTTATACAAACCTTTGTGATTTGTGATTATCGATAATGACAATGCATTCAATAATTGATCGATGACGATTATTGAAATATTTTTGTTTTTAACGTTGTCTTGGTAAATAGATTGGTTGTTGTCGTTACCAAAAAATAATCATCGGTATGTCAGAAGGGGGAGAATAAATAACAACAACAACAACAAATCCTAATTTTGTTTTAATCTGTCGCTTTTGTAGTTTTGATTTCAAATTATTTGACAATGATTTTCATTTAGATGAATGTCCCAATTATAATATGGATCAGATTTTAATAATGTTAAAATGAATGAATGAATGACTTGCATCTATGATTATTAATGTTTGTTTTTTTTGGACATAATTTAAATATTAAAGAGATCAATTATTATTATTAGCTCATTGTTGTTATAAGGAAATAGGAGATCAAACAAACAAACAAAAATGTGGATAATGATTTTGGCATTATGATTTGACCATTTTTGGTATCTTTGGTCTTCATATTCGATGATACGATTAATTAAATCAAATTATAATGGCCATAATTTGATGAAACACACATTAGTATTGAATCATCAACAATGTTCATTTAATTTGGTATTTTGATTGAAATTAGAAATCCAAAAATCGATATGGAAAATTGATTCAAGAAATTTTTTTTTGTTTAACATTTACGATTTGCGCGATGACTGGCCGGATTGTTTTTGTCTGCATGTCACGAGTAGTTTGGGTTCTATCCACCAATGTGTATATAGTCGAATGTCGTTTTTCACATTGAGCTCATTTCTCAAAGACAGTGTTGCTGTTTTGTTTGGATTCTGATTAAATCTTACTGAATTTTTTCTTTTTCATCCGTTTATTATTAAAAATCAACAATGATTTCGACCCGTTTATTGAATCTGATTCCAAGAAGTGTGATGCGTCAATCATTGGCACGATCACATGATCATAAAGAAGTTGTCTACAAAGGAGCTGTAAGTATTTTTTTTTTCTTTTGTTTTATGAAATTTCGAATTCATTAAGAAATTAATTTTTCCCTTGAATGTTTTACATAGAGTTTTCCTTTTGATACACACAATGGTCGTTCTTTGGCCATCAAAATGATCTTATTCTTTTCGATTCCATACTCATTACCGTATTTGGTATGGCGACGTCGTTTGGCTCGTAACAAAGGAATCTAAACAGAGAACTTATGGTCCATCATTCAATTTTGGTTAGATTTTGTTGTTGAAAATTATTTTTCCAAAAAAATGATGATAAGATTGGGCAAAAAAATTGTAGCAAAAATTAATTATTAAAAGTGAAATAAAATTTTTTAATCAAAAAAAAAGTTGATCTGTATAAACTAATCATTTATGTCGATAGGTGTCGCTTTGTGTAATTATCTATTGGCCATACGGATTTTGTTTTGTTTTTTTTTTTTAAATTTTCAACCAAAAATGTCAACCGATAAAAATGTCGAGCTAACAACCGAACAAATTGCTCAAATCGAACGTAACCGACAAAAAGCATTACTTCGACAACAAAAAAAACAACGTGATCTAACAACCGATGAAGTATATCGTTTGGAAAAATACAATGAACTTAATGTTCATATTAGCCAAGATCATGGTGGTGGATTTTTTGTTGATCGTCAAGAATTAGATCAGAAAATTTTGGCTACTTCAGCAACAACATCAAAATTTACACAATTACCAATCAAACCGGATACTAAAGAAAATGTTTGCGATGAATGTGAAGATAATTTTAGTAACTCATTTTTATTAACAAATTTTGGTGAAAAAATCTGTGATATTTGTAAAGATTTGAAACAAAAACATCAATTAATTACTAGAACTGAAGCTAAACAAGAATATCTATTGACCGATGTAGATCTGGATAAACGTGAACCACCGCTTAAATGTTTATTGAAAAAGAATCCTCGTGAATATGCACGTGGTCATATGCGTCTTTATCTTCGTTTTCAAGTGGAAGAACGTGCACTTGAAGTTTGGGGTACTGAAGAACAATTGGAAGAAGAACGAGAAAATCGTCAAGCTAAACGTGAAGGTAGAAAACGTAAACAATTTGATAAACAAATAAAAGAATTACGAATGCAAGCACGAAGTTCATTATATCAAAAACGATTACATAGCCAATCACATGAACATGATTTTGGTCCCGAACAATCTATTGAAAATCCTAATGATTCGGATGATTCCGATAGTGATTATTATCAACAAACATGTAAAACTTGTGGATTTAAAAAAGTTTTCGAAAAATTGTAAATGAATTTTTGTTTTTTTTTAAATTAATTTATATATATACTCATCATTTGTTTTATACAATCATAAAATCTAACCATATAATTCAAATTTAATTCATTTTAAATAAGAAAAGAGAAAAAAAATTTTGAATAAAAAGAAATTTATCAACAAAAAATAATAACTAATCAAGCAACTCCTAATTTGGCTGCCAATCTATCAGTTTTTTTCGTTTCAACATCATCCGTATCGGGCATAATTTTATCGCAAACATGACGATGAATAAGACCATCACCACCAACATGAAGTATTGAAAATCCATCAATCCATTCATCTTTAACTTTATCCAATGATTCTTTTGTATTCCATAGTTTAAATTTCCAGAATGCAAAAACAATTTGATTACCCGGATAGGAAACAATACGCCAACGTATTTTAATAGTAGAATCTTCAACATGTTGAGTTAATTTCAATATATTAAACGTAACTTTACCATATTTAAAGTGTGCACCCATTTTAATCTTTGCTATTTGCCATGCATATGCATTCATACCTACAGTTCGAACATTACGAATATTATCTTCAAAAATAATATTACGATTATAAACACTGAAATCATGTGGTTTTTGGAAAAAAACGGGCAACTATCCAAAAAAGAAAAAGATCAGAACAATTTATCAGGTAACAAAAAGAAAACTCACATTATCAGTTAGTCGTCGACTTATCAATGATAATTGTTCTTCTGATGCTTTTGTTGGATCAACATTCGAATCGTTTGTAGTTGATGAATCAGATGATTTTGTCGATAAAATTGATTGCTTTTCATTTATTAATACATTGTACGAATATGATGATTGTTCATTATTATTTCTTCGGCCAATTATTTGATTATGATGATGATGATGATAATAACGCCATGAATTCGATAACGGTATATTATTATCACAAACAACAATATTCAAATTTTGATTTATTGATGTTCTTTTGACCATTGTCAATAAAGTACGCATCGATAATGTTTGTTGATAAGATATAAGTAACGATTTTAGACCGATAGACATTTTTTATTTTGTTTGTTTGTTAGAAATTAAATTGATTTCAATGATAATTCAATGCGGACATAATTAACACGTGCTTCGAAATGAGAAGATTTAACACTTTTTATTACAACATCGATTAACGAATAAAAAATGATGTTGAGAATCTGTTTGGTCTGTTTTCTTGAACGTTGTCTATGACCGGACAAGGACATGAAGTGTTTTTTATTATTTGTTTTTTTTTCATCGAAAGAAATAAAACATCGAAATTTTGGTTTTCTTTTTTTTGTTTCGGAGTTTCAAATTCATTTGGTTTCGGTAATACATCATATAGATCATTATTGTTGAATGATGTTGTTTCGTTCGATTACAAAATTTGTTCTTCTAAATCATCGTCAAGCTAATTTGACTTTGATAAGATGTTTACATCGAAATCATATGATTACAAAAATAGCCGAACGTTCGTTTAATTTTAAATGGTCATCACCGTCATCATTAATGATTACACGTGGAATCAAGACAACAAATAAAAAAGATGATAGTCATGTGGAAGTTTTTGAACCAGAATATTTGAAAGAAACAAAACCAAAAGGTCCTCAAACGGCAAAAGAATTTGCCGATGTTAGTTCACAAAAAGTATGGTTTCTTTTCCTTTTTTCTTTGCTTAATTTTAACATTATTGATATTTAAATTATATTTTAAAATTAGAATTGGATTTCATTTGGATTCGATAAAGTTGATCAAAAAGAAGATTATCATTTGGCCAATGTCTATTTTTTTACCTATTTTACTCTTGGTTGTTTAGTGTTTAGTTGGATAATTTACTATTATCCTTACATTGAGTATGATTTATTTTTTTTTCAAATGATAAAAATTCTTGTCATCTAATTTTATTCAATTTTATTTATAGTGGTTGGGATTGGGCACAGAGAGAAGCATTTCTGGAAATTGATCGTAGAGAAAAATTAGGACTGCCATACATCGATCCGAATCTTGTTGATCCGGCAAAAATAACACTACCATCCGAAGAAGAACTAAAAAAATTAGATTTCGATATTCATCTTTAAAAAAAATTTTTATTTTCAAAAACAACAACAACAAAACAAAAAATTGATCATAGCAAAATTGTTTGAAAAAAAAATTAAAATTCAAAATGAATTAAATCCATTTTGATTGTATTAAATTCCTTACATAGTTCTTGTAAATAGAATGGATTATTATCAATAATTAATGATGTTTGTTTTTGATGATCCAGATTATCTGGTTCAATCAATAATGCTAAACGTAAAAATAATAGATGATTGATGACAAATAGAAAATATTTCGGTAATCGCCAAATACCTTTAAACATTATATCATTTCTATATGATTTATAATGATCATTAATTTTTAATTGTTTATAAAATCTTTGGGTAAGTTTTTCAAATTCATTTCGATCATATTCTTCATTAATAATTTCTTGAATTAAATTTGAATGATTAATGAATGAATTCAATAATCGAATATTGATCAGATAAGGTTCGGCAAAAACATTTTTCTCTTCTTTTTCAAATAAAATATCATTCATTTGTTCAACATTTTCGATAAACAATAATGATTGTTCAAAACGTTTTAGTATCAATTTGAATAATGCACGATAACCATTAGGATTTTTTTCGATTAGCCAATAATCGATAAACATATCGATAGTTATATTTGTTGATATTATTTGATGATTTTTGAATAAAATTTCACCAATTTTTAATGATTCAAATCGTACCGTACGATCTTCATCTTCGAACAAAGCCAATAAAATCTGTGCAATAAGAATCAATGTTTGTACATCATGTTTATTATTATTATGATTTTTTCGTAACCATTCATTCATTTGTTTTGCAGCTAATAATCGAATATTATCAGCATTTTTAAATGATGTTCGTTCAAAAATCCATTGTAAATCATTTTCTCTATCTAATCGTATATTATCATTTGTTGTTTCGATTGATTCATTTTCATCAGTAAAATTATTTAAATTTTCAATCTTTTTATGAAAAATTGATTGAAATAATGGTCGTAAAATGTAAAAAGCTTTAATCGTATGAGAATATTGTTCAAAACGTTTGCAAAGTGTTTGACGATAACATTCAATTTCATTGTTGTTGTTGTTTGATTCGAAATTAGATTTTTGCTCAATCATATATTTGGCACAATATAAAAGACCATGATAATGATTTGATGTTATTGTCGAATTGTTCAATGAATTAGTTAGAAATTCATTCATTTCGGATAATGTCGATAGATTTGTTAAAGATTTAGCTGCTAACATTCTGATCTTCCAACAACGATTACATTCAATGTATTGAATAAATGAATTTTTTAAACAATTTTTCACTTCAATCAATTGTTTTGATTCATCAAATTGAGCAAAAGATGTAAACGAAGCTGTCAATGCTAATACAGGAACTATTTCTGGACGATGATCTTCATATGATGATGATGATGATTGTTGTAAATGTTGACAAATTAATTTCAATAAATTAGGATAACGACTATAAAATTCATTCATTGTAATTGTCGATTCTTCAATCTCGCCATCATTATTATCACCATTATCATTTTCATCATCTCCATTATCATTATGATCATCTGCAATCGGTTTAGATTTTGTTCTTTTTTTCTGACCTAATAGTCTTGTTATACAGGCACCAAACAATTGTAATGATGCATTACGTATCTGCCAATATGGACTGATAAAACCATTCAAACAGATTGGAAATAAAATTTCCGCTGTTTTATAATTCATTTGTGACAATACTGATGTGCCTAAAATCGAACGAAGAACGTGCATAGCATTTGCTTGTTGTAGATCGGTTTTTTCATCAGCATCATTATTATCAATCGGTGATTGTGAAATGTTGATTAAAATATCAATAAATTGATCGTATAAAGTTTTCTGACAACCATTACCATCGGATAATTTAGTCTTATCTTTTTGAAATGATTCTGCTTCACCGATCAATACCGATTGAATGATCAATGCTAATCCAGCCGATCGTCGTGTTACACTAGTTTTCAATTGTGTTTTATGCCGTGTAATTACGGCCAATATTTCTTCGACAAAATTTTTTATTGCCAAACGATATTCATGTAGTATGGGTGAATCTGAATCAAGTATCTGATGAAGATAAAAATGAATGCGTAAAAATGACCGAGTGAATTTTGTTAATGAAATGCTACAGGCTTCGATGACACCACGATGACGGCAACGTTGCATCAGATTGGCCATTCGATTGACACTCTGGCATAATTTTTCCGCCGATAAAAGAAGAAAATCACGAATATCATCATAATCAGTTCGATTGATCAAACAACAAAGTAAATCGGCAGATAATGTGGATAAATTGGCAATCAAAAAACAACTTTCTTTCATATTTAGCCAACACATGGAAAGAATTAATTGAAATTCATTGGTCGAAGTAAAATCTTTATAATTTTCGAAATCTTTGTCTTTCTGGATAATTTGTTTGATCGATTCGCTCATCTCTAAAAATGATGGTGAAGAAAAATTTTCATCATCATCATCCTCATCATATTCAATATCAAGATCGTTTTTCGGCGTCAATAGTTCAAGGAAATATTCCAAAACATCGAAACACAGGTTGATAATAGGTTCAACTATTTTTGTTCGAATAACTGTCGAACCTTTTTCTCCTGTCGATTTTGTTTCAAACAAATGATGAGCAAGATTATCAAAATCTAAACATTGATTCAATGTTAATAACCAGCCATGCAATGGATTAGATTGTGATGATTGTAACATGTGTTTACGAAATGAATCCGAATAAAATAATTCGATTGAATCGTTAACCAATTTAAAAATATGATGAATATTTTCAATTGGATCAATATTTATTAAATATTTACATAATAATCCACCAATATGACATTCTTGATGACGAAACGATCGACTGTAATGAATGTACAAACATTCTATCCAATTATTGGAAAAAAGTTTATACGCATCATCTTGACCTAATGATAATAACGAAGTTTTGGAATATTGATTCAGAATTTCATTTGTTAATCTTCGAATTTTATCATCTTTATCGATAATTCCATACAGTAACATAAAACGAATTGGAATTGGTTCGATTTGTTGATTATGATCATTATTTGTTAAAAGTCTTCGTATTGTTAGATGATAATTACCATTTTTGATCAACGTTATTATAGCTGCAATAAGATTTAATGCTGTAAATTTTCGTTGAAATGATGAACCAGGTAAAAGAGAAATGGCTAATAATTTCAATGTGTTTGAAATGAATGAAATTAAATTTTTATGTTCTTCATTGATTGGTTGTGATTGGCTACCACCATATCGATCACAAAGACATGTAATAATCTTGTAAAAGAATCGTTCCAATACTCGAATCATTCGTTGTCGAAATGAACAATTATCGACATTTAAATTGTTACGCAAAAATCGTAATATAATATCACAAACAAGTGGCCGATTTTTTCGAATTAATTTTTCATCACACAATAATGCTAATCCTTCGACACGAATCATATCATCACAATTGATAAGAATTGTTATTAACCATTTTATTGATGGTAATTGATATGTTGATGATAAAGTGGATATTTGACTATATTTTTCCAGATATATTCGTATTAAACAAACTTGACCATATGGACAATCAGAAAGTTTTGTCATCATAAGATTCATTGATTCGGGAATATGTTGTAATGTTGATGGAAGAATCGATGCCATTAAAATGTTATGAACAATCATAAATTGTATCTGATCAGTTTTGAATATCTGTGTGATTGGTATTAGCCAAAGTTGTGACCATTTTTCCTGTATATATTCGATTTTTTCCTGATCATCTTCGGTTTGAGCTGATGAAACAATCCAAAAAATTGATGATTTATAATAATCAGCAATACTTGTCGTTATTGCTGTTATGGATAAATGTTTAATTACTTTGTAGGAAAACATTGAATCCATTTTAAAAGGTAATCCAGGTAACAATTTAAATTGAATATTTTTCGTTTGTAATGATAAATTTTCGGTTAAAACTGCTAATTTTTTGTATTTAGCTTTACTTGTAAAAGGTAATTGAGAAGCTGATTCTAGTTGTTCGGTTAATATTTGTTGGATAAAGTTTTCTTCTTCCAATCGGGTTTGAATGATGAATTTGATTAAAAATTGATAATTTTCTTTCATCAATGTGATTGCACCGTTTATTGGACTTTCCCATTCACAATCGACAATGGATAATGTTTTTTCCAAAATATTTGTAACAAAATATTTCGAAATATTGTTGTTGTTTGAAATTTCCATTTCAATCATACATTGATGATCGACTAAAAGTTTTAGATATTGATTCAATAAACGATAAATTTGAAATGTATTTTTTGATTCTATCCGGCATAATCGTATTAAATGATTGAAAATTTGGTCAAAAATTTCGATTGCATCGGAAATTAATATATTGAAAAATGAAACACAATTCAAAATTCCATAATAGAATGTTGCCTGACAAAATGGATTTGTTTTTGTTGCAATACGATCAATTTGTTTTTGAATATCTTCAACAATAACTATCGGATTATTTTTAATAATATTTTGAACTTTATCATTAAATTCATTTTCATCTTCAATTGATTGGGCAAATAAATGCGTGTAAAGAACAAATGAAATTCTAAATATTTGATCATGATTAATATTTGATAATTTTATCATTAAAAAATTTATCAATATAAATGGTGTACAAAATGCCGAAAGGATTGCCGTTTCGGGAAAAATATCATCATCACAATAGATTTTTCGTAAATGATTCCAACATTTTACTACAGAATTTATTTCAATATTATTTTCCGTTGGTTTTGAAATAAATTTTAATGATTTTAAAGCTGATAATAATTGTCGAATACAATGATTAAGATTGATATTTTTAACTGATGATTTGGATTCATTTTCAAAAAATATCTGAAAACTTGATAATATTTTTCCGAAATTTTCATTATCAATCAATGTTAGATGTTTAGTTTTTTTAATCAATTTTTTCATCATTGTTTTTTGTCCATTATTTTTACGTGATCCGGGTAGGTTAAACATTTTTTTTCAAAAAAAATCTTATTTTTTAAAAGGAAAATATCGTTGATTTCAACATGTGTGTACATATCACGCATGGAGAATTTTCATTCAGATACTAGCGACGACTAGCGTAATTTTGGATCATTTTTTTTTTTTGGTACTTTGCGAGCTTTTTGTTTGTTGTTGACGTTGTCATCGAGGTAAATCATCTCAACACCGCCGATGTTGTCTGTTTTTTTCAACAACAACACCAAAAACGAATTAATTTTTAAAATCCCAATCAATCAATTCGAAATTGTGGGTGTTTTTATTTGTTGAATTTCTTTCCCAACTTTCACTCTTGGATAGGTCAAAGTTTAAAATCATTTATCGATTTCATTTCGTTTTTTTTTCTTGCGTTTGATGGTTACCATGTTACCATGATGATTATTAAATAAACATCGTCATACAAAACAATTTGCAAATGATTCGATGATAATGATTTTAACATTTGTGATTGATAAGCCAATGATATATTAATATTTTTGCCTTTTTTTTAATAATAATCATATTTTTTTTCTTTTGGTTAGTGAAATTTTTTGATGATTCATTTGTTTTGAATATTAATTAATGTTTTGAATATATTTTTTGCTTCATAATTCTAGGCTTTATAAATTCTGTTGGTAAAAATAAAATAAACTCATTGGAATATTGTTGATTTGTTTGTTTTTGTGTGTGTTGCTGTTTGGCCATTCAGATCAACAGATGGAAAAAAGATAGATAAACGAATCGCCATTCAAAAGTAATTGATTTCGTTTTGGTTTGATTATTTTTGAACATTTTTTATTAACAAGTTGATAAATCAACAAGTCAATCAACTTTTTTTTGTTTTCAAATTCAACCGGCATCGTTGTTACATTATTGACAACAAAAACAACAACGAAAATTTTTCAATTTTTTTGTTTGTTTCATTTATTGTGTTTTAAAACAAACTGAAAAAAATGAATGCATTCCAGACTATTGTCGGAACATTGAAACCTGAACAACAACAACAACAACAAAATCAACAAGAACAAAATAATGATAATCAACCATGGCTTATAGTTAGTGTTGCACGTGCTATTGGATCAATTGCCGGTGTTGGTAATGTTTTTTTTTATATGTTTGATGAATTTTGTAATTTTTCTTCACTATTTTTAATATTTCTTCGTCATGATTTTTTTTGAATTACAAATTATTACAAGGTTCAAATTCGAATACGTCAAAGAAAGAAAAATATGTTAATTGGTCTTTGTCATCAAACGATGACATTTCTTTATCGGTTCATTGTCGATACGCACACACACATAGAGATGGATTAATAGATAGAAAACATTAATATTTAAATTTATCTCATTGCCAAATTAATTTGAATTTTACTTTTTCACTTTTTTTTTGCAAGTAAATAAAAAAAACAAACAAAATTTCACATGTTCTCCATGTTATCAATAAATTCATATCACGTCCATCATGATCAATCATTATCATGGATTTTTCATTTTTTTACACAACAAATTTCTTATATATCCGTAAATGATGACATGAAAAGTTGAATTGAAACTTTTTGAACTGAAAACAGATCAATATCTTTAGCCCTTTCCCCTTCATCATGATGATTACCATTGAATTGTTTTTACCACTCTGCAGCCACTTAGGATACTTGCATTTCTGTTGCATGTTTCTTTGGAAATCAAATAACCACTTGACATTGAAAAAAATGTCATCCATTCATTTTATCATTGAAATATTAGGAGGAAAATTCTCATTTCCGATGATGATGATGATATGTTTTTATTTGTTTTTGTTTTATATTCCATCATTTAAATATATGTAAAATTATTCGAGAAAAAATAAAAAAAGATTGATCGTTTCTTTATCCATTTTTTTTATGATCGTTACCCTTGATTCTTGAAATATTTCCAGTGTGAGATGTATTATTCAAATTTATCCTTGATTGAATTGAATTGAATTCATTCGCAAATTTGAATCAATTTTTTTTTCTTCAAAAAAACATGTTTGCTAATGATGATAATTCTCATGTTTGAAACGATAAACAAAACAAGATCATTCATTTTAAATGATGATTTGTTGAATGAAAACAAAATTTAAAATGTCCTTTATTTTCCCGTGTGATACATGTTAGGAAAAACATTTTGTTAATTTAACAAAATGTCAAAACAAAACGATAATGATTCATTTCACCCCCTACCTGATAATTTATCCAATTAATTGAATTTCTAATCACTTTTTTTTATCTAATTAATTGATTGATTTATAGTAAGCATAATTTGTGGATCATTTTTATTATTGGATATATTTAATGTAAAATGTATATTTAGTGGTGCATTATTGATGTAAGTTTTTTTTTTGTTTTGCTTTGTTTAAGAAATAATAATCTTGTAATCTTGTTTTTTCTTCACAATTCCATTTCTTTTCTATTCACATCAATTCAATTCAATTTCAAAAAAAATTCGTAAATCAATAAAATTTAAAATTAGCATCGAAGGCTTTCTCATGATATTGACCGAAGCACCATGTTGTTGTATATTTTTTGAATTTGCCTATATGCCATCGACATTGATGAATAAACGTCCACCATGGATCAAGGCTACCATTTATTTATTGTAAGTAATAACATTTTTGTTTTTGTTTTTCTTGACGAAACTTTCATTCGTTCGTTATTGTCATGTTAAATCACATCATATGTATTCACACCTTTATATATAAAGGATAAAAATTATAGGCCATAATTTGAATTTAAAAAAACAATGATTTTGATAAAATGAATGACATCCAGTTTTGAACTGGATGATCATTACATTTTTTTTGCCAAAATTGAAAATTGAAAATTTCAACATTGAAATTTGAATTTATTAGCCACATCATCAGCAATCACAATAATCCTTTTGTAAAATGTACAGATGGGTGGCCAGAAACAAACGAAAAAAAGCCATAAAATTTTTTTTTTATTTGCAAATTCTTTAATGATTTGTGAATTTATTTTTGTGGAAAATAACAAAGAATAATGGCAGAGAACAACGCAAAAAAATTCACAAAATTGTGTTACATCTTCGTGAATGTTCCATGTCGCATCATTTTTTTTTCTCGGATTTTTCAATCACCTTTGATGACCGACATGATAAAATTATGTATCATTATTACTAGGAATTCGCAAACTTTTTTTTTTGCTTGTATTTCCGATTTTCATTATCAAAATTTTCAATATTAATTACGTTTTTTGTTGTTCCTGTTTCACTTTATTCCAAGAAACTTTATTATTCATTTGATTTTCGATGTTTTTTGCGTGCCATTCAACCATCAAAATCATTGATTTTTTTTCTTTACAATTATAACATCCTATGGTGATGATGATGAAGATGAGGAAAACCACAAACATGCAATTCGAATGATTTTATTTCGAAAAGATTGAAATTTATGAAAAATGATTTTTTAAAAAATTTTAAATTATCATTTTTCCTTTTTTTTAAAAAAAATTTAAATTAGCTTCGCAGCTGTACCATTTTTCTGGTGTACAGGTGTTAGTACGTTTCTTGCATCCGGTCTTATAATGGCAACCAGTGGATTATATCTTCTAATGTCTTTAGGTAAAAAGTAAGTTACTATAAGTATGTTTTTTTTTCAATCATTCATCATCAAACATATGATGATGATGATTTCATATTGCTTCCGGCTGTTTTTAAAATGAATTTTTTTTTCTTCTTTTAAATTTCCAGAGCTAATCGTGAAGAAATGATTGCCAAATCAGCGCAACTACAACAACAACAGGCTGGATCATCAAATGGTAGATCAATATCAACGGCACCAACATCAGTTTTGGTACAAAATGAAGAAGTACCAATACCAACTGGAAATAATAATCGTGTTCTTTACTAAAAAAAAGAAATTTTGGCTAAAAAACAAAATATCGAATATAAGAATCAAGAATCATCATCATTATTTTTTCACCGAATCATATCATCGCCAATAAAACAACATTTTGATTAAATTTTTTTAAATAAAATTAAAAATTCATTAATAAACATTCATTATCATTCATTCAAGGCCAGATTGTTTCTGTAAAAAAAATAAATAAATAAATTATGATGTTAAAATGATGAAATCCTTTTTTTTATTATTATAATCTCATTTCATTATGGGGATTTACACATGTCACAAACAAATAAAAGTGTTTTGAATAATTAACGTTAACAACAACAACAGTAACAAATTATTAGATTGCAAATAAAACTTTAAATCATTTTTCCCCAATCAACAACAACAACAAAAGGATGTTTATGTCTGTTTTGTTTTTTTTCCTTTGAAAAAAAAATCATAAAAAAGATTTTAAAATTTTTAATTCAATTTTTCATTGTAAATAAAAAAAAATCTATCGAGAAAAGCTATGTGATTTTTTTTAATGAATATCATATCGGGTCATAACACAGATTTGTTTCTTTTAATGATGATCATTATCACGTCAATAGTCAATATTGTTATTATTGTTGTTGTTGTTATAAAATATCGATATTTAAAAAAGTTTATTATGTTGTTTTAACTACTATTTTGTCTTGTAACAGAAAATTAGACAAATCCCAATCGGTCAAAATCAATTGATGTATGATGAAACATTGAAATGACAATGTAAATTTACGACTGCAACATCAATAATGTTCCAGGCATTTCATTTTGCTGTTTTTAAAGGTCAGATTTTATCAAACTGAATCTGGCTTGAATGGATTCGCAACAAAACAAAACGAAAAACCGTCATTTCTTTGTGCAACAGGTACTTTTCATGGTAATTATCGTGGTTTTATGATGATTTTGTTGCCACTTGTTGTTGTTGTTGTTGCCGATCATGAAACAACGATTATACTGGTTTTTTTTGTCGAGAAAAATTACCATGATCATCGATAATTATTTCAAATCTAAGTTTCGATTTGAGAATGTAAATGTAATGAATTTTTTCTTTCTGTTTAATGAATTGATTTGAATTTTAAATAAATTTTTAATAAATTGAAAATTAAAAGATTTTTATCAAAAAAAAACAAACAAAATTGTTTTACTGAGAAATAAAATTAAGGGGATGTAACCATTATAAGGAATCATCATCTTCTTACCGATGGTCATTATTATCATTGGATTGAGAATTGTCTCATCATCATCTTTGATTCTCCGCCCAATATTCAAATTCAATGTTGAATCTGATTTTTTTTTCGAGAAAAAAACAACATATTGCTTATGTGCTGAATAGCGTGCAAATAAAAATTTGATGAAAACAAACAAAAATTCAATAGTAATTCATTAGCAATGAATATAAATGTAAATGAAGAAGAAGAAGAAGAGCCATGTCCTATATAAATATGATGAAAAAGATGATAAAAATCCGATCATTTCGTTGAATGTCCAATTTGAAATTTCATTCCGTTTTTATTTTTCAGATTTTAGTTTTTGTTCACTGTTGTGTGTTTGTGATATTGAATCGATTATTCTAAACTTTTATCCAAGAAAACAAAAACAACAAAAAGATTCTCATCAAAATGAAATTCAAGGTGAAAATTTTTTACTATAAGTGAATGTAATTTTTATTTTCATTGTTTTATTTTGTTCTCGATAATATCATCATAGATTATATTGGCCTTGGCCTTAGTATCTTTTACCCGTGCACAAGAAGAAGAAGCACATCCGGCACCAGAACCCTATTCATTTTCATTTGAGTAGGTTTTTTTTGTTTGTTTTTATCCTTGAAATATGTTATAAATTGAATAATGTTTCTTTTTTTAGTTCGGCAAATGATGACGGAAGTGCTACTTCTCGATCCGAAACTGGTGATGCTAATGGTCAAATTACTGGTTTTTATATAATCAAAGGTCTTGATGGACAAGATCGACGTGTTGATTATATTGCCGATGAAAATGGATTCCGTGCTCAAGTAACCACCAGTGAAGTTGGTACTGTTTCACATGAACCAGATTCAGCTGCCTATTTATCGAATGCTCCAAGTATTGAAAGTTTACAAGCTTTGTGGGAACAATCCGGTGGAAATCGTGAACAATACTTTAATTTGGCTAGCCTACCAAATAGTATTGGTACTGGTACAGGAAATGCTGGAGCTGCCGGAATTGCTGGTCGTGGTAGAGCTGCTGCTGCATTAATTAGTGGTGGTGGAGCCGCTGGCCGTGGTGCTAGTGGTGCTTCCGCAAGCTCATTCCGATCGGGTTCGGCTACATTGACAACTGGTCTTATTGGTGGCGGAGCCGCTGGCGGTGGTGCTGGTGCATTGATAGGAGGTGGCGGTTCCGGTGGTGCTTCCTCAAGTTCATTCCGATCTGGTTCGACTACATTGACAACTGGCATCGTTGGTGGCGGAGCCGCTGGACGTGGTTCTGGTGCATTGATCAGTGGTGGTGGTCTTATTGGCGGAGGTAGAGCTGGGGGTGCTTCCGCAAGCTCATTCCGATCTGGTTCTGCTACATTGACAACTGGTCTTGTTGGCGGCGGAACTGGTGGAGCTCCAATAGTCAACCAGGAAGGTTTCGTTTTGGTTCCAGCATCAGTAGCCCGAAGTGCCGGTTTAAGCGGTCAAGCAATTAACAGTGGCTATAGTACCTCCTATTCAACTGGTGTTGTACCGATCACAACCGGTAATGCACCAACCATTCCAATAATACCAATTGGTGGTGCTACAACTACATTACAAGCACAACCATCAACAATCATCACTTCTGGATCTTATCAAGCACAACCATCAACAATTTTCGCTACTGGATCTTATCAAGCACAACCATCAACACTTATCACTACTGGATCCTATCAAGCACAACCATCAACACTTAGTACCTATTACATAAGACCAACAATTACAACAAATGAACAACAATATAGTTCTGGCCTTCGAATCGTTCCAATTCAAAAAAGAAAATAATTAATTAAATAATATCTATGATAATTACATTAACCTTCACCCCTCAGACAACATACGCCACATGAACATACAATCATTTTTTTCAAAAAGCTATATTATTAATGATTGATTGATTTCACTTTTTATTTCAATTTCGTTATGATGGTAATTTTTGATTTCGAAGTTTATATATAATTTTTTTTTTAAAAATGCTGAAGAACAAATTCCAAAGATCGTTTTTTTTTCTTGGCAATCATCGATGAACATTAAACATTATTTGATTTATAACGGTATTACAAGAATGATATCGGGCAAACAAAATTGTGTGACAGTAAGAAAATCTACATCGACTTTATACAGATGAATTCAAAGTTTTTTTTCATCAAAAATCATTCGATTTCATTATAATATCAAAATTACCAAAAAAAAGGATTTTTGCATTCGAAAACTTTTGTTTTTTTATTGGAAATTTTTTTTTTTTGAAAAAAATTACAAACTGTATTGATTAATTAGGGAAAGAAAAAGAAAAAAAAGATTAGTGTTGATGATCAATGAATAGATTGGATGGACGATAGATAATTGTACGTTTTTTTTTCGTTTCCATGTGTGTGTGTGGTATGTAATTTATCAGATACAATATTTTTTTTTGTTTGAAATAAATTTCATTCGATTAAAAGAAAACAAAATAGAATTTTCGATGCCAAAAAGAAATCTTATTACTTAGGCTTGAACATCTTTCAGATTATCCGGAAGTGTTGCTTTTGGATGTTTATTTTCAAAATGTTGTTTATATGTCTTTAAATCGGGCATTTGAGACTATTTGATAATGAAATTGTAAAAATAAAATTAATCCATTTGAACAAACCATAAAAACTTACCATACAAACAGAACATTTATGAATCAAAGCAGCTTGTGCAGCTGATTTTTGATCATGTCCTTGTTGGCGTTTCATTTCGGCAGCTTTTTTCGCTGCACGTTGTTGTGATTGAAGTTTTTGTTGTCCACGTGCCATAATTTTTATTATTCGTTTCAAAATTATTCTGTACGTGTGAAAAATTCCTAACGCTAAAGATTTTGATGGATTTTTTTTGTTAACAAAACAAAGAAAAACGAATTGTTTGTTTTGTTTCGTTCTTTTTTTTTTGATGACGACTGAATCGAATTTTGTGTTTGAATAAAAAGAGAAAAAAATTGACTTCAAAACGTAAATTTGAATGAGAAAATGTTTTGAAAGATTAGAAATGAAATGAGACAAACATATGATTATGGTGATGATGATGATGATGATCTCAAACACAAAACCATCGATTAAGAAGAAAAGAGGACCATAAAATCGTTATGAACAACAACAACCAGCAACAAAAAAAAAAAAAACAAGATTCGTCGAATATAACTCACTGTGGGGGATTAGGGAGAAAAAAGAAA